GAAGGCCCATTCCCACGGCTAAAGCCAGAAAAATTATTGTGGTTTTGGCAGGCTAGCGTAAAAACCCACCTTGAGCTTGGTCGTGTCGAGGTTCAGGCTGAAAAATAGGTTTTAGAGCTCGAATATCGAAACTAACATGCCGAACATCTTCTCAACGTAGAACGAATAAACGGATCATGTTTAGGATTTTTTGCCCTAAGATGCTCATTTTTTATGGAAATTCAGTTTTTATTCCTTTTTGAAGGTTTTTCTGTTTCCTTTTCCTTTTTCTGCGTTTATTTTACAAGCGAAGCGTGGCAGGCTCGATTCCGCCGCCGAATTCTGGTGAGGGTCGGTTATTTTAGCGGGGGTCGGTTGGCATCTTCTTTTGGTTTAGCCTATACCTGCCTAGTGATAAATTGTAGGTTATTTTAATACTGTTTTTAGTAGCTTCCGATAATCAAAAATTATAAAAATGTTAATCCTATAGTCACGAAATCAAGGGTTATAGCGCGGTTTTAGCCATTTTCATATACGTTATACCAAAAAACAAAATTTTTTTGAACATGTTTTATGACGTTTTTCTTAATGTCTCCTCCCCCGCTTTCAGTCCAGAACCATTTCAAACGGCACACAAGTCTATAAAAACGGCCAGTTCTTAATTTGCCGAGCCGCACGATATTATAGAAAAAAGTTCGCAACCGACCCCCGCTAAAATAACCGACCCCCGATAACCCGGAAGCACCCTTTTATAATTTCTAGCATTACCGCTTTTTATTACACTGCGTTTTTAATTATTATATTCTGTAAATTTTGCAAAAAACCGTGGTTTTTCAAGATTTCGATCGAGCCTTCCTTTCCAAGCGCTTTTTCACGCTAGTCTAGTGGTTAGCGCGTCAGCCTCGCAAGCGAAGGGCCATGGGTTCGATTCCCTCGGCGGCGAAAGTTTTGCTTTTTGGTTTTTCCTCATTTTAAAAGTATTTTAAGGCAGATTTTTGATTCCATTGGCCGTCAAAATTTTGGTTTTTGGTTTTTCGGCATTTGAAAGACATTTTTAACCCAGGTTTTCGATACGAACAATCGGCAAAAGAAATTATTTTTCATTTTTTAAACGATTTTTAACGTAATTTTCGGCCAGATTTGCCCATCCTTCAATCATTAAAGTTTTATTCCACGTTTTCGGCAATCTAAATCAATGTTCAACCAGATTTTGGATTTCTTGGGCGGAAAAGCTTGCATTCTGATTTTTTTTTACACATTTTAAAACCATTTTCAGCCAGCGTTGTGCTTCAAATGAGCGCCAAAATTTTGTTGTTTGAGTTTTACAAATTTTAAAACCATTTTCTTGAGCAGGAAGTCTCCCTGCTATCCGTTGGCCACAGAGGTGTGACGGTCCATCTCAATTTTTCTAATTTTCTCGCATCTATCCCCCAAACGGTTTGGAATTTTCCCCCAGCAAAGGTCTTTTAGTATTTTCCGACGTTCCGGTGCCGCGTGCGCTTTTTCGAGGCGTTGGCGACTCTCGCGGGGCGCGCGTTCCACCTCCTCGTCCCCTCAATTCCCCCTCTATTCCGCGGCAATTCCCTCCCCCCACGGCCTGTCCGTATATAGGTGTCAAGCGGAGGGGTGTAGAACCGTCGGTCCACCGTACCCTCAAACCACGATGGAGCCCCAAAAGAGCTCTCTGCGCGGCGTCGCCTTCGCGGCGGTCGTCTTCTCCACCGGTTCGTTTAATTCTTTATAATATCATAATTTTAATTTAGACTAATTAAAACCTGAAAATTGTTTTTTAATTCATCCTACTATATATAAAAAATAGTGTTTGTGTGTGTGTGTGTATATTTGCATGCACTTCCGTTTGGATGTTCCGCACCTAGAGCCTCAGGGAAGCATTTTTTCGGTAGGGAAGAAACGTCATAGGGTAAAGAAGGGGCTGTAATCGACTGCACACACATAAAATCTTCGAAAAATTGCTATTTTCGCTATTAAAATTAGGTTTTTGTAAAAATCTTGGCTTGCCTCTTTGTTAGGGAAAAATTAGCATACGCCGGAAGTGGAAATGGCTTATAAAAAGGAAGGGAGGGGTGGTTTTCATTTTTTGGTCATCGTTTTTCGGCAAGAATTATGCAAATTTTCATAAATCCTAGACGGGGCCAGGGTTGAAAAGCCGCGAAGCGGTTTTTCAACCCTGGTTAAAATTAATTCCTATCTCCTATGACGGATTTTAAACAATTGAAATTTTTATACATTTATACATTTTATAAAATTTAGATCTCAAAAACTAGTCATTCAAAGGTTTTAAAGCGATTATCTAGCGCGAAAATCGAACTTTTAATCCACTAGGTCTCGACAGCGACTCAAGACGGCAAAAAGCGCTGCTTTTATCGATGTAACGTTCTAGCGTCGTGCAAACCACCAGAATCTTTTACCGGCGTGTTTTGGCGTGTCGCGTAGCCGTAGCGTAGCGTAGATTTTCATTTTAACTAGGTTTTAATGGTTTTATAATTAAAAACCAACTAATTTACAATTATTTAAAGGGTGATTTCAGTCGCCGTGACGGCCTGCCTTCTGGCCTTCCCTTTGGTCTTCCACTATGTGCAGACCCTCCAGGCTCACGTTCAGGTTAGTTTTACTATACAACATTTTAAAAATAAAAAAGAAACGATTTGTCCTATTTTATAATTTAAAGTGCGTGGCCGAGTTGTTAGCGCATTTGCCTCTCAATCTCAAGACCAGGGTTCGACTCCTGCCCGCCGCCAAACTTTTTGCGTTTTGCTCTGTAGTCCGAATATCACCAAAAAAATGAGTTAGAAGCTCGGGCTCCTTCTTTTGCCTTTGTCAAACCTCAAAAAGGGTGTTGTGTGACTGTGTGGGGTACTTGAGAGGGCGACCTGGCTGGCACTTGTCCTCCTCCAAGTCTTTTTGAGCTCGTGCTCCATCCCCCCTTCCCGCCATGGGGCTTTTTTGTCCCGATCGTGCGGTCGGGGAGGTGGAACGAGGAGCAGGAGGTGGAGGTGGCATGACTGGTTCCTTCCCGCAACCCCATATTTTTCTAAAAAGTGCCGTGGGGGAGCGCGCGAGAGAGAGAGAGAGAGAGAGAGAGAGAGCGAGCGAGAAGGAGCAACAGATGCCGTAATAAATTCTAATTTCTTTCAGGGTGAGGTTGAGTACTGCAAGTCTCGCTCGCGCGACATGTGGAAGAGCATGGTTGAGATGGGATCTGAGGGACCGGAGGATGCTCTTGATGTTCTTGTCCGTGTCACCAGGTAACCATTTTTCACTTCGAGGCACCATCCCTTTAAAAATCGATTCGACTTACTGGAGTACGAAATACTTCCCGGATTTTCCAGGCAAGCCGAGGCCCAGTGCTGCACTTGCCAGCAAGGACCCCCCGGAGCTGATGGACCCCCAGGAACCCCTGGACGTGATGGAGAGCCCGGCCGTGGACCCGGCCCCGATGGACCCCCTGGCCCTGATGCTGATCTCCATGATCGTCTCCTGCCCGTTCCTCCTCAGTGCCCTTGCCGATCTGCTCCTGGACTCCCTGGACCCCCAGGTACGGTAGTTATTCATTTAAAAATCCATAGAAATATCCATAACCACGCCTTATCACCCTTTTTTAAACAAGAAAATACAGGAAATATGGCGGAAATTCACGAGCGCATAGTATAAAACCGTATGGATTAGTGAGTTGTAGCGAACGCGACACTCCTATGTACACCTCCATAATATGAGCTTGATACATTTGGCTTTGCTTTGCGCACCTATGGTCTCCAAAAAATTTAAAATCCTAAAAATCATAATGTTTGAATTGTAATTATGTTAATAAAATGTTATATTTTATATATTATAAAAATATCGTTTCAGGACCCTCCGGAAACGACGGCCAGCCCGGTGCCCCCGGAAACCCCGGCTCCGATGGTGCCCCCGGACCCCAAGGACCCGCTGGAGCTCCCGGAAACCCCGGAGGCCCCGGACAGCCCGGACAACGCGGAGCACCCGGAGAGCCCGGCACTCTTGTCCCCGGAAACGGTGGACCCCCCGGACCCCCTGGACAACCCGGACGCTCTGGATCTCCCGGACAGCCCGGACGCCCTGGTGGCCCCGGAAAGGACGGATTCCCCGGTGGACCTGGAGCTCCTGGAGAGCCTGGGCAGCGTGGACCCCCTGGACCTCCTGGACCATCTGGAGGACCCGGCGGAAATGGACAGCCTGGTGCTCCTGGATCTTGCGATCACTGCCCCCCGGCTCGTCTTGCCCCTGGATATTAAGTGTCCCGAGTTGGCGAATAAATCATTGCATTCAAGGTTGTGTACGGTGGGATACGGTAGATCGGGTGTCAGATAGAAAGACATGTCACAAAGATATGTAGAGAGAGAGAAAACGCGGCTCTTTGGCATTATCGGGGGGAGAGGTTGCTTCTTCCCCTAATAAAGTCAGATACGCCTTTTTCTTAAAATTTAATTTGTGTGGGGGATACGGTGGATTGGGCGCGGGATAGAAAGACTGACACCAATCTACCGAGAAACTAGGTTCTTTGGCATTATCAGGGGCGGGATCGAAATTTTTTCTTTATAAGCCCAGATAGGCCACATAACGGAATACCAAATATTTTATTTTTTTAAAAGAATTTAGCTATATAAGCAGTGGAAAAAACATTGTAAAAACTTAGAAAATTTTTTTGTAGATATTTTGGTCGAAAAAGGGCATAAAAGATAGAAAAATCTGTTTTTCTTGCTTTTGTATGATAATCTGTATGGAAGTGCAGGTAGTTTATTAGTATTTTTGTAAAATTTAACTTTATTTACAAGTGCAAACCTCTCTAAAACTTTAGAAAATTTCGGAAAATCGGATTTTTGCTCGAAAAAAACATTTTTTTTTTCGATTTTCTAACGAATTCTGTAGAGAGAATTGATGCTTATAAATAGTAAAAAAACGGTGTGGAAACATTGCTTCTATTTCCAAGGATTCTGTGCAAAAATTTGCCCCCTTATAAGGCACAAGAACCCAAAACTTTATTAGTAAACTCGTTGAATCCGATTTGTGGCTAGCATTCTTCCATTCTTTACCACTCGTCGGAACATCATCTTGGAGTGCGCGGGGTTGATTACATACTAAACGTGTTTATTAAAGCGAGCGAGAGAGAGAGAGAGAGAGAGAGAGAGAGAGAGAGAGAGAGAGAGGGATAGCAAGAGTGAGAGAGAGAGAGAGACATTGCCTTACCTGATACGGCTCCCCCTTTTGCCATTTTGGATCCTCCACCAACCAAAACATCCCTAGATTTCTGATTTTCCAACCTAAAAAGTGCGTTTCTTACCGTAACCGTTCCCCCAGCTAATCGGCGGCACATATTCTCCATTCAACGAGCAAAACGCCCCGTAATACAGCCACCAACCCCTCAAAATATTCGGGTCGTTTTCTGATTTTTCTGCCACCTACCCCAAATGGAAATCGCTAACGGATTTGGCTTGCGGGTCGTTGATACGGTCGATGGTGGAAAATGGACGTCCGGAACTAAATAATTACAAATACGTCACTTAAAATAGTTTTATCAAAATTTAAAATAGTTTTTTTGCATTCTAACCTGTAGGTGAGGTCATACCAGTTGGCCGACGCATTTCCGAGAATATCCCGCCAATCCTGCCATGCGTAAAGGGTATAACTCGTCGACTCCGCGTCAATCTGAGTTTTAGGTTAAGTTTACAGTACTTTTGTTTCGTTAAAATATAAAGAAAACAACAAAATTGTAAATAGTAGTGTATAGCAGTCGAACGCTACGCGTCCTGCTAAGCTTTAAAAAGTGGATTTTCCAATTTTTCGCACGATAGTGTCCCTTTGGCGTAGTTCTATAGCGTTTTTAGTAGTTTTTGGTAGCTAGAAACTTATAAAATATTCCAAAAAAATGCAGATAATAATTGAGAAATTTTCATCCACTCTCGACTAGAAAATCGAGAAATTTCGGATATTTTCTCGATTTTCTATGTGCTTTTCTGACTAACACGGGTGCAAAATAGCATAAAAAATGGCTTAAATTACTGGGAAAAAATTGGCCCCTCCCCGTTAAGAGTCCAGTACCTTTAAAAACCCACCGAAAAATTCGTGTACCCGGCCCACCAATAGGCGGTAGTTCGATTCGATCCCGGCTGCCGATCGTTCCACATCTCGACGAGTAGCTCCGTGTCACTACCCTGAAATTTGTAGAATTAATAAAAGTAGTTAACTAAATTAAGTAAATCTTTATTAAACATCATACCAAATTGGTCATAACATGCGCCGCCTCGTTGCCCAGCCAATAATTGCTGGCCTGGAAAAATTTGGAATTCATTACGCTGTTATATGAAGGAGCTTTTGCACTTACAGGGGGAATATAAGTGGCAACCGCTTCTAAGCCATACTTGCTATTCTAAACGGAAAAATCTAACAGCCTTTAATTAAGAAAACCAAAAAGTAAAGATTTTCGACCAAAATTTTTCGATTTTTCGAAATTTGAAGTCTTAGTTGGGCTTTCCGCTTAAAATATAGCTAATTTCACAAAAATACTTTTATTAAAGGGCTGCCGACGGCATGTGTCGATCCCCCCTCATCAACAAATTGGCAAGTAGCCAACAGGGGAGAGAGCGCGCCCAGGGAGAGGCGCAGAGACATTTTCTTTCCAGCGCGTAACCGATTGACTATGCCGTCGGCATCCCTTTAAGTTATTGTCATTTCTGAACAGATATGATATCCTCCCCCCGATAATGGAACAGCGCCGAAATAAATTTTACAAACCGGATCCGCTGTGCCGAAGCCCTGCTTGTAGTCGGCCCATTTCCGATTCCAAAATGGCTCCTTTGCGTCGACACGGCTAAATTTTTGATGTCGAGAGGTCGGGTAATGATTGAATGTTGGTAAAAAAGTCCTTTTGCATTATCGGGGGGGGGGTTTTGTTTAACCCCAGAAATTCCTAGCAATGTAATAGTAAGTTTTAAATAGTTCAAGTGGAAAACTATCTAAAAAGCTCTAAAAAACAAAAATTTGGTCGAAAAATCCCTACTTGTTGTAATTTTTGATAATCTTTCTAAAATTTAAGAGTATAGGAAAAATAAAAATCGTGAACAGCACCTCCTCTGTCTATGTAAAAAAATCGGCTCGCCCAACAATGCGAAAGCACCGAAAATGCTTACCTTTGCAAAAGCGTCCATCCGCCATCCTGCGTCGTCATGTCGCAATACACTTGTCTCACCCCATTTCCCACTTTAACCGTCATCACCCCCGAGCTAAATAGTCGGTTTAAAGGGGCTGAGGCAGCTTAAATTCCATGAGTTTCGCATTTCATCGTGTAAAAGGCGATATCAGAGGCCAAGGCCATGCCAAAGACCCACTCTTCATGGAAGCGCTCCAACCGCCATCCCTGACAATCCTCGATGGCCTTGTGCTGGCAGAAATACGGAGAATATCTCTCGTCCTTTGCTAGTACGTGCTGAAAATTCATTAAAAACATTAGAATTAGACATCGGCAAAATGTCATTTCTTTCATATTGGAAAATTTGAACACTCCGCAAAAAGTTGACCCCGCCCCCGATAATGCATAAGAACCATCTTACCCAGTACCCATCCGGACCCATCACTATTGTCCCGTTCCCTTTTGGTTGGCCTAAAAATAATGTTAAACGCGTTTTTCGGGCACTTTGACATTATAAGGGGGGGGGGGATGCTATTAGACCCGAAAGGCCATTTATGTTGCTTACCTGGTCCCCATCTTGCATAATTAATGACATCACCAGGGCCAGCAGGTAGGACATGAGTCCCATTCCACAACATGCCCAACCACGTGCTATTCCCGTTCAGAAGCTCTTGAAATATCAACACTAAAAATTATCCAAATATACAAACTAGCCAGGAAAGCATTGTCAAAGGCATTTGTGACGATGGCCGGAAGCGAGTGATAGCCCTCGCACACCCAAAGATCGTTCACCGGGCTTCTAAATCGAAAAGAATTATCGGGAAGCGGAAATACAGGCGGAAAAACCATTTAAAATTATCGGAAAAATCTTTTAAATTTTAAATTTGTACGAAAATCGGCCATTTCGTTTAAGTCCAGAAATGCCCGCATAATAATATTTAGTATTTTTTAACAAAATTTAACTGTATTTCATGCTGAAAAACTATTTAACAACTTTGAAAACAACTTGGGGAAAAACAATTTGCGATGCAAAAATCGGCGTAAGCTGTAAATATATTTCAAGCGGAAAACTGTTTACAAACTATTTTTAAAAAATGAAATTTTGTCGAAAAATCGATATTTTCATACATTTCGATAAAATGGTACAGCTTTTACGCTGAGTAATGGTAAAATTTATGAAAAATCAAATACGAAAAAATGTGGTTCTTTGCCCGATTTTGCCATAAGAACCCGAGAAAAGCGAAGAAAACCTACGAGCCGGGGAGTTTCGAATAGCAGTATTCGCCGCTGTAGTAGGGAAATTGGGAATCGCATGGGATGGCGCTCTGATCATCGCCAAAAACGAGGGCCAAGCATAGAAGCGGCCACAGCACGAACATTGCCCAACTGGGCTGCCCTATCACCAGTTTCCGCTCCACATCACACCCCGCACCACCTGATATCACGTTTAGGGCCGCTACTGAAACGTCTTCGGGTCATTTTAAAAGCGGGAAAAGAGCATTGAAAAGGGTTTTGTCTGGTGGGTGATAAAAGAATCGGTTCTGTTGCATTATCGGGGGGATATGATCGTAGGAAACCGAATTTTTTTTCCTACAAATTCCTAATCACGGGATGGCCAATATTTAAAGGCCTTTTTAATACAATGTAACTTAATTCCAGGTGGAAAACTATCTAAAAAGCTAAAAAAAACGAAAGGTTTTAAAATGGATGTTCCGGCCCTGTTTTAGGAAAAAATTTTTGGTTCTTGGGTGAGGGATAGTTAAAAACTCTTACAAATACCTCATATCTATGGAAGTCGTTATTATAAAGGTATCTCAATTTCGAAAATGGCATCCGGCTCTCAGTATAATTTTTGCTCTGAAAGTAGCTTTTCAAAGTTTTCCAGTTTTTCTAATTCAATTTTCAATTTTCAAAAATAAAATCAAGTATCGAGTTCCGTGACGCTCCGCATACCATGCATGTGTCATGTTGTAGCGTCACGTAGTGGAGCGTTCGCATGATTTACACTTTTTTCCAGCGTTTTTTTCACATTTCAATTGAATTCGAATAATATTTTTTATTGGCAACGTATATTTTCATTACCCACAATCACAGTTTAGCTTTAATCTGTTCAGAGTATTCCGAATACAATGCCTTGATCTCTGTGGCCAGCGGGTACAGGTCGACCTCTTGCAAATTGCATAGAATGGCAATGCACAGCCCTCGTGGTTGCTCGTCTGGATTTTTGCACGTTGAAATTCAAGCTCTACTCACCGTTTGTATGATTGCCGGCGGGAGCTATCAAAAGGATAGAGGATGCCCCCACTGCTGCGCCGCTATGATACCAGAAAGTCGGATTGCTTCTGTACTTTTCTTTAGGAACATAGATAAAGCTTGCCTTAGACCACCCACTGCCGCAGGTCCATTCACTCTAAACCAGCCCAGCCCAGCCTGGAAATAGTCGGCCTTTTTAGCGGAGGCTATCTGTCGAAATGTGAAAGTTATTATTTAGAATGATTCCAAAACCTCTCCCTTCCAAAATTCTTCGATTATTTCCTTTGGTAGAAGCGCCTCGGCCAACCCATCCCTCTTCGGCCTCTGATATCCGTAGAGCCATCCGTTTGCCAGTTTCAGCAGATCACCGACGGTGCTCTGGATTCCTCCGCCAGCCCATTTGCAGGAATTGTCTACCTCGGCGCAATTTTCGAGCTCATGCCTCTGATTACGCACGTAATATCTAAACAACTTTTTCATGTAGGAAAATATTAGTACCTTGTGCGATTAGGAACTATTTTGGGATTTTGGTCTAGCGATGTGAAACTCATGCCAAGCTGCCGGAATAGGGCAGCCGCCAAATCGGGGTACTTCTTTCCGCTAGCCGCCTCCAGTATTGCGCTCACCAGAGTGAAACCATGCGTCGTGTACCTATTTTTCGTTTTGTATCTATGTTTTTAAAAATTCCTTACGAATAAGTCTTTCCCGGCTCGGCGATGAGCGGATCTGCGTTGAAAATGCTTAGCGCTTCACTTACGGACGGATAGACTTTGTTCGACATAAATTCAGCTTTGGCCACCTTCTTCATTTCTTTGCTTTCCTGCTCGTTGCCCTCTTTCTAAATATTTCTTTATAGAATGTCCGACTCGGTCTTCTCCTCAGAGTTGTCCATCTGGCGAGGCTCGGTAAGGAATTCAGGATTTTGCTCTTTATAAATACCGATTTTTTTAGAATGGCGTTGATTCCTGGAGCTGCTCTACTATCCCACCACCTAGTGCCTCGGATGATTTCAATTGCCCTATCTGCAAGGCCATTTTCTTACAGGTGAGACGCATCAGATTTTTCTTACTATTTGGACCGTGTTGCTAATCCTCCTTTTTCAGCCCGTCATATTTGAATGTGGCCACTCATTCTGCAAGCACTGTGTGCAACGACAACGTGAATCCAATGACAAATGCTGTGTCTGTCAGAAGCAGTTTGGAAGGGCTATCCAAAACTTGGCTTTGGAGAAGGTATCATATTCTTTTGATATCATCATTGCTTTGGGTCGTGCATGAGCGTTGTTCACAGAGCTTTCAAAGAGACAACCGCAGCCGCAAGAGCTTCCGTCGACCATCCGCAAAATTCGATCAGTGGGTTATTGACCTTTTGCTTTCACTTGAATCTAGGCATCGTCCGCCGTCCGAAGTTTCGGGAAGTGTTTCATTGACCGAGCTACCGCCTCGTACTGCCACCCGTGGAGTTCGTTGGGTGGTAAGATCCACGTTTTCATTTGTCATTCTGTTTCTAGAAAAAGATGCCGCGTGTTGCGCCTCGGCAGCAGGACTACGAGGCGGATGACTCGACAGACGAGTCTCTGGCGCCTATTCCATTTACCCGGGCAACGCAGAGAAAATCAGGTTCATTCAATAGCCCTTATACAATAAAAATAGAAACCTGCGCGAAGGCTTCTGTGAAGCGAGCATCATTTATGCGCCGAAGCCTGAATTATATGAAGAAAAAAGGGAGCGACAAGTTCCATGTCACTGACATGCCAGCTTCCGGCATCACAGGTAATCTAAGCTTGGTATGTCTTTCGACCTCGAATTCCAGATGACCTACACAAAAAGAAGGCTCCGTCTCTTTGGAAGCGTATCTTCACCGGGAACTTCACGAAGTCAAACAAGTAAACCCAACTGCCGGTCGACTCATATCATTTTGCTCACGTAATGCAGCCTGTAATGCCCCGCTAACGCCGTTTTTCGCATGCATTGTCTGCAACTTTTCCGGCATTCTACATATTTGTTATTTTGCTATGCCCAGCGAGTTCTTCATGTGATGAGCCACGCACATGAAATAAAGGCGTGTATTTGGTAGTCGGTTCGCTGTTTTTCGGTGGACGCATAGCTCCAAATGACTGTTGTTCAATGGCGCCTGATACCTGACGAAACCCCCCGGGTTGCCGGACTTTTAGTACCACGTTCATTCCAAGCAAAGGATTTGAACTTTCAGCTATGAATATTCCCAAGGTTTCATCGCTTTTGAAGGGCGCGGCTAAGGCTCGTCTCCCTGTCACGCTCTCATGTGCAAATTATCATGAAAAGGTAAGTCTTTTGTTTCAAATTCTACGATTTTTTTTCTAGGTTATTGATCACTATGAAAACCCCCGAAATGTCGGTTCGCTGGATAAGAATGATCCGACCGTGGGTACCGGAATCGTTGGAGCACCGGCTTGCGGTGATGTTATGAAACTTCAAATTAAGGTATATCTTATCGAACGTTCTCAATATGCCGATGTGTTTGGTTCTGGCTTGATGTCAAACAAGGAGAGGCTTTTCTCGATGTTTTTAATTTTACGGTGAAGTTGTAAACTTGGAAAGCCCGGGGAAATTGCTAGGTTTAGACTCGGTGCCACTGTCAAGTGAAAGCCACGATTCCCACTAAATGCGCTAGCCAACTTCCCAATTTCAGGTGGATGAGAACGGAAAAATTATCGACGCAAAATTCAAGACGTTCGGATGTGGCTCGGCCATTGCCTCTTCTTCACTGGCTACAGAAATGATTCAAGGTAAAGGATGTCTCCTATCTATTTACGTTGCTCAGGAAAAACGGTCGACTATGCCGGCACGATCAAGAACGATATGATTGCAAAAGAGTTGTGTCTGCCCCCGGTGAAGCTCCATTGTTCAAGTATGTTCGTCATTTTCCCCCTGATTAGCCTTTTTAGTGCTCGCACAGGACGCTATCCAGGCTGCCCTGAAGGATTACCAGAAGAAGCAAACGAAGTCTAACAATTAAGCCGCTGCCGCCGGTCATATTTCACAATTAGCCTGAATAGTCGCTCTACTTGTACATAAACTGGTTGGGTAGTTGCTTGTGTTACTTTGTATAAAGATTCGATAAACCTTTCGCAAAAATACGATATCCAGTTACTGCGCTTACCTGATTCAAGCTTGGCTTTTCGTAATGACGAACACCTCCCGTGTGAGACAGTAGCTGCCGTAGGGTTATATCCACGCTCCTTCCATCGTAACTTTTCTTCGGAAATACTTTTTCAGATATGTAGCTCTAGATCTGGTTTTTGTTGAATAGCTGAGAAACTAACGTGAATCGATTTGTCGAGTTCGACCTTTCCATCTCGGAGTAATAGCGCAGTTACGGTGGCCGTGATCGGTTTGCTAATGCTTGCGATCCGCATCACCTTAAACAGTTATGGGTCCCAAATTATTATTTACTACCGTTTGGCCATTGCATTTCCCGCCGGTTTCGACGTCCGAATATCCGAACCCCGCACTGTAGATTAATTTCCCATTGTAGGTTAACCCAATAGTCAGTCCGGGGATTCCCTTTTGAATCTACGCGAAAATGAAGTTCGGATTTTTTCAGAAAATTACCTACCATATAACGCCGCACTGCCGATTCAGTCAAAGAATTGAGCACGTCTTGCGGTTTTGCTGGCTCCGTCGATGCACTGTCTGGCTCTGCCAAAAGAAAATACGGAAAATTTACTCTAAATACCTTTTCCAGTTTTCAAGGCTGCTGTCGTGGCAAATGCGACAGCATATCGACCGTTTTTCCAAAGCATCTAAGAGGTTGCCGGCGGGTTATCGGGGTTTTTTCAGATATTTGCGATGCTTGTATAACATCCGATTTGATCACAGGACAATGTTTTTAAAATTTATTGCTCGCTGACGATGCAAAAGCCTCTAGCACATTATCGTGGACTATCAGCAATTTGGTTAGAGTGGTTCTGTAGCGCCGTTTTGAAGACGTTGTCAATCAACTGACACGCTTGGTCAGCCTCATTTCTGTCCAGGGATTGGAGCAGATGCGCCACAAATGAGCCTTCGTTGCGGGTCGCGGCTTTTTGGCGTTCTACCAAGATCAAGTTGTATCTAGAGAACTCAAAATTAGGACTGATTGGTTGCAATTCATTTCTTTTGGGACTTTCAAGTTGTCATTGATTTTGTAGTGATGCTCACCTTCCCATCGAATCAGCATAACTTACGGCCATCGTACAGTCTATGATTGGAAAGCGTTCTATAACACGACCGTCGATTTGGTCCACCATCTTCACCCCGTGTTTCGACAATTGCAAGTTTATCTAGATTCCGATTAGGCGCCATGAATTGTATACTTTTGGGCAGCCCTGAGAATCTGTTCGAAATTTTCCCAACATCTGTTCCGTTTCGATATGATCAATTGCTTTCTCCTCATTAGATTGTATATAGGCTTCCTTTGAGCAATCTAAAACCCAATTATTATCCCTGATTTTTCACCTTGAAAATTCCTCAAAGTGGAAGCACCCAGATAATAAAGAGAAGTACCCTCCCTTTCGGTCAACATCTTATTCTGAGAATCAGAGCTTTTTGTTCGAAGTTAGGAGAGATTTTCAATCAACTTTTTCTCTAGTCTTGTTTCGACTTTCTGGCTGGGCAACGGCAGGCTCCTATCGCCGTTCATAGTCATGGTTGTATTTCATGTGCTTCAAAATCATCCTGGATTCGTGAATTCATCTTACTTTTCCTAAAAGATTTGAACATCTCAATTTTCCACTTTTTCAGATGTTCTTGACCCGCTCCGAGTATGACCGTGGTGTCAACACCTTCTCGCCTGAAGGTCGCCTCTTCCAAGTCGAATACGCCATTGAGGCGGTGAAGGTAGGCTTTTGATTTAGAGCTTTCGACTTCTCAGTTTTCCTCAATTCAATAAATTTTTAGCTTGGCTCGACGTCCATCGGCATCCGCACCAGCGAAGGTGTTTTGCTCGCGGCCGAGAAGCGCTCGACCAGCAAGTTGATGGTGAACGACGCAATTGAGAAGATCAGCAAGGTCGATAAGCATATCGGTATCCTTTTCAGCTCACTTCCGAATTATTTTTAGCCGTCACCTTTGCTGGATTGATCGCCGACTCAAGGACGCTAGTCGAAAAGGCGCAGCTTGAAGCACAAAACTTCTGGTTTACTTACAACAGGTTTTCGCCAAGGTTGTCCGCAACTGATTTTTTTCAGAAAAATTCGCGTAGAGGATGTTACTCAGAGCGTGGCGAACCTTGCCCTTCAGTTTGGAGACGACGATGCAAAGGTATTTCTAGGCTGTTTTATTTTGTAATCATTTTTAGGCGGCCATGTCTCGTCCATTTGGTGTGGCCATGCTTTTTGCGGGAGCTGATCAGGATGGCACTCGTCTTTTCCACCTCGACCCCTCCGGCACGTTCATCGATTGCTTGGCGAAGGTATTTATTTTCTGTTTTTATTTAAATAATTTTTTTCACAGGCCATTGGCGCTGCCAGCGATGGAGCCGAGCAAAGTTTGAAGGAAAAATACCACGAGGTTTTTGCTGACAATTGGTTTTTACAAAATCTTAGAACATCACACTTGATGAGGCCCTGAAGGTTGTGCTTGGCATCCTGAAACAGGTAGATATTTACAACGTGATTCCAACTATTCCCCCTTTTTAGGTGATGGAAGAGAAACTGGCCGCGTCCACCGTCGAAGTAGTTGTCATCAAGCCAGCCGTTGATGAGAAAGGTGGCTCAAGTTATTGTTCTTTATAACTGTTCTTTATTTAGGACGCAAAATCGGGGCTTTCGAACGGATCTCTGACGCCCAGCTGGAGACCGTCATCAATTCGCTGTGAATGTGGCGCCCGTGATCGAATTGTCTAAATTATTCTCTTCCCGATCCCGATGCGTCACTATTTGTGTTAATAAGTTGTGATTCTTGGCATCAACATTTCTCGGTGGCCACCCTGAACCCATTTTGTTTCAACCTTCAATCAACGGGATAAAGCTTTTACAAGAAATATGATGTTGGTTGCTCAGACGACGTTATTTTTCAACAATACTTTTGATCGACCTGGCAAATCCAAAAGTCTATTTATTGTTCTGATTAGGTGAAGCCATGATGCATCTCGCATTGACGACGCTAACATCGCGAAGGCAAAGAGCATCATATTATCAGCCGCCGAAAAAATTTCCACCCGCATTTGTACGAAGATTTCTCATCCGTTACCCAAGAGCCCATCTATGGGGAATCACGGTATTGGGTGCTGGCGCTTTCGTGCTTCCGGTCATTTATCAGGTTGGTCAGATTCGCCTTTCTCAGATTGCTATGCATCCAAAATACGATAAATATTATTTTTAGTCGTATTTCTACTGCGTCATGACTCCGGAAGAGTGGTACGCGCACCGAACGGACCATGAAGCGAAAGTACTGCTAAGGCAGAAATACGGCCGGGATCTATGGTTCCCCTCATTCCTGACGAAATTCTTTGCGCCTTCCGTGAAGAAAGAAGACGACACCCTATTGGATTGACTTTGTTTGTTTCTAATCAATGGCTATCGTAGTTTTGCTAGTTGTTAGGCTGAATTATAAGCTAGTTCGTTTGCTTCGTTTCGTGAAATTTGCGGGTCTATTTGCATGTGGAACATGCTATAAATTCTTTCAAAATCATTTTCGTAAGCTCATAATTTACGTCTGCAAGCCAAAGACTGGTGGGTTTTCTCAGATCCCGAGAGCTATTGGGTGGGTCTTGGGGCGGCTATTGCGTTCTGTGTCTCTCTCGTTTCTCACGTGTATTGCCTGTCCCCCTCTTTCCCTCTCCGGTTGTTTGCGAGCACTTGGGTAACATTAACTCACAGTCACAGATCCATAGTGTCCTTCATATTATTATTGCGCACGGCTCATTTTCATTTCCTTGCTTTTCCGAAAATTCGCTTCTTTTTTACCATAATAATTTTAGATAGCCTTCAACAATGGACGAGGATGATTATGATTCGTCAGCGGCGAGTGATAATGAGGGATCTCAGGTAAACAATTCTGATAAACGATCTATTGTTTTGTAGAAATGCCTGAGCGACGACGATGGCATAGCCGATGTTATCGATGATACGCCGCGATCTTCACAAATTGACCCCGGTGTCCACCATCGCACCGTGCTCGAGATGGACAGCCTCGTCGGAGAGATGAATAAAATGATAGGAGAGGTCAGTTTATTGATAGCTATCTAACCCTGCTTTAGGTGAAGGAAGTGATTCCGGTCACTTCGGGGGTGGCCCGAATTCTTCTGCACCAATTTCAATGGAATAAGGAGATGCTTTTCGAAAAGTAGGCTCTTTAAAACCATTTTTATTCTATCTTCTTTTAGATTTTTCGACAGCGGAAACGAAGACGCCTTCTTGAAGCTGTATCGCGTGTTGCCGTCAAAGACCGTTGCCCTGCCGAGTAGCAGCCACGGGGAATGCGAGATTTGTTTGCTGGTGAGTTTCGAAACTAGTTTCGGAAATCCCCGGCATAGGAGGCTCCACTCTCTGGGCTCAAGTGCAATCATCTGGCTTGCTCGAACTGCTGGGAGCGCTACTTGGAGACAAAGGTCTGTTTTTGGAACATTTTTGACTTTTTATTTTTTTAGATAACTGTCGACTCCTGTTCGCAAATCCAGTGCATCGCTTCGGGGTGCACGCTTTTGACGGATGATGAGACTGTCTTCAACTATTTAAAACTCACCAACGCTCGACAGGTGCTGCAGCAATTGTTTAATTGAATCTTTCTTTTTTAGATCTTCAAGCGGCTGACCACGAATAGTTTTGTCGAGGCGAATCGACTAATCAAATGGTGCCCAGCGGCGAATTGTGGGAAGGCGGTTAAGGTGAGTGTAGATTGGAAAAACGCTTTAACCGAGGACTGTTTTTATAGCTTTTAGTAGTTTAGAATTTTTCATAATTTTTTATTACTGAAAACCTAAAAATTATAAATTAGAAAATTTTTACATTTTTGTAATTTTATTTGATAGCGTTGGCCAAAAAAACAACGTTTCCAAAATCAATAAGTTTTACAAGTTGATATTTCAAAGGGCTTTTTTTGCTATCGAAGTGGCTTATCTTTACTTATGTCCTTTAATTTATACTTTTTTTGGATCCGGATTCTGGAACTAACATTCCTATTTGAGGTTGCACATTCCGAACCGCGCCCGATATTGTGCACCTGTGGGCATCGTTGGTGCTTCTGCTGCTCGGAGCAATGGCACATCCCGGTGAACTGCCGCCTTCTCAAGCTGTGGCTCAAAAAATGCAACGATGACAGCGAGACGAGCAACTGGATCAACGCGAACACGAAGGAATGCCCGAAATGCCAGGCGACTATCGAAAAGGACGGCGGCTGCAACCATATGTCGTGCAAGAACACGGCCTGCCGCCACGAGTTCTGCTGGATGTGCCTTGGCCCGTGGGAGCCCCATGGGAGCGCGTGGTATTCGTGCAATCGGTACGTTTTCTAGTTGTCAATGATTTGGGTAGATTTCAACCGAAAAATTGTACGGAAAACTTTAAAATCTATTTGAAAATCACAATTTTTTACTATTTTTTAGCAAAATTGGTAAAGTTTTACTTTACGGCATATACAAATACGAAGTAAAAAGTGTACTAAAGAAACAAAGGTATTTTTCCGAACCGAAACATAGTCTTCCTTTAGATTTGACGACTCGAACTCGAAGACGGCCCGCGATGCCCAGGAACGGTCGAGAGCCGCACTGCAACGCTATCTCCACTACTACAACCGATATATGAATCACCAGCAGTCGCTGCGACTTGAAGGCAAACTCTACGCTGCCATCAAAACGAAAATGGACCAGCTCCAGCAGCACGGCATGAGCTGGATTGAGGCTCAATTCCTCCGACAGGTAATTTTTTGGATGTATCTTAACGTGTATTTTAGGCTGTCGATGCTCTGACGGAATGTCGCCGTACTCTGATGTACACCTACGCGTTTGCCTTCTACCTGGTCCGCGACAACCAGGCGGCCATCTTCGAGGATAACCAGAAGGATCTCGAGATGGCTACTGAGGAGCTGTCGGGCTATCTGGAGGGCGAACTGCAGTCGACTAACCTGCAGGACTTGAAACGACAGGTTAGAAAAGTGAAAAACGGTCATGATTTTCGGGGTATTGGCGTTTTGTTATGTGACATAGCTTTTTCATAGATATTGCAATTCAGAAAAATTTCAGTTTTGAAACATTCCTGAACTATGAGGACAAAAAAATTTGCGAAATTTTGCTCTAAAATTTTGAAAATTTTGGAACGTTTTCGGAAAGGCCGTTATCGTTCAAAAAATTCTGTTTGGAAAGCTGGGAGTTGCAGAAAACCCGGAACTCTATCGAAATACCGCCTAAAACCTACGCCTGGTGCGACATCTGCCACTTATCGATTGATTTTTTAGGTGCAAGACAAATACCGGTACGTGGAGAAACGGCGCCATGCCCTGCTCAGCCATTGTGAAGAAGGGACCGATCGCGGCACCTGGATGTACACCGAATGAACGACTCGCCGTCGCGCTTCACTGACTATCCGTATCCCCCACCCATTGATTTTACCTCTCGTGTGTTTTACCCCAAAAATGGCTCCGCTTCTCGTCATTTGGTTTCTGGTCATACGTGTAACTTGGTGTTGCCCCGCACTTTACTAGTCTGTTTGCCGGCAATTGTCGCCGCCCCCTCCCGAGTGCTCCATTTTAAACCCTTGATCCAATTAGTGATGTTTGACCGCCGGGTTCTGCTGTGTTCCGTGGGCTCTCTGGGGTGCCTTTCATTCCCGATTTCTATATGTATACACTGCTTGCTTGTATAGAACCCGCCAATATTGTGGTAACATGTGATTGCCTGGAATGTAATAGTCTCGATTTGCACGCCCAATCTAGTATCGCCTTATAGCGTCTCTGCTTTCTATCGCTCTGACCATAGCTCGAATAAAGTGTATTGAGAAACCTCGTTGAGAATGTGGCTACACTCGATTGAAACGATCAAATATACCTGGAGGTGGACATGAGACCGGGAAGCCGGGAAAATTGATGATTTGAAGATTCAGGATGTCGCTGGCCGATGAGTTGATGAATGATTTGGAGGAGGAGGATGAGGTCGACGACTTGGACGAGGTAAGGCTGGGTTTAAAAATCATGCCGAAATTAGATTTTTGTTAAAAATTCGGCTTTTACATAATATTTTTTAGATGAAAACGGAACAGGACGACGAGATAGATGAGGCGGTAGAAGAAGCCGTCCCATTGCCATCAACTACCCATTACGCCTCGGTATACGATGTGGCGAAGCTGAGGAAAAGCGATGAGTGAGTGACTACTGGTTTGCACATATTAAAGATGCTGACGAATTTCTGGATGCTTTGTTTAGATACGCGCAATGTATGGAACGACTCGAAAAAGAGCTCTCCAGTTCGGAGCCCGTCGTCGTGACTGCTCCGCTCGAAGCCGACCCTCAATACAAACTGATTGTTCGGTTATCACACGTGAGTGGGTTGCTATTTCGTTCATAGTTTATTTTAGCTGGCCGCCGATATCGACAACGAGTTCCATGTCATCCACAAGTTCGTCAAGGACAAGTATGAGAAGCGTTTCCCGGAGCTCGACTCGCTGATCCCCAATACACTAGAGTAAGTTCATAGTTGTAATTTCTAATCTGTTTTCGTCTAGATATATGTCTGCCGTCAAGCTGCTAGGAAATGATATCAACACCAAGGGGCAGAACAAGGAGCTGCTTCGAAATATTCTCCAGCCTTCCACTGTGATCGTCGTCTCCGTGACTGCTTCCACCACTCAAGGTTTGGTTTTGTAAAGAATTAATTATTGTTTAATCTTAAAAAAAATATGTTTTTTTAGGACAAGCCCTTGACGACCAAGAACTGCGAGCTGTCAACGATGCATGTGATCTGTTCATCGAGATGCATGATCACAAGTTTGTTTCCATCACTTTGCTTTTAGAAACGCTTTTTTAGGATTGCTATGCACAAGCTGGTGGAGATGAGAATGGCCCTGATCGCCCCCAACCTCGTCGAACTCCTTGGAGCTGCCACGACGGCCATGTTGGTAAGTACGAAAACGATCTTTTTGAACTTATCGTTTTAGGTCTCACAAGCCGGTGGGCTGATCCAACTGTCAAGAATGCCGGCGTGCAACATCTTGGTCCTCGGAGCTCAGAAGCGGGCCTTGAGCGGCTTCTCATCTGCGCACGTCAACCCGCACACCGGATTTCTTTTCTACCACCCTGTTATCCAGGTATTTAGCCCGTTATCGATGCAAATTTGGCTCCAGACATTGCCGCCGGATGTGCGAAAGAAAATGGCGCGCAAGCTTGCCGCAAAAGTGACGCTTGTTGCCCGGGTAGACAGTCTGCACGAGGAGCCGGACGGAGCCTATGGAAGGGACATGACCGAGCAGGTACAGCCTTCAGCGATTTCAGCTCATTTTTTATTTTTAGATGCGCACCAAGATCCAGAAGGAGCTCGAGCCGCCGCCAGTCAAGTCGCAGAAGGCGCTGCCTAAGCCGCTCGACAAGGCCAGCAAGAAACGCGGTGGCAGGCGCGTTAGGAAGATGAAAGAACGTATGTAACATTCTCTTTGCTCACGTAACAAATTTTTTCAGGTTTGGGAATGACCGACTTGCGCAAGCAGGCCAACCGAATGAACTTTGGACAGTTGAGCGAAGACATCACTCAGGATGAAATCGGCTTCGGGTTGGGCCAGGTGTGACTTGGAATGAATTACTTCAGTTGATCTGGATTTGGCAATATTTAGATTTCTAATCTTTAAAAGTCTCCTGAAAAGTGAGAAATAGCATCGTGTTTTTCAACTGTTTTTATGCCCAAAACGTAAAAACAAGCTAAAAACAACCGCAACAACAAAAAAAATTAAACGTAACAATTTTTTAGATAAAAACTGGCAGCGTTACTGGCGGACGTATTCGTGCCGGTGTCGTGGACAACAAGACGCGCGTCCGCATGAGCCAAAAACTTCAGCGCCAAGTCGACCGACAACGGGTATATAAATGCCTATCGTCTGAATACATTTTTTTAGGGACCCGGCGGTCAAACAACCGTTCGCTCGAAAGTCACTTCCGGCACGGCTTCCACCGTCACCTTCACCCCGGTCCAGGGACTCGAGATCATGAACCCGACGGCAATCGAAAAGGAATCACCCTCCACTTCGTCATACTTCTCCTCTTCGGCTTCTTTCATGCACGCCAAAACGCCGAAGCCCCAATAAGACCACCAAAGTTGTTGTTATTTATTTACTTGTTATATCTGTCATTTCTCGGATCTCCGCCCCCTCGTGTATGTTCTCCATTTTCTTTTCATTATTTATGTAATATTACAACCTTGGACAAGACTGATACGATATCACGGGACACGCATAAAAGAAAAAGCGCGTACTTCTTCTCAATTTCCGTATTCACAAGACCCATTACTGTGAAACTGAAGGACATGGGGGAGGGGGGGGGGGAACAAATCATAAATCTTTCCAGGGATTATCTGGGTGGAATGTAAATGTGAAAGGTATAACAATGCATCTAGGGTATGCGTCTGGTTTTGAAAGGAGAATATTACAGTAGAGACCTCGGCAAGTCTATTCGGTCATCATAATAATTAGCAGCTACTGCTATGCTTAAAAAACGTATTGCGGCCGCAATTTTAAAATTATTAGCTCTACGAGCGGATACGACAAGGGTAGCAGCGGTCAAATTCAATAACCTAGATCACTTCGAAAATGGATAGGGTCCAGCGCCGGGATGGCCTGGTGGTGGTTGAAGCTGAACGCCAAGTTGTTGCATTGCCATCGCGTGCAGTTGTTCGGGCTTTTGGGACATCAGCAACTGCTGAAAAAGGAAGTAAGCATGGTCTCGGTGCGTTTTGGTACTGAACTGTTAGTGGGGGGGGGGGGTTGTGCTATCCACCCTTTACCAAATAAATACACAACTTTTCTTACGCTTTTAGTTAGTTTCCACTACCGATAACAACTATTAAAAAATTCCAAAATTGTTGCGTTTTTTTGGTTTAAAATGGTTGAAATATTCTAATTTCTGTACTCAATGCTAGTACTCAAAAACGCCTGAAAAAGTATAAAAATACATGTAAAACGGTTAGCTATTTGTTACGTATGCATAGGCTAGATAGCTCTTCCACCCCCCGCTAACAGCCCAGTACCGAGGTTTTTACGCAGGCTAAATGGACACATAAGGCCCATTTTATTACTCACCATTAGCTGCTGGTTCTGCAAGCTCTGATAGGCCATCTGATGGTTGAGGTTGATTTGGGCTAAAAAATCGAATTTGCTCTATTCAAAAGCTGTTAATAATACCTTGTGATTGGCCGGGCTGCTGCTGTAACTGTAGCATCGGTGCATTGTGCATTTGTACCATCGGGGCGGGTGGAGGGCGGGGGGGCTGGGGAATGGGCCATTCCTGAGGTGCCCAAGCCGAGTGTGCCTGAAAAATGGGGTTGAAAGGGTGAAACAACTAGTAGTTTCATTCTTATTATTACTAGTTAATACTATAGATGACTTACCTGAACTCTTCGCGATGCCGATCGGGCTTTGACCCATCCGGGCCTGTTGTCCGAGCTGGCTTGTCAAAAGCATGTTATTGTCGCTGGTGCCGGCAACTGGAAAATTAGCGATAAATGGTATTGGTTCCTTAGCGGCGGGGGGGGGGGGCGTAGTTGACGCCAATTTTGGCTAAAAAAATAAGAACATATCCAAAAAAAAGTTGATTTTTTGTCGAAAAATCCAAAAAAATCGTCAAAAAATATTAAAAATGTTTCATTACTTTCAATTAAGCGGAAACTAATAAAAGCACTATAAAACAAGTCCGTTTTTATTGCTAGAGTGAGATGAATAAAAGATAAATCTAGCAAAAACCACCAACCTAAAGATTTTGCATTCAGCTCATGGATCTTGTGGTGTGGCGGCCGATTGTCGGCCGGCCTCGGCTGAGCTGGAGAAGAAGAAGCGGCCAACCCATATTGCGCCAATCCCGTCAGGTTTCCTTCTGAAAACCGAAGTATCAACGCGCAACAAGCTAATGTGATGCCCGAAATACCGAAAAAACATAGAATTTTAAACCCAGAAAGAAATTCACGATGATGCACGATACAACGAGCTAAACTCACGATTTTGCAAGTATAAAGACATTAATTGATTAGTGGAGACGGGTATGTGAATGGCTACAATAAGGTGGCCGTCAGCTTAAAAATCCTTACGTCGTGGCGATGCGGTGTTTGGTTGTGGCGGGTTGGCGGCAGGGGATGGTCGTCCTTTTACTGAAAAATATGGGGTTTTTTTTTGACCCTTCAAAGTTGGACATACGTGCATCGAGGTTGTGGAAGGCGTTGAGCAGCGGCGCGGGGGCCTGAGAGGCCATTGGCAGATTGGAGGTTGAGGAGGAGGAAGGCAGTGAGGTGCCAATCGTGTGCAGGACCCCTGAAAAAAAAACACTTCAAATTTCGGTCAGCTTCAACTCGTTCAAAATTTTATTATCAATCCAGAAACGCTTAGCAACGTAATACTTAGTATTTTAATAGTGCTACTAGTAAAATCAACCAAATTTGAAGTGGAGAAGATCTCAAAAAAAAACCTAAACGAATTTTTTCGATATTTTTTTAATTGAAAATTTGTGAAGTTTTAACGTTCAGGAATAGCAAGAAAAGTTTAGAATCACTTCATTTATGTTATTAGCAAATTTGGATGATAGTAAAGCCCCCACCGATAATGCGAAAGCCCGTAATTTTACTTTTAATTATAGCAAGGAATTTTTTTAAGTCGATCTCTGTCTCAATAACTTCTCAAAAACCACCAAAATTAAGGTGTAGAAAGTTTTAGAATAAGCTAGAATTTGAAAAAATAATAATACGATATTCCAAAAAAATCCATAAATGAATCCGAAAAACAACAATTAAAATAATAATCCCATTTAAGGCGAAAATTCTCGTAAAAACCGACCAGTCGCCTCGACCTTTTGCAGGGCTTGAGCGTCAAAAGTCTGTGAAGAGGCTGCAGGTCTTCCCGGATTCGAAACCTCCTAAATTCGGACCGTATCAGGAAAACTAGCTAATACACCAACCTCACAGAGTACAGGTGCTTCATCGTCAGAAATATCCGAGTATTGCGCCCGCGTGGTTGCCGGAACTTCGCCAGTCGCCGCGGGCTTTTCCGGCTAAAACTCTTGGCGTCATCACGAAATTAAGGTTACAAATACTCGTAGCAAATCGTAAGTGGGCTCTGTTTCGGTGTGTTGATATCTGATCGTGTTTCCGTATACATCGATTAAATATACCGGCGGACTGACAGAGTCCGTCTGAACACCCGTCGACGAGCTGGCCACCAGATCAAACGGGGCATCGGTCCCTAAATTTTCCGCAATCAAAAACAGCTCTCCAACGCTAACCTCGATCCAGCAGCAATTTCTTCACCATTGAGAGAGAAGTCTGCGAGCATCGAGAGTCGTAGTTTTTCTGAAACATTTGGCTCCCTGGTTTTTGCAGAAAAAAACGCTTTTCTATAATTCCAGATCAACATTCTTGTAATAAAGAACATTTTCATAGCCGTTTTAGCAAAATTAACTCTTCATCTTCTTCTTCATAAATCTAAAAAACAGCTAAAAATCTAAAACTTTGTAAAAAAGGTTTTTGTGAAATTCTTTCAGCAATCGTAAAAAACTGTTTAGAAACACTGCTTCTTCTATAATAAAAACGGAACCCTAATGAACAAATTCTGGATCCCCAGGAATTCTTAACGTCTTTTAATTATGCTTATTAAATAATAAGATCTATACCTTGGTAGTAGCGTGTGCATGCTGCTTGTGATAATCCAGCTCCAGACCGCGCGTGAACTTGTACTCGCAGCCGTTGATGCCGCAAACGTGTAGGTGGAGAGGTGGAGGGATTTCGAATAGTGCCTAAAACAACGGGTTAAAAAGAATTAGAAAATTCTGTATTTACCGTGGTTTGCCGGGACTCGTCGTTGGAATCTGCATCCTCTTCTTCCCGCTCTAAAATGGGTCCGTAAAAAAATAAAAATCTGTAAAATATACCTTCAGTGCGGGTAGAGCGTTTCTTCTCGCCGGGTGTTGCCTTTGATCTTTTCGCGCTAAAAATAAGAAACAAAATCCAATCATAAATATAGGAATGTATAATATTAAACGCCTAACAATTATTATTATTTTTATTATTATTATTATTATTATTATTATTAAAGCCTAATTATCTAATTTGCAATGAATCTAATGAAAAACAACATTTTTGTGCCGCACCCAGAAAAATTCTTATTTTTACCAAAAAACAAAAGTCTGACCACGTGCGGGGTTCGAACCATTTTAAACTAATTCGGCTCATTAAATTAAACTAATAATTACGTCATTGAAAATAATAATTTTGGGTTTTTTACTACTTAAAATAAAGGAAATCCACGAACCTCTGCGAATTCCCGATACTATTCCTCCCTTTGCTAGGTGTAGAGGTGGAATTGCCCTTGTCACGCCCGCCCTCCTTTTCATCATCCCGGTCTCGTGCTTGTGAAGTGCTGGCGTTACCCGTTCGGCTAAATAAAGAACCGTAAATTTATACTTCTGTAGCTTAAATTTATAATGATAGATATAGTATAATATTCGTAATCGACCTACCTTTTCTTAATCGGCACATTCATCGGCATTCCGTCGGAGACAACGCAATAATATTCCTCTTCCTTGTAGCGGAGTGACAAGTAGAGAGCATTTGCTGTAAAATATCAGTTATTTCTACCGAGTTCTGTTTTTGTATCTTGAAAGAATGAAATTCTGAATCCTCGAAAACAACGTACTTCCGGTTTTGTAAATGACAGTGTAGTTGAGAACGCCGTGAGCTCCATGCCCCTGATCGAAAAACGTCTCTGCGTTTTCTTCCTGAACTGCAACGGATCGCACACTCGTCGAGGCATCGACCATCTGAAAAAATAGGCTTGATAAAACTAGCTTTCCACAAACCTCTCGCTTCACTTTTTTGACTGGCATCTCCTTTTTGCAGGAAGAGAGGCGCTTTCTGTCTTCGTACGGCTCTTCTTTTATTTTCTAAAAAAGGGCTCGATGATCTTCTTACAGTTGGAGAAAATTGCTTCAAAGCGAAACCTTTACCAACCCTTTCGTGATGATGCCCGTGTGAATGCGCATTCTCCTTGTGATCTTTCGAAGGGCGAGCGCTGTAAATATTGATTATATTCTATTGTTAGCCGATTCCAGCTATTTAAAAAAACCGTTGCAAAAACTCACATAACAGCATCCTCCATCACCTTCGGACGCCCAGGGGAAATTTTTACGGACGGCGACCGCTTTGCCATCGTCTGATTCTCAGTTTTTATCTAAACAGACTGTTTATGAAGTTGTTATATCAAATTCACCTTTTCAATCGAATTCGTGTCCACCGTCAACGCTGGGGCGACTTCTTGTGTGGGGGAGACGAGAGCCCCTGCCGGCGCTGTATTGATCCCGATCCCGCCCGTTGTTTTACTGTACCTAGAACTACGGATGAGATGTTGATCTCCAAATCGAGCCACAAAGAGAGAGGTGAAAATTGCGGGCTAACCATGGGTCTGCGTTGAGCGGTTGGGCTGGTGGGGCGATGGGTGGGGGTGTTTCAAAGTAATTAGCACCGGTGTCCATTTCTTCCAGGATCTCTCCCTCTTCCATCGACTCGTCCACTTTACCCGCGATTACTAGAATATTTTGCTTAGGTTTTATTAGTCCCAATAAAATTACTTCGAAAATAAATAATCAGCTGATTCCGAGGTCAAAATGAGCTTCAACGTTTAGACTTACCATTTTCCAACCCATTAGTTCCATTGGTCACAGGAGGTGGATGGTCCGCAGCCAACGGCCCAACTAAAACTATCGTTAGAAACGTTGATATTCGAAAAAAATAAAAACGCTTTTGACCTAGATCTTTGTTATGATCGTGACGTCCTTTTTGAAGCCCAACTAACCTGCAACCTTCACAACATCACCATCTTCCTGGCCCGAAGTCACTAAAAATATAACGTTTCCTTCTTGGATCGATGTTGCCTACCCGAAGAATCGTGATCATCGATCAGCAGACGGTCGCTCTCATCATCTGACATTTACCCGAAGAGCCAGAAGACCCAGCTCCCAATACCCTACAACATCAGAAAATAATAATAATAGATGGTTGTTGTCAAGTTATTTGCTGGAATTGGAAGAAAATAAACAGTTTTTCTGACCGATCAGGCATTACAAAAGTTGATGGCATGAGATTTGAGCAAATTTCAAAAGGCTTGAAAGTCCGAACGTTGCGCGCAAAACTCGAGATCCCCTACTCAATACGGCGTCTCAATCCGCAAAACCACAAACAAGCATCTTGAAAGAGTTATTAAGCGATTTGTTTCTTTTAAACCACAGCTAAACTTGAGATCGGCTCGTCGATGTCGTGGCGTAAAACCAGAATATAAAGAACACCGGGCTTCTAATTTTACAACAAAAAGCATTGTCAGCTTATCCCCAGGGGACATAATTTGGAGCTGTCCTCGGCGGTGGGTGGGGGCAGTGGGCGGCGGTGCCGGGTCAAGAAGAGAGAGTGTGTGTTGACACTAGTTACCGCACGCATCCACGCTTTAGCGCATTGCCCGGCCACACGCGGGAAATTCGAATGGGCCCTGGGGGGTAAATTGGGGGTAAAGGCAAAATATGGGGGGTTTTTGGTGGGCAAAAGCCTTCGGAAAAGCCCTGAACATCGAAAAGCTTCTTTTTCACTTTTTAAAAAATTAAAATCTATGAAAATTGCTCCGTTCGACTAATATGTACGTACAATCGTAATTTGGAAGTCCCGGAATACCGTATCCTTTTGCCGGTAACCGAAAAAGGTTCTTGGATTTTATTCTAATTTGTGGGCCCTAATTCCTCAAAGTATCTCTGCTAGCCTGCACCGATTCCTCAAAGAATCTCTGCTAGCCTGCCCTCCGATTCCGCAGGCCAATAATTCTATCCCTGGCAAAATTTTGACGATTTCGGTCATATCTTCTAAGTTGTGTAAATTTTCCTTTTCCAGATCAGATGATGCCAAAAAGTAAACGGGCCAAAACGCAGGCATGCGAGAAGAAGCGGATCAAGGTCGACAAAACAATACCGTATCGAAACTTGTTTTTAGACAGGGAAGGTGCTGAAAAAGACGGCCGTCGCCGCCCCAGAGCAGAAGGCCAACCAAATGTTGATGAAGGGGAAATTGACCGAAAAAGAGGCAGAGGAGCTGGACAAAGAATTGGTCGCTGCAACAACCCCACCACAGTTGACTGTCGAATCAACGAGCCTTCTTGGATCACCGCAAAAGGTGCAGCTTTAAGTTTATTGCTGAATCTGATAATTCTTTAGTTGTGGAGTTTGATGGTCGACTGCGATAAAGTGCTGCGACCATCGCAAAAATGCCTAGAAAGCCACCCAGCCATCAAACGGAATATACGCTCGATTTTGATAGACTGGATGATGGAGGTATAATTTTTCGGTTCTTTTGGATTATCGGGGGAGGGGGGGGAATGAATGAACTTGTTGTATAAGTGTAGATATTTTTAGTATGTTATAGCAATGTTTTAATAGTGTTTTAGTAAAATATAACTATATTTCATCTAGAAAACTATCTAAAAACTTTTGAACAGTCGCCTCCACAAGTTTGGTCAAAAATCGGCCTTTTTTGTCGAAAACATTTTTCCATTAGAAACTTGTAGACGTCCCTTCAGGTCTGTGAATCGGAGCGGCAACACCGCGAGACATTTCATCTGGCCATTGACTACGTCGATCGGTTTCTCGCCAACTCTTCGGACATCGAATGCGAACGATTTCAGCTGCTCGGGATGACCGCTATTTTTATCGCGAGCAAATATGAAGTGAGAATTTGCTCCAATCAGCGGTTATCATTTATTCTAGGAAATTTACCCGCCGAAGCTGGAGGACTTCATTTACTACACTGACAACGCGTGCACATGCCATGAAGTGCGTGAGATGGAGTTGTACGTGCTCGAGGTATTTATTGATTCTTTTCCACGACGCAACTTTTTATTGCAGAAATTAAACTGGATCTTATCGCCCATCACTTCCATCCATTGGCTCGCCTTTTTTATGCAACTTTTGGGGAAGAAGGAGCTTCCACCACCCAACAGCGGCCCGAGTCCAGATATCCCCTGCGTTGTCCCGAATCTGATGATTGGAGACTTTATGCATATGGCAAAGGTAGTACAGATTTTTCTGTGTATAAATTTTTCCCAGATACTCGACCTCTGTCTCGCCGACATCCGAACACTTGAATACACCTACCGAGAAATGGCCGCCGCCGTCCTGTTCAATTGTTTAGAACCGCAGAAATTAATCCAACAAGTAACCGGTAAGAATTAAGTTTATTCTAACCTTTTTATGCTTTTTAGGTATTCACCCCTTCTCGATTGCTCGCATTATTGAGTGGGCCGAGCCGTTCGTACGGTATTGCGACCAGCGTCGCCCGACTGGTAACATCATTTTACGATTTTATGCTTTAAAATCGGTTTAGGAGATCCTATCCCACACCGTGATGGCGTGCCCATCGATGATCTCCACAACATCCAAGGCCACAACTATTACGATAAGATTGAGGATGCATTGGTGAGAATTAAAGTCTACAGGGTGTTCCAAAAAAAAAGGTCCAAGTTTACCCCCGAATAACTCGAGAAGGAAACATATTTCACGGTGCGTTACCATGCCAGAATGCTTAAATATGTCAGGAATAGGGAAATAACTCAACTTGATTTTTTCGATTTTTGGCGACGTACCCATACAAATGACACCCGAAAACTGTGCGTTCCGGCAAAACTTCGTTTGCACTTTTTTGGATTGCTGGTGGTCGAAAACTTCCAATTTTTACAGTGTAGGTACCTCAGGATCGCCCCTACGCACATCCGAAATTTTAGAATTTTTGAAGGTCAGTTTGGCAAGTTATAGCGTGCTCAAATTTAATATGGCGAAATTTCGTAAATTTCGAATATTACAAAAACCTATGGTAGAAACCTCAAAATAAGCTGTTTTAGCATGTCTATAGGCTCGATACAATCCCACAAAAATATCAAAAAAAATTTTCAGATCCGTCGATTTTTGAGTTTTTTGACGACCCCCTGGTCATGGATTTTTCCGAGGTCACGAAACTGAACTTTGGAAAAATATTTCTAAAATTGCAGATAGAATTTCGGTGTTTGCTTTGCTTGGTTGCGTAGTACTGGGGTCCATCTATCATGTACACAATTTCTAGCTACCGTACCCATTTGGAAGGGTGTCTTTTAGCGCCTCCAAAACGGTTGGTTCGTGCTATTTAGCAGACCTTCGTGCCAGTCTATAAAATTCAATTGCGCGGCTAGAATTATTGTCATAATTTTATTTAATACTACCTAATGGGCGCATTCTAAGGTTATATTTACAAATTTATTGGGCCATCCAATCTCTCAAAAGAAATTCAAGAAGAGTCCAAATATACCCGAATTCGGGACGAGGTAAAAAAATTCTCGAGGGTTTAGTAGGCCCGACTTTTCTGGCATAGATCAAGCTTGGGTAATCAACTAGAACCCATGCAAATACCAATCCTTTTCATGCCAAACGAATTTAGAAGAGCACCCCAAAGTCGGCTTTTCAAAAAACGTTATTTTCGGGTTTTAAATCAAAATCAACCATTAACTTCAGCCAGATCATTCCAGTATTTTTTTCTCATACCCAATTCGATGCGTGCTTTAATTGTATCCACCAAACCCCGGTGCCTTTTTCATTTTCAAAAATTCGATATTGGACCCCGGGGGGTCAGATCCAAAATCGGGCCCCAGGGCGGGTTTTCCTCTTTCCTTCATAACTTTGTCATTTGCCACAGGAATGAAGTCATTTTTTGCATGTACGCTTACAAGCACCCAGCGAACAGTCTAGAATTGAAAAATCGGCACTTTATGGAATTTTGTCTTGGCATGCTAAAACGCGCTCCAGGCGGGTTACGGTAGAAAACAGAAAATCGCCGTTTTCTCGTTCTTTTCACCATAGAAACGTTTCGATCTTTTGGGAAAACAAATAATAGTAGTTTTTGGTCCCATGCATCAAAAGATTTCGACATTTCCGTGGCTAAATGCAAAAATCAGTTTTTTGCATTTTTTAGGAAGGTGTATGGCTAGAACTTCGAGATATTTAGCCCATAGGTGACCCTTACTGGTGTTTACCAATGATAAAATTTTAAGCGAAATCGCAGCTTACAATAAAAAGAAAAACGCGAAAAACCAAAACTACAGTATCCCTCTGGGGCACGTTTTAGCAAGCAATAGAAAAATACCATAGAATCAGGTAAAAATTGGTATTGTAATAAAGATTATCATTCGGAGACACCTATTGCAAAAGATCAGCCATGGGCAGCGTATTTGAAGCGAGTTGCCAATTAAAATGTCGAAAGATACAAAATAGGGTAATTTGTTTTGTTTGTAAAAAAAGAATTAGAGCTTGAAAAATTCAAAGACTTGGCCATTACCTTTCTACAAATGTCAACTATTTTTCGGCCAAAAATCAGAATTTTCCCACCTCCCATTCAAGAACGCACAATTTTCGGTCGTAACCAGCGTCAATAGTACAGTTGCGTACTCAAAAATCGAAAAAATCAAGTTGAGTTATTTCCCTATTCCTGACATATTTAAGCATTCTGGCATGGTAACGCACGGTGAAATATGTTTCCTTCTCGAGATATTCGGGGACAAACTTGGACCTTTTTTTTTGGAACACCCTGTACTTCTTTTGGAAAATGGGCCCGCGATCAAGGAGTGGTTTTGGCGTTTTGCGATGTCAAAGAGCTGATTCGATTGAGCTTCATTTCTGAACAACTGCCATCTTTCAAAAAATTGCTGTGCGAATACAGTCGTGGAAAAAAATTTTCTCTCAAACGACCGTGAGATGTTTCTCTAATTCGTGAGAATTTCCGTATCGAGCTCATCTAAAAACTTTATTTTAGATGCGCTCGATACGGAAATTCTCACGAATTCACGAAAGAAAAATTTTTAGGCCGAGATCGAGGAAGACCGCAAACAACTTTCTCATCAAGCACGCGAGCTACGGATGGCCGGGAAACGACACGTCCTACGCGCCCGATTATACGTCTAGCCGATTGCCGCCCCAACAATTCGCCAAAGTCTTTCTCAACGGGTCTATCCAGCGCTTTCATTGGTATCGTCTTTTCGTCATGTGAATACGGTGGTACTTTCATTTTCGTGTTTATGTGATAATTCTATTTTTCGAATTTGTGCGCCCCATACTAGATTTTGGGTCTGCAGTCCCCGAATTTTGTGCTGCCATTCCCTTCAATTTTCTATCTATGATTGTGTTTTGTTCATCTGTTTATTCCGTTTCGGGTCATTGAGCTAACTGCATCCCCCGTCATATGCGTAAGATCTCGGGTAAAAAAAATGCGTGGCGAGTGGAAGATAAATGAATACGCAAATTCTTGGCAGAGTGCGCGACAAGTTTTTTAATTACAAGGATTACCGTACCGTGTACTTACTATTTAGGGTCTCCTACTGTGGCGAGGTGCTTTGAGTACTCCCACTTTTGCACTTCTGCTATTATTCATTTTTATTTATTTAGCTATATTTCGGTACGCTACCGGTGCAAAATATTTAGCAAGAGCTTCACAGAGGAGTCGGTGGGCCTCACCCCCTCTCATTACGAGGAGCTCCGATAGACATCCCTCCCCTTGTGCCGTTGTGGCCCAGAATTCTGTGCAAATTTCTTGAAAGACATCATGATCCCGTTGATTTAGAAAAACTGCTAACTATGAAGTTTCCAAATTTAATTTAAAGTTTTGTAGGTAGTACTATCGTGCTAGACTTTTTGTTTCCCCAAGCTGACTAATTCACCCCCTTTTACTCAATTGAATGGTGCTCTCCAGAATTAAATTCACCAATTTTTCAATTCACCAATTTTTCAATTCAAGCATCAACCTCTCAATTTCAGATACAATGTCTTGGTTTGGGTGGCTCGGAGGCGGCGGCGCGACCGGTGTCCCATCAGAAGCAGCTGCTCCGCTTTCCAGTAATTAATTTCATCTCATCGTATACCTTTCTTTCAGGCGAGCCAATCGTTTCCTCCGAGCTGCAGCTCCATTCGGACGAGTCGATCCCAGCAGGCACATCCTCCGACAACTCATTCGGCAGTTTCGGGCTTGGCAACTTTGGCTTCGGCGGTCCGACAAATGAGGCGCCCCCAGAGCCAGCCCTACCTCCAACGCCCGTTCTCGCACTCGATCAGCTGAAGACTGCCGGAATTCCGTTGAATCGTGGCATGACTCCATACTTACAGGTATTATCCTAGTTCTTAATTGTATAATTAATATAACTTTAGATAGACCCTGGAATGTTTGCGAATACACAGCCACAATACATTATGCCGGATGGAGGTGCGTTTCATAAACGATATATTGTATTCTTTTTTGATTTAGGCACGACGGGGAAAGGCAAATTCGAGTTTGCCCTCGGCTACATTGGATGGGCTGTCGGCTCGGGCTATTTCGTTGGCTGCGCTCGTGGCGCGATCCCAGAATTCTTTAATTCGGAGACAAGGGCCCTGGTAAAACTACATTGTTGTGTTTTTACGCGATTTTGTAGGCTGGTCGACCCTGGATGACGCGTATGGTCAACGCGACCGTGAAGCACGGCAGTGGATATGCTCAGCCGGCCGGCACGGTCGTTTTTATGTATTCTGCTATGGAAATCGGTAAGTCTGGTGGTCTAGTGAAAAACCAATTTTGATTTTCATTTAATTAATTTTATTTATAGCTATGCGTTATTTGCGAGGCAGCGACGACGATCTCAATTCTCTTGCTTCCGGAACATTGACCGGGGCAATCTATCGATCTCCACATGGTTTGACAAGGTTTTTTAAAAGTTATATTTTTTAGGCATCCGTCCTTCTGCTATTGGCGGTGCTGCCGGTCTCGCTTTATCAACGCTCTGGGTCCTCGTCCATCCCGATTCTCGACGTCGAATTTTTGATATGTTTGGCCGCGATTAGATCTATTAGATTTCCGTTTTTTTTGTCACGGTGCATATGATACTAGTTGTTTGAGTTAGTTTAGGCGTTTGTTGGCTTTGATTGTCGATTTGTTGCCATTATTGAAAAATTCAATAAATCCTTACAGTTTTTATTTGTGAAATTGAAAAGGCATCGGGAATGGTTATCATTCGTCGTCGTCTTCATCGGCGCCGAAGGAGAGTAGAGATTTGTTGACGGGTGCCGGCTCTTGGTCATCATATGTCCGCTTTTTCTTGGTAGCCTAAAAAGCATTGTCACTCTTGCGATAATTTCAACCTCTTTCTCGGGCTCGGGTTCGTCAGGCTTCCGTTTGGGCGCTGGTTTGCGGAAAACGATCTTTCCCTCCGCTATCAATTTATCTAACAAGAAAGAAAATAGATTTAACGTTTAGTCAATAACTTGCCATCCTGTTCCTTTTTTCGCTCAGCCAATTCCTTGTCCAGTTCTTCTCGTGAAATATCGTTGGCTGGATCGAGGACGACAACCTGTATTTAGAATGCAAAAATGAAAGATTGACCACTGACCTGGGGTCCGTTGTCACCAAACTCGTTCGCGTCGTCGTCCTCGTTGCTCGGGCCGGCGTCTGGATCTTCAAACTTTAAAAAATTGCTGATTATTAGTATTTTACTATTTCAATACCTTGTCCTCAATCTGCGCTTCACGATAGCCGAGTTTTGCGCGAATCTTCTTGATAAAGTCTGGCTCGTCTTGCTTTGTGAACTGGATGCCATCTCTTTGATTGAAGGTTGGTTGCTTGCCTCCACCACGTTTGCCTGGCATTCTGAAAAAAGGAAATTAAAAATGCTGATATTAAAATGTATAAAATAAAGCTTTGTTAAAAATTGTCTTGCTTTTTTTGGCTATCTTTTGGGGTGGAGTGAATTCGAATCGCAATTCTGGGAGTACGTTTCGCTCCTTGTGTCAACCAGGTCAGCTGCTCTCCACACAATCGCACCCGGGCTAATGCAACGGATGGTTTCTCGTGAAAAACTACTTCAAATCTCAGCTTTACTTATCAGGTTTATAAGATAAAAAGTTTTTAATATGGAGATATAGCACCTGTCGAAGCTTTTGAGGCTTATTATGGACTTTCCTAAAAAGCACTGCTCAAAATTACGCGCTCAAACTTTTACAAGAAAAGCTAACAAAACATTTCCAATTATCTCTTCAAATGGTATTGCTTTATAACGCTCGATTCTCCTGGCATGTAGCTCGTAAGGCGTCCACTTCAACTTTGTTTTTAGATATAATGATACCAGAATTAAAACGCTCTTTGTCGTTTTATCGGCGCTATTGCGGTTTGCTGCCCCCCTTATAGCCGCCGAAAACGAGAAAATAAACGTAGTTTTTCCAGGCAAGCATGGCTTTTGAGAGGATGATGTTTTCCGTCACAGCGCGAAAAATTAGCCCGGAGCATGTAGTATTGGCCAGAAAACCGCACAAGAGCCGAAAATCTCGAAATACTGTTGCTCTTTGATACTCAATTGTAACGGCGTGGGGTATTATAAAGATTTACATTTTCTGTTTAGAGATGGTGTTATCAGAAGAAATCATCTACAAACGCCTGCGCACCGTTGTTAGTAATAGCGTATGTTGCCATATCTTTTCGAGAAGATAGCTGGCTTTAGGAAAGTATCGAAACCATCCGTCGATGGATCTTCCATCACTACGACAAAATCGAGTTGATCGTGGAGTGTTGGTTGAATGTTTTCCGTGCAGGTATGCGATTTATCCGGGGTTCCGGAACCTTAAATTTTAGCTACCGAAGAGCTTCGGATTGCGCTTTTCTACTTGATGAACGACGTCGTGCAGACGGCCCGTCAGAAGGAGCAGCCCGAATTTCTAGCCGCTTTTCAGCCGGCCCTGATTTCCGCCATCAAGGTCGGAGGGTATGATTTACCCTAAAAACTTCAACAATTATTTAGGGCCAATGATAAGGTCAGCTCGGTGATGGAGCGTGTGTTGAAAATTCTGGCTGAGCGCAAGATTTACCCCGAGGAATTTGTCGCGAAGCTGGTGCAAAGATTGAGTGGGTTTTCCCGCGTTTGGCCTGATTGTTCTTTTAGAAGAAGATGACGACGAGATCATCGAAATAGAGCCGGAAGAGCTGCAGACCAAGGCAAGATAGAATTTGGATCTAATAATTTTCAGATTGACAAATTCCAAGGAGCGCACAACGCCTTCGAGAAGGGTTGCTCGATAATCAAGGGCGCAAACTTTCATTATGCCGAGATGATTCAAACCAAACTGAGAAGTGAGGATTTTCTTAGATTGTATAATATTGATATTTTTAGACAGAGACGACGGCAAGGTGATGATCGGCCAAAGTAAGGCTGTGGTTGGCAAGATTGACAATTTTATTCACGCCGCCCAAGTACGTCAGCAGAGGGTAAGCGTGGATACGAGGGTTTTTTATCAATATTGTATTCATTTAGACGACTGAATTGATCGAGCTGATCGAGATGGCGCAACGGCATTTTACGCAGGAATCACGTGACGTGATCACGGCGGCAGATGTAAAATTTGCCGTAGAGGATTTATCTGTTTTTAGGCCTACAAGCAATTCTACAAGAGCATGCTCGCGTCGCAGAGAGAAATTGAGAACATGTCGGAACAGGTTGCTTGTTTGAATTATAGCTAGAACTCCGTTTTAGAATGGTTTCCCCGGCGCTACTCCTCCACGCGATGCGCCGTCGCCCACGGCACAAGAAGACATCTACGCGCAGGGTGTGGAGATGGCGTTGAGCTGTGAGCTTCTCCCCACTTTCTTGGTGTACAGAAAAGTGGTCCGGGGAATTCGGGCTTTTCTTTAAAATCCTCTGGACTGGACTGGAAATTCAGCAATACGCGGTCGGAGCGACAATCGCGAGGTGGCGGATATGGACATAGGAGAGGATGACGGCGGAGGAGGAGGGTTTCCGATGGTCATGCGTGGCCGCCAGAGTGCGTTTCGGAGTGCATCCCGGGGTCGTCTAACGGAATCTCGAATTTTGAGGATATAGCAAACAGCTGGTGCTTTCGCATTATTGGGGAACGTTAGGGAACGTGTTTCTAGACTATTTTTTTTACTATACCCAAAGGTAAAAACAAAGTTACTTTTTTCGGATGGTTAGATTCAGATTTCTAAGCCTTATAAGTTACTTATTTTTAGATTACTAGCCTTTTCTGAACGTTTGGAAAAAATTTCTCCCTCTGATAATGCGAAAGAATCAGCCATCAGTACGATCCGAGGAATTGCACGGCTAACCTTGCATCCAGCCTGAAAATTCGAGATTCTGACGGTTTCCACACCCCCGGGCTCGGAAGGCTTCCTTCACCCATCGCCTCGGTTGCTTCAGCAATTGACGCGCCGAATTCCTGTTACTGTCGAAACTAAAATTGCCTTCCGGTCCCAAAATGTTGTGGTTTGAGTTGTAACATGTAGCTTGTTTTCGTTAACGTGTGTCTAAAGAATCTTTTTTTAGATCCCTATCCCACAATGCCACCGATGGGCCAAACGGACCCCCGGATGGCGCCAATGCTTGCAACTCCATACCAACAGCCTCCTGCACCTCCTATTGCCGCTAAGAAAGAGGAACCGGAACGCCTGTCTCTTCGCAATCAGCCTCTTAATTATGAGGTAACGTCAAAGTTTTTGATTTCGGTTATTTTTTAGAATATTCGCAATCTGCTCGAAAAGGTTCGGCAAGTCAAGCCGTCTTCGTCTACAGATTCGCAGAAGCCAGCAGCCGAGGCGCAGAATGGACAGCAGCGACAAGTGAATGTACCAGGTGGAACTATTATTGTGATTTTTTTTTATTCGTGTTTAGAACGGGCCCCTCCAGCTCCTCCACCTAAAGTCGCTGCTCCACCAAATCACCCAATGATGCCGCCTGGCGTCGATTCGGTTCCACCGCCAATGATTATGGGTACGCTTAGATTCCCAGAAATTTTTATTTTATATTTCTTGGTATTTAAAAAGCCTGCATTTCGCGTTGTTATTATTATTTGTTTTTGTTTAAAATATAGTTTTTAGACTTCTCGCGGCCACCTCCCGGCTTCAGCGCGGCTCCACCGGTATTACTTGCTACAATTATCGATATGTATATTTTAGAACCCATACCAAATGCCGCCGATTCCGCCGCCCCCACCCCCATCTACTGCCCAGTCAAAAGATCTCGATTTGCGACCGCCGTCGCGTGACAAAACTCCTCAGCAGTACGGCTGGTGAGTGTAAAGTAAAAAATTAAATACTTCTTATATTGGACTTACTCTCAATCAAAAACTTCCTAATTTTTTCATCAAATTGATTTTTCGATCAAAAGCTTTTGATTTTTTAGCGTCTTAGATGCCTGCCATTTTTTAAATATAGTTTACGTTTTTTTAACGTTACTAGGCATATCTGGCCTTATAGGAAAAATTCATCCCCCACTAATGTTAACCAACCCTATAATCGATTCGTTTTTAGGCCACCACCACAGCCCCATCACCCCCCACATCCACCGCCATCTGCTCATCAACAGCAATACTCGGTATCAATTGTGTCTTGGCTTTAATTTTCCCACTTTTAGCCGTACCTTCCAGTCGCCAATGCTCCCCCTCCTCCCCCGCGTGACGGTTATGCGCCTCAGAATAATTCGATGAATGTGAGTCTGACTTTCGCAAATCTAAACCGAACTTAGAAACCAAAGCCCTACACCCCAATGCCGAATACGTATACCGGAGGCCCGCCGGGATTTGGAGCGGACAACTCTCGTCAAGATGGTGAGCTCTTGGTTACGAAGCTTAAAATTTGTTGGTCATCTCGGTTCTTTCGCATTGTGGGGAGACCAACTTTATTTGCTTAGGATCTAAGTTTCTAAGTGTAGGAAATTTTCTAAATGTTTTTTTGCCAATCCTAAACGTCAAAACTATACAAAAACTGTTTAGAAATACCGAACATCCTCGAAAATGTCATTTTTAACCTTACAAAAAAAGTTTATGTAATGCGTTGAGGTATCAGAAAACAAAAAATATTCTAGTTTTTTATTACCGGGTTATAGGTTCAGATTTCTAGTTCAGATGGTTTTGATCCCCCGATATCGTTGTCGCGATAACGATTTCGGGCCCGTTCGTATTTCGCATTTGACGATTTTTTTAGGGTATCGACAAAGCCGAGGTGGCGGTGATGGATATCGCGGATCGGATCGAGGTGATAGGGGCCATGGCGGTGGGTATCGAGGCGGAAGAGGTAATGTACCACTTTATACAACTTTACATCCGTTTTAGGCGGTGGCTACAGTCAGAACAGAGGCCACCCATACCGAGGCCAACAAACGAACGGCGGCGGATCCTGGAACGGGAAACACTAGCAGCGCACTTTTGGGCCCACATACCTACCACATCAAGCATAACTACTATTTGTTGAAATACTGTGTGCCGGGCAATATGTACCTCCACCAGTCGCCGAATGTGATAACTCGTATTCCGTCCCCATTAGATACTCGTATACCTCGTGCCCTTCGATTATTGTTTTATTTCGGATCTCATTTCCCTGGTTAATTTATGCCCCCAGTTTATGTTTGCACGTCTAATAAAAGATATATTGCTATTTTTCGCACTTTTTTCTAGGCGTTAAACCGCCTTTGCATACTGAAAATCTTCTAAAAAGGGGCTCGGTGAACGTAAAAATTAATGGCTTTTTGAGATAACTAATTCTAGGTTTTTGATCTCTCCTCCAAAAGATGGATGACGATGATGACTACGGATTTGTGCGTTTTTCTTTTCAAAACTATATTAGGTTCATTTTAGGAATACGAAGACGAAAACCCGTCGGAACCGGATGTTGATTTGGAAAATCAGTACTACACTGCCAAAGGCGCAAAGACCGACGGAAACAACAAAGAAGCCCTTGCGAATTTCGAAAAGGTCTTTTTTTTATTGTGACCTTCATACCATTAAAATCTTCAGGTGCTCGAGCTAGAGGAAGAAAAGGGAGAATGGGGCTTCAAAGCGCTGAAGCAAATGATCAAACTGTGTTTTGCGCAGGTTCCGGTTAAGTTCTAATCGTAACCGTGGCTTTAGGGCGATTATGAAGCCGTGATGACGCACTACAAGCGCATGCTGACCTATATAAAGTCGGCGGTGACGAAGAATTATTCCGAGAAGTCGATCAATTCGATCCTTGATCATATTTCGACCTCAAAGCAGCCGGATTTATTGCAACGCTTTTATGAGACAACTTTGGAGGCTCTGAAGGTGCAAAAAAATGTAGTACGACTGTTCAAATGTTGATTTAGGATTCGAAAAATGATCGTCTCTGGTTCAAGACGAACACCAAGCTGGGAAAGCTGTATTTTGACATGCGCGAGTATGGATATCTGGAGAAAGTTATTCGCCAGCTTCGAAATTCTTGTCAGGTTTGCAAACCTTGGCTTACTGAACCTTTTCATTAGACCGAGGACGGTGAAGATGTACAGAATAAGGGCACTCAACTCTTGGAGGTCTACGCGCTGGAGATCCAGATGTATACAGAACAAAAGAATAACAAGGTGACAGTTTCTTGGTATATTTTTAAAACCTGGATCTAGGCGCTGAAATCGCTTTACGAACAAAGTCTTCATGTGAAATCGGCGATTCCGCATCCGCTCATTATGGGGACAATTCGAGGTAGGAAAATTTTTTCGAATAGTAAAACAATAAATACGAATCCATCACTGTATTTTAGAATGCGGTGGTAAAATGCATTTGCGCGAAGGTCAATTCGAGAAGGCCCATACCGACTTCTTCGAGGCATTTAAGGTACTGTAATATGGGCAGCAACTTTTATAAGCACTTTTAGAATTACGATGAATCTGGGTCGCCCCGTCGCACGGCTTGTCTAAAGTATGTTGTCCTGGCCAACATGCTCATCAAGAGCGACATCAACCCGTTTGATTCCCAGGAGGCCAAGCCTTTCAAGGTAAAACAGCCCTGAGCCTCATTATAAAGATCTTTAGAATGAGCCGGATATCGTTGCGATGACGAACATGGTTGCGGCATATCAGAAAAACGATATTGACGCTTTTGAGACGATTCTCAGGTATTTTTTGATGTCTGTTGTAAAATTAGTACAGTATTGAATCTTCTAACTTTTTTTGGAGGTTTTTATGCGAATTTTATCTTTTATCTTTATTTCCAGGAGCAACCACGATGCAATCATGGCCGACCCGTTCATCCGTGAACATATCGAAGAGCTGCTGACGAATATTCGTACTCAAGTTCTGCTCCGCCTCATCCGCCCCTACACCCGCGTTCACCTCGCCTATCTATCGCAAGAGCTGCGCATCGATTTGGACGAAGTTCGAAAGCTGTTGATAGAAACGATTCTTGATGAAAGTAAGTGATATTGGTTTTTCTAAAATTTAACCGGACAAATCTATACTTTTTTATAAAGGCCGGTACTCGACTGTTAGCGGGGGGATTTACAGAGTCGAAAAATTATCTAGCTAATGCCTACCTAGCAAATATTTCTGCGGTTTCTAATTGGTTTCATGCGGTTTTGAGTAGCGTACAAAATTTATAAAAACATTTTTTCAAGATTTCCTACCTTTTTTCATACATTTTGAGAAAAAAGCCAAAATTTGCTGAATCCTACTATATATAAAAAATAGTGTCTGTGTGTGTGTGTGTGTTTGTGTGTGTGTGCCACTTTGCATCCACTTCCGTATGTCTGTCCGGAGGATATCTCAAGAAGGGACGGGTATTAGGCTACGTATGATACGTCATTAGGTGCGCAAAGGTCTAGGGATGACTGCACACATATCAGATTTTTAAAAATTAGCCATTTTCGATATTAAATTTAAGGTTTTGTAAAACTCTCTTTGTTAGGAATAATTAGCATAGACCGGAAGTGGGCGGTCGTCTATATAAAGAGGCAGAAGGGGTTGTTTTTCATTTTTTTTTGTCTTCTGAATGAAGGACAATTATGCAAATGGTGGAATAGAATGGGGTCCAAGACGGGGCCAGGGTTGAAAAGTCGCGAAGCGGCTTTTCAACCCTGGTTTTTGAATAGTTTTCCTCAAATTTTTAGATCCCAAAACCCGAAAACGTTGAAAATTCTTTATGTTGATTTACTCGTGTCTGCTAAATGGAATTTCTTTTCCGCAATGCTAAACCCCCCCCGCTAACAAACCAGCCACTCTCCCCCGGAAAACCTAAGCTTTTTTCGTTTACAACGTTTCTTTTTTTTAGACCTTGGCGCCCGAATTGACGAGGTGCAATGTCTGCTGATATTGCCGCGAAACGGTCTCCTCCAATCATCCACTTCATTCACACCCGCCCTCGCCGTCAATGCCCTCAAAAATTGTGCCCAAGAATTGGAACGACTCGAGGCGTCGATTTCCCAGAATATCCATTGATTTGATCCCGGTTTAGATTTCGTTCGATTTGGTCGTGCGTAAGGTGACACTTCCGGGTACTTTAATTTTATCCGCTATTCATTTTTTCTGAGAAATATCTCTCATCTTGTGCTTGTCCTGATAAAGATTATGCACTGTTATCTCTCGGCTTACCTTACCGTTCATTCGGAGCGATTAAAATCTATATTTTCCTGCTGCTGGATTCAAAGCAAATTCTTATATTAGATGGCAAAAGAAGGTGAAGAAATAAAACGGGAATTGAACGATCTGCTAAAGCGACGAGCGGAACTATCGGTATTACTTGTTGTTTTTCGAAAAGTTGCGAACATTTTTACAGTGATTTTCGGAGTTTTTATATCTAAAAATTGTATAAAATACTATAAAATTATTCCGATTTTGGTTATAAGGCTGTGCGGAATTACTTGGAAACAGTAACCTTTTTATCTTTTTTCCAGGAACTACTGGAAGCGCTTGAATCACAAATATACCTCTTTGAAGGCTCTTATCTGGAAGAGACTTCTGAATATGGCAACATCATCAAAGGTGCTTTTTTCTAGCTATAAATAATTGATTTTTAGGCTGGGACCGTCAGGCGTTGCAACAACCCCCCTCTAAATCTGGGTTACGACAGGACAAGAAGGTGCTGTAGCTTATTTTTTGTTATTTGATATTTCAACTCTAGGCAATGCGGAAACCACGTGATTCCGACAGAATCTTCTCCAATTCGTCGATCACCCACCAAGCAGCTATCAAGCAGTCATCAAATGGGCTTTTGAAGGGCGGCATGAAGGAAGAGGACGATTCTGATGAGGTTCGTCTGATTTAACTATATGTTATCGATTTTTAGCCGCCCGACAAGTTATCAGCTGAATTCCCTTGCGTAATAAGACTTTATCTCCTTTTTCAGTCGGGGCAACCGGAGTACAAGAAGAAGAAGCGATGAAACAAAACGACGGGCACTAACGCACTAACCAATTTTTGATCTCACTTTGTATACATTTTTTTAATAAAGGAGTTCAGTCCAAATGTTGCATTTGTTGTACAACTGGTAGCCGTTTTGTCGGTTTTTTTTTGTCTGGCGGTGTTTTTCGCAAATATAGAGTTTTTCGAACGTTTAAAAAGGTTGTTAGATAAGTGTTATAGTTGAAATATAGTTATATTTTGCAAAAACACTACAAGAACACCTCCTAAATTAGTAGACGTTTCTAGACGTGTACAACAAGCTGGGTCCCCCTCCGATAATGCTAAAGAATCTAAAAAATTATTTTTTTCAGAACGAGCTGATATGAGAATAGCTCGGCCTCGATCCCCCGAGTCTTTCAAATATGTGCACAGCTGTGATCTCAACGCCTTTGTACAGATTATGGTGGGTTACTTGTCGGAGCGCTGTTTTATTTGTATAACTTTTAGATATGTGATTTGTCAGGGGTATTTCGTGATCCTACCGATCCTACTCGTAAACTGAGGGACCTGCTCGTTGAGGCTACAGTATGCTGTCTTTTGTATTTTTTTATTTTCTCTAGGTATACTGTGAAGGCGAAAAAGTTGGGTTTCCCGTCTCCACCGCCTACAGCCCGCGCCCGGCAGCGGCACGCGAGCAGCTGATCCACTCGTTTGGCCAATGGTTGACGTTGCCAGTCAGGTAATCCTAGTATTTAGCTCGTTTTACCTACAATTAGATACTGCGATCTGAGCCGTGACGCATACGTCCACTTCACCATCTGGGAACATCTGACGAAGGAGGAAGACGAATTCACGACTTGTGGCTCGGCATCCGGGTTCCCAAACACATTGGTGGCCCAAGCGACGATGCACTTCTTCTGCGAACGCGGCGTCTTAAAGCGGGATACGATTGAGCTGAGGGTTTGTGATATTTTCTGTTTGCAATGTTCAAATCTAGGTGCATCCCGGCGGTACCCCCGATCATCGGGCCAATTGGGAAGAGCGAGAGGAATGGGTTGGGCATTCGTTGAAAAGTGATGAAGCCGCTCATCTCTACCAATCCTGTGCTGTCTACAAGAGCATGAAAGAGCGAGGTAATCTCAAAATATTTATCTTGTTTTCTTTGTACTGAAATTTGACACTACAAACAAGGGCAGATTGATGTTAATTTTTGGCTCTTTACTCGCGCTCTTTTCTAAAAAATGGATTTTTTAGGTACGAGACACGACGAGGACGCTTGGCTGAGTCGTATTTCCTTCATGCAGATAGAACGCTTAAAAACGGGCGTAGGGGACGATTCAGCGAATTCCAAAAGCGAATTTCAGCACCAACAAGCCCTCCGTGATCTATTCTTGGTCGTCAAAATGTCCTACATAAGACATGGTGATTATTGCTACGATGTTGTGTATTACGAGAGAAGCTCGACGGAGGTTTGTTACGGTCAAAAATTAATTATTTGGTTTGAATTTAGACGCGCCTTTGCCTGTCCACCGTCCAGACGGGCGTTGACCTATGGCGCGGCGGTGATGCTGAAATCGGATTGGAGAATCTGAGCGAAGCCAAGCACACGCAAATGGCTCGTTTCATCGGCTCGACGCAGAACGCGAAGAGTTTGAAGCCGAACCGGGAGGCAAAGGCAAAGCTCGAGCAACTATTACAGGTTCTTTCGCTCTACTATTGGTTTTATAGTGGCTTTTTAGCATCCTTCTTCATTGCCGCTGACTTTCGAGCAGAGAGACTTGGTCTGGAAATTCCGCTATTTCTTACAGTGGGTTTTGCGCTTTGTGCTACCAAACTTCCGATTTCTTTAGACGTGAAAGTCGAGCCCTGACTAAGTTTGTACGGTCCGTAAACTGGGAGAACGCCGTAGAAGAGCAACAAGCCCTGGAGCTGCTCAAGGATTGGCGGGCCATTGAAGCCGAAGACGCGCTCGAGCTTCTATCCCCTTCGATCACCCACCCGGCCGTTAGAGGGTACGCCGTGTCGCGGTTGATCGAAGCGACTTCTCACGAGAACATCATCCTCTTCTTGCCGCAGCTTGTTCAGGTGAGAAAGTTAGCCTGATCCCTGAAAGCCACCTAGTTTAGGCCCTAAAATACGAGCCTCAGCAGGATGCCGTCATCCACAGCTCCACCTACATCAATAGCGGTAAGCAGGTTTAATCGATTTATCGGTTTAAAATATAAAACAAATGGTTCATATGAAAATACAAATAAGTATTTAGGATTACTTGCCGCGGCGACTGCGGAAATGGATGGAGGCGGAATGCGACAAGAACATTGGGATATTCCAACGGAACATCTGGCTTCTGTGCTGATAAAGCTGGCGCTGACTTCCATGACGGTACTTTAATTTCTTTGGCTCTCGGTTTTCCGTTTTTCGCCTCTTCGACGGTACCGTTTAGATGGCCAACTTCCTCTACTGGCATCTCAAAGTTGAAGCCGAGGTCACGAAGAATACGGAGAATCCAGAAGAGTCAGCGGTAAGTTGGAGTCTCTCTGCTTTGTATCCCTTTTTAGATGTACGAACAGATTCTGAAACGCCTTTTTGACGAGCTACAAAAGGCCTCCCCACTGTCCGCCCAATCAGCGCAAGCGATAAAATTACAACAAGTATGTTTTTCCCATCTTTTATGGTTATATGAACTTTAGCAATGGGTGGAAAACTTGCAAAAAGTTCTCAGCGAATCGAAGGGTGCCGGCGGGGATATAAAGTACAAAGAAAAGGTAAAATAAGAAATCTTCTGTAATGTCATCGTCTTATCTTATTGTTTAGTCAAAACTATATGATTTACATCTTTAGATCCTGCGCACCAACTTGCTAAAAGCAAAAACATTGAGCGATCAAGAAATCCGCGGCTTGGTGCTGCCGCTCGATCCGAACTATCGGTAAAAACGCTAAAATGTCAATACTTTCGCGTTAGGATCGAAGGGATGCTGGCTGAATCGGCGAACATCTTCAACTCGAAGGCGATGCCGATGAAGCTGACGCTGCGAGTGGCCAGCCAGATGGCGTTGACTAGCCGGAGTCCACAGCCCGAGGAGTACACCTTCATCTTCAAGCAGGGCGACGATTTGCGGTAATTAGCTTCCTATAGCTTAAAAAAATACCCGTTTAGACAAGATCAACTGGTCATCCAGATGATTCGTTTGATGGACAGGTTGATGAAGAGGGATCAGCTGGATTTGAGGTTGGCTGTTTGTTGCTTTTGTTTGTTTTTGATTTTAAAGCTTTACTTTAAAAATGTACGGTCTGTGTTTTAGACTGACGCCTTACTCCGTGCTCGCAACCGGCTTGACCGAGGGTTTTGTCCAATTCGTGAAAGCAACACCGCTTCGCGACATTTTCACTCAATACCAGACGATTCCGGTAAACTGCCATTATCGGCCAATTACCTGACTTTGCAGGCTTACCTACAAGCAAAACGCCCGTCACGAGACCATCCATTGAAAATTGAAACAGAGGTAAGCTTCCCCTAATAACTGACATGCTCTTAGGTTGTCGAGAACTATGTGCGATCTCTGGCCGGCTACAGCATCGTTTGCTATATACTTGGGGTTTGTTCTAAAAAAACCGAAAATGGCTATTTTTAGATTGGTGATCGACACAACGACAACCTGTTGCTTTGCGAAAACGGCAAATTATTCCACGTCGATTTTGGGTATTTTTCTCAATTTTCGTTGACAAATATCGATTTAGCTATATGCTGGGTCGAGATCCAAAACCACTGCCACCACCAATGAAGCTCTCCTCGGAAATGATGCTGCTGATTTCGTCTGATCAGTGAGTTCCATCTTTTAAAAGCTTGAATAAATTGCTTCTACAGAAAATGGTACGACGAGTTCATCTCGTACTGCGACTCGGCTTTCAAGATTTTGCGACGCAATGCAAATGTTATCCTGAACCTGTTCTCGCTGATGTTAGACGCCGGCATCCCCGACATTGCCATCGAGAAGGACAAGGCCGTTTTTAAGGTATTCTAACGTCTCCTTCTTTTTTTTATTCCCTTCAGATCGAAACCCGCATGCAACTGGGCCTCAATGAGGAGCAGGCGTCCCAGTTCATGATGAAGCTGATCGAGAGCAGCCAACAGGCCAAAATGCCCGTGCTCGTTGACTTCATCCACGATTTCAAACTCCGCTTCTTCTAGTCGGCATGTGTTTATTGTACCCAAGCCCTTACTGTGATCCGGTGTATTTCTTAAACTTTCACATCTTTTTTGCTCAGAACTTATGGATAAATAACAAAAAACAATTGTCGAGTCTATATGCACATTGAATGGTTAGATAGCTGCCCGTGAAGCTTCCATTCCTTTGCGTAGAAGTGCGGGTTGAAACCGGTGGCCGAGTTGAGCCTTGTCCGGCGAGTCGGCAATGCAGCCATTTTCGACCTAGGGATTGACGCTAATGAGGACGGGGAATTGTCAACTTGCCGAGAGGCCGGCAACTTGAAATTTCGGCGTTTTTCCAAATCGCCAGCTCCAGTCAATGAGCTCGTCGTGGACGGCGGCCACTTCCGGGGCTTCAATCAGCAAATTATCAACGTCAACTTCTTCGGTTTCGCACTCCTGAATGGGGTAAGTTTCGTTGAAAAGCAACAAGGCTCAATTTAGATTCAAAATTTTTGTTTTCACTGATCCAAAGCTAATAATTTCGGAGTTTGGTTTGAAAAAACCTTTAAAAAATGACTCACGGTAAAACATTTGCGATATGCTGCTAATAGCGCTTCTTGTAATCGCGGAACGGTCAGCAAGGGCTGCGAATCTCGTAGGCAACCAACGCCAGCCATCGCTCGTGTTGAACGGGTCGCATTTGTCGTTATAGATTCCTACAAGCTCCGCAATACCTTTTAGAGCAAAATTCACTACCTCTAGTGGAGAATGTAAAAGTGTGTGCATTGCCTCGCGATCCGTATCCACCAGCAGTGTCAAATGATGATACGACCTCAAAACCAAACATTTGCAAAGCTTCAAGCCATACCTTCCCTTCGATATCCTCGCCGCAGTCCCGGACACCTTCTTTCCATTCAATAAAATATCGTCTCGTGATGTGCTTTCTAACTGAAACAAATGTTGAGCATAATTTTTCTCTCACCTGGATCCCCAAGCGATCCGCCACCGCCCCGACGATAAATTTCAAGTTTCTGGTTCGACAATGTTCTTCGTGGGGGGTCAGGAAGGAGATGTTCAAGTTTCCTAAACGGGAAATTCCATGATTTCCAAGTTAGCTCACCCAAATCGTGATACACTGTCCCACCGCCCGAATGGCGCCTTGCGAAATCGACTCCGCGTCTAGAAATGCAAACTGTTATTAGCTAAATAATCGCGGATACTTTCGCATTATCGGGGACCAACTTGTTCTTCGGACCTACTTTTTTGAAATATTTATATTTAGTGGATTTTTTGAATAAAAACCGTTTTTTTTTACTATTCCTAAACGGAAAACTTATAAAAAATCAAAAACCCGAAAAATTATAGATTTTTAAACTTTTTCGATTTTAAAACGTTTTTAGAACGTTTTGGTAAAGCATAACTATTTGACTATAGTTTTGCTTTACCAAAAACACTATTAAATCAATTACTAGATATTTATAGACTTTCTATCCAAAAAAGTTCGACCCACTGATAATGCGAATGAACCGAATTTTTGATACCTCTCGATCTCTTCAACATGAGACTCAAGCCACGGGTTTTGATGTCGACCGATGACGACACAGGGTCGATTGCTAAACAAAAATAAGATAAAGGGTTAATAACAACCTCCACAATAACAATGCATGGGGATGTCGACCCGTTCGAAAAAGGAATTCTTCGAAGGCGAGGTTGGCAAAGATGTTCTTCGAGTGCGAGATGAATATCCGGGATGTCGCACGACCCGCCGCTGCACAACTCATTCAGCGGTTCTAAATAAAAACTATAAATTTTTAGCCAAGAAGAAGGAAAAACAGAAGGAAAACGCGAAAATTTACATTTAGTGCTTTTTCAGAAATATGACTTCAAACGGCCAAGTTACCTTGCTTTTAAAAAATCTATTTTTACGTTTTAAATTATACATAACCTTTTTACTGATTCTTAGGCTGAATTATTTTTTGTAAAGCGTAAGAAAATTTTACAATTTTAAAAATCCAGATTTTCCGTTATTCCGCCCTTTACTAAATACGCTGTACGTCTATAGGAAAACGACGTAGTGTGATTCCATTGTTCGAAAATTCAAAAAGTTTAATTTTAAATTAAGTTTTGGATTAAATGGTTATAAATAAAGGTTTTTAACATTCTTTATTTTTCTTTTTCTGTATCAACCCCCGATTTTCCAGGCTCGCCTCATCATCCCTGGAAAAACGGACTGAACTCTTCCCTTTTCGACTCGGACTATGCCGACGGCGAAGTTCTTGTCATCAACGGTCGGTCTTTCTAAGCTTCTCCTTTTCACTCCATCCCGGTGCCCAGGCAGGGGGGTAGTTTGTAGTGGCGGTGCGACTGGGCGTACACGATCACTTACGTGTTTCCAGGGCCGGGCGTCGAGACATCCCCCCAGGCAGCGGCAGCAGCTGAAAGACTCGCGTGCAGGAGCAGGAGCACGACCGGTCTTGGCGCTAGCAGTGAATCCGGCTGAGCGCGCTGACCCGATTCCAGACACCGGAATGACCTTCAAGGCGGTGGTGCTGGTTGGGGGACCGCTGAAAGGTGCGTTTCTGTTCGTCGGTTGGAGGATCGTCATCCTCAAAAGCCCCCCGAGGGCAGCAGCCATGTTTCTGGCCGCTGGGGCTCTGGTGTCGCTGTATATTGTCTTCTTGATGTTGCCCGTCGCGCTGTTCGCCTACGCCATTTCGAATTACCCGCTTAGCTTTTGAGGGCCGAAAACGGCGTCGAACATCTTTTTCTAAGGTCCGAATTTTTTTGGGTTTTTTATGGTCGCCGGGATTTGAGACAAAGCGTATTTGTACAAAATTTTGCGCTGATGCCGAATTGGGGCAAGAATTTGTGCAATATATCAAAATTCGCGCAAAAATTGTCATATTTAAGATGTAAAACGGCGTTGAATTTGTTTGCAACACTTTTTTTGGGATTTTTTGGGCTAGCCATGCTTTCGGGCCAAGCCTATCTTGTTCAGAATTTTTGCTGGATCTGAAACTACCGTCAGAATTTATGAAATAACCATATTTGAGAAATTTCAAAGGATTTTAGCACAAAACTTGACGGTTTCGGTGGTTTTAGAGTGGGAAATAGCTCATAAATCCTTAAATAGCGAGAATCGACTGGTAAAACAGCTTTAAAGTGAAATTAAAAGCGTAATTTACTGTTTTTAGGTACCCGCTTCCGTCCCCTCTCCCTACAACTTCCCAAGCCACTCTTCCCCATTGCCGGGGTGCCACTCATTGAGCATCACATCGATAGACTATCACAGGTTTGTTGTGCTCCTCGGATTTTGACTTAGCTTTTTTTCAGCTGACCGGGCTGACGGAGGTGATCCTCATCGGCTTCTACCCGCCCGAGCAGTTCACCGAGTTCACCGAGCGATGCCAAGGGCAGTATCGCATTCCGATTGGATATGTGCGAGAGCCGCAGCCGATGGGTCAGTTTTTTTAAATATTAACCAGGGTTGAAAAGCCGCTTCGCGACTTTTCAACCCTTGTTCCGTTTTGGTCCAATGAAAGTTTGTACTTTGCATAATTCGGCGCGATACACGCTGAAAAAAAGTGAAAAATGCTTTCTCTGCTCCTTTATATAGGTTCTCCCCACTTCCGGTGTATGCTAATTGATTCCTAACAAAGAGGGTCTCGGATTTTTCAACAAAAACTAAAATTTAATGTCGAAAATAGACGATTTTGATAAATCCGATATGCGAGCAGTCATCTCCAGACGATTACGCTCCTAATGACGTATCAAACATGCCCATAACTAATTTCCTTCTTGCGTTATGACTGGAACAACCTGACGGAAGTTGCATGCAAAGTGGCACACACACACACAGACACTATTTTTTTATATATAGTAGGATTTACTTTTTTAAGGACCAGGGGTATGAACTAGGCATCAGCGCTTTACTTCGCTACTTACTGTCAAGTGCTACTTTTTCGAACAAAAATGGAAAATTTCAACCAAAGTGTACCATTAAAAATTGTTAAGGTTATTACGTATCATTAAAAATTGTTATTACGCTGCGCCTTAAACTATAGCTACATTCGATTAAAAAACATGAAACGTCAATTTATATTTTTTTTCTTATCTTCATAATTCCAGGCACTGCTGGAGGAGTAATCTACTTCCGCGACCAAATCCTTGCCGGCAGCCCAGATGCGGTAATTTTAAAATTTAGCGATGAAATGGAAGATTAAATAGAAAAAGCAAAATGAGCTAGTAAAAAATTTTGTAAATTTACTGATAAACTAACCCATTTTTCAGGTATTCCTCATCAACGCCGATGTTTGCGGCGACCTGCCGATCCCAGAAATGGTCGATTCGCTGACGAAACTGTCTCCACAGGCAAAGTGCCTGCTCTTGACCACGGAGGCCACCCGGGAACAATCGATCAATTTCGGATGTGTGGTGATCGGGCCTAATAGCCAGGTAAGGGCTAAATTTTGTGTTGAATCTTTTGGTTTTCAGGTCCTGCACTACGTCGACAAGCCCACGACTTTCCTCTCAACGCACATCTCCTGTGGTGTTTATTTGATGCGTCCTGATGTCATTAAGGTAGTGGTTTTTTTTATTGATCAATTTAATTATTTGATTTTTAGGAATTGGCCTCGTCAAACGGCGGCACATGCTGGTTCGAGACGGAGGTATTTCCGGAGATGGCTTCTCAAGGCACGCTTTTTGCCCTACACACGACTCGCTGGTGGAGCCAGACGAAAACAGCCGCGTGAGTGATACTTGCTGTTGATTTTTCTAACTTTTGATAACTTAAATAGCATTGCATTCCGTTAAACAAAACCATTAGCTTGTAAAACCATTAGATTATCCCCCAATTTCAGGGCCGTCCTCTACGCAAACCGCCACTATCTACGCCTGTTCAAGCATCGATACGCAGCGAGGCTCTGCTCGAGCCGGGCCAATATTATTGGCGATGTTTTCATCGATCCCAGCGCTGAGGTATTTTTGATGGATTGGAATGGTTATTTCGCATTATCTATAATTTTTCCTATAAGTCCAAAAGTGCCTATTAACTTAATATTATGGATTTAGTAGTTCTTTTTAGTAAAATTTAATATATTCAAGTTAAAAAAAAAAGAAAAAAAAGCCTCGAAACCAGTTGTTTGTCGAAAGTTTGGTCAAAAATCTGCATTTTGTGTAGTTTTTAATGAAAATGTGTAAAGTTTTTGCGTTTAGGACTTTTTGAGCATCATAATTCGAGCTTTACAAAAAATATAAGATTTCTTCTAAATCTCGCTTCCAGGTCGACCCCACTGCCACAATCGGCCCAAACGTCAGTATCGGGCCGAATGCGAAAGTTGGCAAGGGTGTCCGCATCAAGGTAATATTCTTGAAGCTCCAATCCATTATTTTTTCAGGAATCGATAATCCTGCCGGAAGTGACAATCGATGAGCACGCTTGCGTCATGAATTCGGTGGTCGGATGGCGTTCGGCGGTCGGCGCTTGGGCTAGGGTGAACCTAAAAAGTCAAGCCGGTATACGAAGTCGTTTTTTAGGTTGAGGGCATTCCACTTGCCCCCAATCCGAACGTGCCTTTCGCCAAGTTGGAGAACAAGCCATTGTTTTTGGATGATGGTGGGTTTTCTTGTTTTTTTTTTCGATTCAACGGTGATGAAGCACAATAATCCTTCAATTTTGAGACTTTCAAAAATGAAAAATATAAGGCTTTTGTATATTTCTTTATTGTTTTTTAGTTCTTGGCTCAAAATCCATGTACTCTTCTTTTTGAAACTTAAAACTCAGAATTTAAATTCGCGCAAATAAATCTAAATTAAATTTATATAAAAATTCTGTATAAAAAGAATTCCAGGTCGCCTAACCCCGTCGGTGACAATCCTGGGTAGCGATGTGACCGTCGCCGCCGAGACGATCGTGCTCAACTGTGTGGTACTCCCCTATAAGGAGTTGAGTGGCAGCCTCAAAAATCAGATTATCCTGTAGATCCGCGTTTTTCGTATCCCCCGCTTTCATCTCCAACCGCCTCGGGCCAACCTTGTGATATTTCCGGCGTCGCGGCCCCCGATAATTAGCATTTCCTGTTTTCCTAGAAGTATAACAATAACTAGCGCCGCGTTCGCCGCCGTAAAATGTATATACCACCAACACTGTGATAACTTTTATTGGGTTTTTCTATAATAAATTCACTTTTGACAAAAATTTACAAGCAACAAGTAACAACGATGGAGGAAAGATTAGCGTTATTTAGCCGGCCGTCGGGCGTCCTTTTTTGCAATCAACTAAATGGGATTGGGATTGACAAATCAGATAATGCTTACCGTTGCTATGCGTTGCCACAACTCCATGTGCTTTTCGAACTCTTCTATTGATCGGCCGGCTTTTGCATGTTTGCCGATGGCCTCGGCCAAATGTTGGCAGATTGTCGATAATGAGCCTGTAAAGATTTAATATATTTTGAAGATTGATAGGGATACTACATGGTACTAGACTGTTAGCAAGGGGGGGGGCGTCTAGCTTATATATGAGATAGATCCATTGCGTTTTTAGAGTTTCCAGGAACTTTTAATTACTAAAAAATTGGGGTTTTTTTCGTAATTCGGTCTTCCCCCCCCCCCCCGATATTGCGAAAGCACCAAAAATCATTCAAAAGAATTGCAAACGAGTTACCCCCCCGCTAGCAGTACAGAATCGATCAAATTAAAAAAAGCTCTTGGCTTCTTTGAAATGCTACCTTTCAAATTGCCCTCGGTGGATCGCTGAGAAACTGTCTGCTTGAAATTGATATCCGCAACAGCGGTCTGCATCACGACGGAAATCCCCTCCAACAACGCCAGCAACATTTCCTTTTTGTCGAGAGGAGAAATCTATAATTTAAAAATATCGTTTTAACCATTAACAAAACCTGTCGTTCGTGTAGATCACCGACGACGCTCAATGTAAACGGATCACCAGATGGCGTCAAATCGATAAAACTAAAAAAAACGAGGATAATCTGGATACCATTATTTCAAAACCGTGAGATCTGCTTCTGCCGGAAATCCAGGGTTGCCGTGATTAGCTCCACTTTCTTTTCTTCCTTCGCCGTGTAAAGCTGGATGAAATGAGCGATGAACTCGAGGAAACTGAAAAATAAAAATATAGGATTACGAAAACGGTTGTTTCGCCTTATCGGGGGAGGCCCACTTTTTACTTAGGACTGAATCTTTCAAATAAAATAGCAGAAGCGCTTCTAGACTGTTGTTACTATTCATAAGTATAAAAACTTCCAAATTTTGATTTGAGGCCAAAAACATAGATTTTTCGACCAAAAAGGTTTTATTTAGTAAAATTTCAGTTTTTTTGAAAGTTCAAATTTTTTTGTAGTTGAAATATAACTTTATTTTACCAGAAACGCTAATAAAATACTGCCTATCATGTTACTAGGCATTTCTAGACTTACAAAAAAAATTTTCCCCTCCGATAATGCGAAATAACCCGAAAATTTACCCGGGAAAATTCCACGGTGGGCTGTGGCTCGCCAAGAATCGCACCACGGACGGGTAAATTTCCTCACATCCACGGCAAAGTTCCTGAAAACAAGGGTAAAACGGGATCGATGTTTTTTTTACCGGATAAGACAAAATGCAGATTTTCAAAATGGAAGCACCGAGCATCCGTACATCATTCGCCATATTTGCTAGCGCTCTGAAAAGAACCTATGTCAGAAAACGGGTACTTGAGCGTTTCCAGGAGGGGGGGACAAACTTATAAACGGTTTTTTATCCCAAAACGTAAAAATTACGCTTTTTAGTAAGGAAAAGACCTTAAAAATTTAAATTTTCTATCGAATTTCCACATTTTTGAACATTTTAAAAGTTTTCTAAAAACTGTCCGCCTTTGAAATTAGGCCGCACTATACTAAAAACACCAAATAGCCTTTAAAAGACCGTTTGCGAGCCACCCGAACAAGGCTTGGCACAGTTTTTTTCGACCCCGTTTTTTTGACGGCATCGGATAGAGCATGGTCAAATTAGTAGGGCTGCATAGTTTTGAAAGTTTCAAAAGTTTAATTTTGGGGTGTAAATGAAGGTTAAAGTTGCCGACCTCAAAAAACTATCTCGAAAAATACCCAACAAAATTTGCTAAAAATTTGTGACAATACTAATTTTGGGGTGGGGATCATTTCTCTAATACATTGTGAAGCATGAAAATGGCCGGAACGTAGTTAAATCAAATACTAAAAACAGTTTTTCGACATTTTCGAAATTTTAGAGAAACCAGCGCATATTGGCTATATCATGAGCAGACGCACCTAACGTTTCTGCATCGAATGGTGTATCGCTTGATATGCGCCGACTTCTCTAAAAATTGGTTTTATCCGCTTTTATGTGTGAAAATGGGGGTAAAAATGACCTCGAAAAATGAAAATTTTTGATTTCGGGTAATCTGAGATATGAAATTGCATCTAGAGACCGAGATGAGTCGATTGCAAAAAAGAGCAAAAAGACATTTCGTTTTTTTCGATGTCGCGGAATCGAACCCGGACCCTCCGCCCGGGAGCCCTGTGGCGCAGTGAGTAGAGCGTCGGCGTGCCAATCCAGAGCTGGCGCCAGTTCAATCCCAGCCCCCTCTCAGGAGCCGAATTTCTTTTTGCTCTTTTTTGTAATCGACTCATCTCGGTCTCTAGATGCAATTTCATATCTCAGATTACCCGAAATCAAAAATTTTCATTTTTCGAGGTCATTTTTACCCCCATTTTCACACATAAAAGCGGATAAAACCAATTTTTAGAGAAGTCGGCGCGCATATCAAGCGATACACCATTCGATGCAGAAACGTTAGGTGCGTCTGCTCATGATATAGCCAATATGCGCTGGTTTCTCTAAAATTTCGAAAATGTCGAAAAACTGTTTTTAGTATTTGATTTAACTACGTTCCGGCCATTTTCATGCTTCACAATGTATTAGAGAAATGATCCCCACCCCAAAATTAGTATTGTCACAAATTTTTAGCAAATTTTGTTGGGTATTTTTCGAGATAGTTTTTTGAGGTCGGCAACTTTAACCTTCATTTACACCCCAAAATTAAACTTTTGAAACTTTCGAAACTATGCAGCCCTACTAATTTGACCATGCTCTATCCGATGCCGTCAAAAAAACGGGGTTGAAAAAACTGTGCCAAGTCATAAGGGGGCCTGTTCGGGTGAGTCGCGGACGGCCTTTTAAGCCTTTAAAAATCTTGTTTAAAACCTTATAAAAAAATTCAACTTTTGGCCAGAATTCCAGATTAACATCTTTCAAGTTTAAAAAAAAAAGTTCTTTTAATTTAAATTAGCGAGGTGATACTAGCAATACCAAAATAATCGTTGTTGGATTTCTAGATATTGTCCTGATAGGGGAAAACTCGGCTCCCCTTATAAGGGCCAAAACCAACCTCAATGTATGGGCGATGAGAAGGGCAAAATGTGGGTTCATAATGTCTTGAGGCAATGTGCAAATCTTTGTGATAAGTAGCTTCAGTTCGCATCGTCCTTGGTACGTCTTGGTTTTGTCGATAGTTCGGGCGAGGGCCGGCAGATAGGTGGCGAGCTCCGTTTTGATCAGGTCCGGATGCGCCGTCAACAATTGCTTCAACCCAGTCGCCGCCTCTTTTCGGGAATTCTAGAAACTTTGTTCTACTCTAGACTTGAGATACGCCTAGTAGAATAATAGCAATTACCTTTTCAGTGTGATAAAATTTAGTTGTGTTTCAAGCCGAAAAACTATTTAGAAACGAAAATTTGTCTTTTTGACCGAAATTTTAACTTAGGAAAGTGTTTACGTTTAGAAATTGTACAAAAACCGCGCAGAAATAATTCCACTATTTATGCTTATTTCAACCGGAATGTGCCAAAAAAATATACTAAAAAAACTTTTTTTCGCAAGAACCAGAAAGGGTTGGTTATTCAATATTGTCTTTCTAAACCAACCCGATCACCATCTCCGAGGCGTCGACAAAGCTCCTTGATGGTGAGACCACTGAAATTAAATTTTTAACTGGAAACTGCCAACTTACCGATGCGAAAGAGCCACCGAAGACCCCTGCGCTTGCCCCGCCAACTGGCTGATCATAGAAATCTTTCTCGTCGTGAAGGTAGCATCGGTGGCCGCCGTTTTCTTCAATACTTTTCCAACCTAAAAACAAGTTTTTTAACGAATCGGCGTCCAACCTTGATCTTCTTCTTTGCGAAGGCCTGGTTTTCCTGCTTTTTCTTACTTTTCGGCATCTTGGACAAGCTTGACGGATCTCCTAAAAACGCAATTTATTTGCTTAACTAAACGTAAAAAACAAACTAGTGAAAAAGCAATCCACTTTTGCAAATAAATTCGTGAATTAAAAATTTTTAGAAATGGAAGAAAATAAGTGATTGAGACGGGGCGACGGGGTATGTCCGCAATTCGGAGCGCCGCGGAAATTTACGAGCTCAAGGGACTTTCAAAATAAATTTCAGTCAAAACCACTCGGTTAGTAAAGCGCCCGCGGGCGCAATGGCCAAAAGCTCCCGCGGGCGCGCCCGAAACTCGAAAGCGCCCGCGGGCGCGCCCGAATCGCGTTGTAACGGCGTAGGACGGGTTCTTTTAATGCTTTTATTATTTAAAAAAGGGCACTACATCGCTTTTGACGATGCTGTGCCCTATACTTAATGTAGATCTTCACGTTCCCCGAGAAATTGGTTGTATTGCGCACCTGAAATATGCTTTTTTTTGCTTTCTTGGCTTTAGCTTCGTTTGGAACTTACAGATACGTTCGAATGCGCGATAGACGGCCCCTAAAAGTGTAGCTAATTACCTAATTTCCTTTATAAACTTCGTAATTCGCACTTACTTTCTTCCCGCTTCCTGAAAACCTGCTTTGATTTGCTTCTTGCCGACTTACTTTGCAACTCCGCCCCAGAGATACCGGAAACGTCGCGCTTCCCATTTGCAATGATGACCATGATCGTCTGAAAGGTTGGCTTATATAAATCGAGAATCTATAAATCTAAATCTAAAGTATTTTTAAAGTTTTTTGAAGGGACTGGTTGCGTAGCAAAACTTTACCTTCTTTACCTGTGCCATGGCGCTTCAAAGTATCGTATTCTACATTCGACGACCATAACCAAGCGAACCTAGTAACTATTTGTTAATTTATATATGTTTTGAACATAAATAAGTGCATAATCCAGGAACTTAGCCGTTTTTTCGCAGAATTGAAAGGTGTTCACCATTCAAATGCGCCCGCGGGCGCGCCCCTAGTTGCGCCCATGGGCGCTTTTTGCGCCCGGGGCGGTTTTGCGCCCTTTTGCAAAAATTGCGCCCGGGGCGCAAAAGGGTCCAGTTCGGGCGCGCTCGCGGGCGCTTTGGGTTTTCGGGCGCGCCCGCGGGCGCTTTGCTAACCGAGCAATTTCTAGGAATTATTTTCGCTATTTTGCTATTTTTTTAGGTTTTTTTTTAGCTTTTGCTTCTAGTGTTATGTTATCAGAATCTCCGCGCTTCTTCTGGCTTCACGTTTTCCACGCGGAAACCCTTGAAAAGAGCCACGAAAATAAGTAATAGCATAATTTCTACCCTTTTTACACGAGATTCTCCCTTTTCCTTCCGTGCCATGTAATCTCTTTCGTATCCGAGTTCAAAAAAATACCTTTTTTCTTAACTGGAACGTTCAAACACACCCTTTTACCTATTTCATTCCAGATGAAGCGCCTCTTCGGCATCTTTGGAGGCGAAAGCGTCCAGCAATGGCCCAGCATCTTTAGCCGAGAATTCGATGATGCTAAATGGCTGGCTGACAAGACAAATGGCCTGGTTCGTCCGATTTCACCCCGCTTTACTTTGATTCAGCTTCACCGACAGCTGGAAAATGACAACTTCTTGGCCCTGACGAATTGCCTCAACAGCAGCATCAATATTCTGCTTCCCCATCAGCCGTTTCCGGTCACGAAGGCCATTTCACTTCTGCAAACGTTTGTCCTTTTTCTTGGAATTGAGGTTTTGTTTAGGTGGGAGGAGTCGTTGGAGCAGCACCGGGCGTTGTCTTCTTCGACCATCGACTTCAGCAAGGGTCTCTTCTTTCGCCGGGCCGCAGATGTTCTTTTCGCCAAACAGATTAAGGTTTTGAAAACAAGATTTCGAAATATCATTGGATTTAGGCTCCTCTTCCAGACCCTCGGGTAGTGCTGGTGATTTGCACGCTGCTCGAACTTTCTATCGCCTACCTTGATGTCCATTACGATGAATTGGGCAGTGAAAGAAAGGTTCTCTATTGTGTTTTTTGCTAAATATAACGAATTTTTGTAGACTTTGATGGCCTTGGAGCTACTTGAAGCCAGCGCTTTGCTAAAGAAGAATCTTCACGTCTACGGCAAGCGCTCCGACCTCTCTATGCTTCTCTCCATGAACGTAGTGGCTTGCTATCGCAATGGAATTTCTGTCTCTAGATGCAAGCCGAGATGTGTCGCGCGTTTGAAGCCGATTTCCCAAGCAGTTTCCGTCTTTTCGAAGAGCTGCCCAGTTTCCGGGACATTGACGGCGAAAAGGTGGCAAAATATACTCGAGGTGAATGTTGTTTTTGCGTGGCTACGTTCTGTTCATTTTTAGAGCTCTGGAATATGCGTGCCAACGGCGATTTCTTGCGCCGCGCCTCCTGGCTGATTCACTACGAGAAATTGTGCTGGCCCGGTCAGTTTTATGCTGGTTTTTAGGAAGATTCTTAGCTGTTCATCAGTGGTTTGTCGACAATAGTGAGAATCTGCCGACCGTTGAGCGATTCTCGTCGCTGGACTACGAGGTATAGTAAATCGAATGACATCGAGTGACGAATTTTGCTGCTTTTTTACATTTTTCGTATTTTTTATAACATATTTATATTGTATATTTCATATTATAATATTTTTAAAATCTGAAAACTTTAAAATTACGTAAAATTGGTTCATCCCCCCCCCGCTAACCGCTAAGCACCAACCTTTTTAGATGTTCTTTGTCATGTGTGGAGCTTACGGTGCGGCCAATCAAATGGAGGATCTCATTTTCCCGGCTACTATTCAACCGGTAATATTTTTATTTCTGGTTTATAAATTATTTTAGGTCCATCAATTGACCACGGATCAGCTGAAGGCATGGGACGCCATGCACGCATTGCTTGACGGGGATAAGAAAAGTGCTTTCCTGTATCGTCTGGTGCAGGAAGTGACTTGTCTGAAGAAGCCACCGCAGGGTGCTCGTCTCGTGCATGCGTACGTGATTTATTTTTCACTGCCAATGAGAATTTAGGGTTTACGAGTACCTCAAAGAATTTCCGGAGGAGAATGTGCGCAAGATGGGCGTGAAATACGCGCATTATCTGACGACGCTCTTGATGCGGCAAGCTTTTTCGCAGCCTTCTGAAGCCTATTTTTTTTAGTTTGGGCGTGACAACTGTCCCTAACTCTGTGCAGCTTTTCCCCTCGAATGCGCCTCCGTTTACGCAGCAAGAAGAAGAGATCATCCAGGAAGAGGTTAGATTTTTTGCTATTTATCCTTGTTTTTAGCTGGCTTGCCACATCGCTCTTTCCGAGGCCGGCGCTGGAAAGTTCGAACAAGCCGAAGGCAGGCTGAAGGCCTTCACTGGCAAGCCAAGCCGTGAGGCCCTATTGGAGGTAGGGAGCTTTATTTTAAAGATTTGGTTGATTCCGGCTTGCGGTATTCGGTAAAAAAAGGTTTTTAGTCAACCTCTTCTTCTCTAAAATGGCCCATACCATAAACCGCGATTTTCCCTTCAATGTTATTTTTACAGGTCTATGCCGTGTGGTCGATGCATGCTGCCAGCGAAGAAGAAAAGGATGAGATAAACGAGAAAACGGATGACGTTCGGGTAAAAATTTTACTATTCTCGATTCTCAAGTATTTAGATGGAACTTTACGGACAAGAGAAGCTCAGCAAGCCCCGGAATAACGAGCAGACTTCGCCTCCACGCCCCGATGCCTTCAATATGGCTCTCCATCTGCTCAACTCGGGACAGGCCAGCCAGGAAAAGCCGCCCCGTCGATCAGTGACCGCTTCGGATACTACTAGCCCTCTGGTTTGTCTTAGTGGCTAGCCGATTAAAATTGTATTTTTCTCAGCTCCCTAGCGGCAGCCTCGACAACTCGTTCGTCAGCGCGGTTTCGCAGCTAACCCCTGGCTCTCCGCAATCTCCGGGTTCTGTGAATACCGCGAAGAGTGTTGCGGACGATTCGGATCTTTGCCCCAGTACTTTCATGGAATCTCAGGTAAATAAGTGCACTTTATTCTGTTTTTTGTTCCTTTTTTATTTTTTGCGGGTTCTCCACCGCGATCAGGCATCAAACTGATAAAGGGGATCAAAAACTGAAATGCCATAAAATTTTTGGCTTGCCAACTGTTGATATGATTTATCAACGGTTTTCAAACAGGATTTGGCCCGATTAGGAGGTATAAAATGATAAAAACTCGCTGAGAATGAAAAAAGTGAATCCGGATTATTCGAAACTGATATAGTTTTTTAGATTTGTCACCTAATTTCTAATTTTATGCTTCTTTTTATGCTCGTAACCGGAATATCCTTTACGGGTTTTTTTTTTGCAGTCTGACCCCGTCGAAGAAGCCGTCTCCCTGGCCGTCCTTCAATTCCTCGAGGGCTCCCAGAAGCACCTGAATGACCGACTGAAAGTGCAGCTCCAGACGCAAGCTGAGGTAGTTTGCGTTTGGTACAGAAAAAGTATTTTTTCTACAGATTCTCGACGAAGCTAAAGAGTACACCAACCAAACATTGCTGCGAACGCGCGCTAAGGAGATGGAGCACCAGGCGCAGATGGAGCAGCGGGCTAAGGTTAGCTCCAACCTTGCTGCGAACGTACTTTTTAGGATGCCGAGCGGCGCACCAAAAAACTCGAAGAGTTCCTTGCCCGTCATGCTTGCTAGAAAACCGGCCAACCCGCGCTCATTTCACTTGTCGTTCATTATTGTCTTTCTTTTTTTTCTAAACTAGCAGTGTTTCTTTTGTTTTCTGGTCACGTTCTCTTTGTGCATGGTCCCCCCCCCCCTCCCCCCGAATGTCCGCATTGAATGATTTGTCTAAAATGATCTCTTTTACTTTTCTTTCCCTTGAAATAAATATAGGATACGTTATTATTGGGCGGACGAGCTGGCTGGTCTCACAAACCATGAGCTATATTTGTTGTGTATGGACCAAATTCCAAATCTAAAACTTATCTCGGGTTTAGAGAGTTGGTCTAGTTAAAATATAGACATAAGGTGGTCAAATTACGATCAAATTCTTGCTACGACGTTTCTAGCGATTTCTCGGGACCTAGAGACAAAAATTTCAAGTTTACGGTGCTCGCCCAAAAATGAGATTTTTCTGTTCAACCTGGAAATAAATGCCTGAAACGGGCTAGGCGAAAAAAATTATACGTCTGCTGGCGGAAGGCATTTCTTAGTACAGAAAATCTGTGTACTTTTCATAACGGGAAAGGCTAAAAAGCTTCCCCCATTTTTTTGTGTGTAAAAGAACCTCATTTCTCGCTCCAGTGGCTTTTTTAATATGTAAAAACATACCTTTAGTGTCCGCTATGGCTGGAAGTGATGCGAGCGGAGCGCGCTCGGACGCGGATGGCGCGCTGCCACCGCGAAAGGTTCTCCCCCACTTGGTCAAGCTTATTTTTTTTTAGCGTCGTCACGTCGAGAGGCAAGACGATGAGGATTTTGAGGATTTGGACACGACGGCCAATGTGGACGATTGTAGGCCCTCCTGCTGATATAACAAAAATCCCCCTAGGCCGTGGACAAATCCCCGGGCAAATCATCAGCATCTCCATGCAGAATTTCATGTGCCACGAGAATCTCACCGTGAACTTTGACGTTGAAAACGCGAACTGCTTCTTTGTTGGAGGAGCGAATGGAAGTTGGGCTCATCGTTGTTTCCTTACAAATTCCAGGTGGAAAGAGCGCCCTGTTATCCGCTCTCAATATCGGCCTCGGTGGCGGTGCCAGGGACAACGACAGAGGAAGTTCGGTGAAAGATTACATCAAAGAGGGCACCAAGTGAGTTGGCTTGAATGGTTTCAAAGCCGCTGATTTTGGTTTGATAGCGGGGGGGGGGGGACTAAAATCTTTTATTTTTTGGTCTCTATGGGACTAAACCTAGATTTTTGAGTGTTTTTAGCAGTTGCCGATTATTAGGAAATTCTAAAAGCATTTTTGCCATTGTTAGCCATTTTCCATATATTTTGCAGCAATAAAACGCGATTTTTATATACTTTTATTCCTCTAAAAAAGCCGTGAAGTAGATCACATAAAATTGGTTGGATTTTATTATTCGGGGACGACGAAAACATGAAAAATTTGGGTTTCATTGCATATATACCACTAAGTAACCCCCCCCCCCCCGCTAACGAACCATAATCATATATGTTTAGCACCGCCAAGACACAAATAATCATGACGAACATTGGCTCCGGCAACATTCCCGAGCTGGGCCCGAAAATTCTGTTTGAAAGAACGATCAGCCGTACGGGATCTTCTACGCTCGTCGTCAAGTCCTTGGAGGGCCAAAAAAGTGGGAAAAGTACTTTCAATGCACTGAATTATTTTTTAGTGATTGAGCACACGCGAAAAATGAAGGATATCAAAAAGATACTCGAACGGCTGGGCATTCAACTCGACAATCCGGTTTTTTGGATGACCCAGGATCGCTGCCGGCAGTTCCTCAACGACATCAAGCCGGAAAAATTATTCCAGGTTGACGAGCTCTCAAAAATATAACTTGCTCTTTTAGATTTTTTTTACAGGCACACAACTTGAAGAGACCGAGATGCGCTACGCCAAAATCGATGCCACTCTTGAAGACGTGTACGCCGACGTCAACAAAACTAGGGGCAGACTTGCCTTGGCCCAGGGGTAGTTTCACGCCACTTACCTCTGCAATCATCGTTCAGCGAAAAAGAAGAATATCAAAATGCCCTCGCTAAACACGAGGAACTCCAAGTCAAAAAGGAGGAGCTGGAAGGGTTGAGCTGGTATCTGATTTGGGCACCGGCCAAAACAGCATACGACGTAATTTTACTTCAATTTCAGCAATGTTTTTAAGGAGCTGAAAACGGCAGAGAATCTTCTGCGAGTTTCGGAGCTAGAGCTACAAGAGATTGGCCGGAATATTATCGAGGCGGGCGAGCGTCAAAATGGTTGGTTCTTTCGCATTATTGGGGGGGGGGGGACAAACCTAACATTTTTTGTTTTGTGTTTAGTAACAATGCGCGACTAAAAAAATAGCCACAAATTTTAAAGAAATTTTGAAAAGAACAAATTCGGTACAAAAAATCGACCATTTTTGAAAGTTTTGACGCTAATGTTAGTAACAGCAAAAACAGTTTAGAAACACTTCCACTATTTATCTTTGAGAAATTAGATCATAAGAAAAAGAATTGGGTGGGTTTTTTTTTCTCCACCAATCTTCCTTTCAGCTGACGTTGAAGATGTGGCCACCGACGATTCGGTCATTGAACAGCTGACCAAAGAAGTAAAAACCTTCCGCTTTGGCTTACAACCTTTTCTTAGGTGACGACCCTGAGCGACCAAAAGAATGAACGCCTGGCGGATATGAAAAAGACGCAAAGGAGCTTGGCCGAAATCACGTATGATATTTTTATGATTGTATATTTCTTTTTAGACGAAAGAGGAAACAAATCCGGGATGAAATTGCCGTCAAAGACGCCAATATTGCACGCGCAAACGTCAACCTACGCGAGTTGCAGGGCGGCAACCTACACAAGAAGCTGATGGCTCGACAAAATGCCATTCAGCGGCACACGGACGATCGGGATCAAGCCCAGGCAGCGGTGGGTTGCCTAACGTGATATACAGGGGTCACGAAAGAAGGGTACTGTACTGTTAGAGGGGGCAACCAGTTTTTCGCGTAATCCTGTGAGCCCGATGCCTGTGCGAATAACGATAGCCGATGCCTTATAGTGTTTTATAGAATTTTTAAATAAATACAAACTTTAAAACATCATCAACATTTTTGAATTTTCACAATTTCTTAAAATTTTTTGATAACTTTCTAACAATAAAAAGCTACGAAAAACATACTGTTAAATTACATTATGTATTATTAACAGTTAGGCATAGGCGCGAAAACGCAAATGTGTCCACCCCCACCCCGCTAACAGTCCAGTACCAAAAAAGAACCATCTGGTCGTTTGTGGTTTGTCTTCTCCGATTGGCGCAATTCCGCATTTTTAATCGATTCGGAATTTTTCGGGACAGAAGCTATTGCTTCTGCTCAAGCGAATCTAATGAAAATTCCGGGAATGTGCTTCGAAAAACGGAAAATCTAAAAAAAATAAAAATGGCTCGCGGGCCAGCCTAAGGGTGTTTGGTACGTTCTATAGACGTTATTTTCATTTCTAGATCGACGAAAGCAAGGAACAAGTCGCAGACATCGACAAGAACTATCCGAAAAAGAAAGATGAAGCCAAGCGAGCAAATGCTGAGCTCTTCGAGGCCAACGCTGCTTACCAGAATGACCAGAGGAAATTGAACGAGCTGAAGAAGAACCTCGACAATTTTGAACGCGCCAAAAACGACGAGATTCAGAGGTAATTTGGTTGTTAGTTTTAATGGCGGCTTGGTAACTCAGGTTTGGAGCCGATGCTCGAGCTATTGTTCGACTCATCGCAAGCAACAGGAACAGGTTCCAAAAGATGCCGATTGGTCCCGTCGGTTAGTTATCTTTTTAGTTTAATTTAATTTAAATAATGAAATCTTTTTATTGAACCAGTGTGCCGAAATACTAGGAACAATAATTTAACTTTTATTTAATTTTAAGCAAAAATTTATTTATTTATTTAGGCTGTCACTTGAAGGTCGTTGACGATCGTTGGGCTTATACCATCGAACAAGTCGTTGGCAAATTGATGGGCACGTTTGTGGTTGATAACCAGGCGGACAGTCGCGTATGGCCCTAGTCGTGTCATTTTACACATTTTTAGGTCTTGAAAGAGCTGCTGAACAATAATCGCATAGCGGCGCCGCCGATCACAGTTACCGCGTTTGTTGCCCGCCATCATGTGAAGCAAGTTGGCGCCGATCTGTTGACCGTCGAGAGGATGTTGGAGGTTTGTAGAGTTTTTGCGAATTTTTAGGTACTGGACTGTGTACGAACTTTACTTTGAAATATTTCCTCGTCGGACCCACTAATGAAGTGCACACAATCTACCTAGCCTTTTAGGTTTTCAAACATCGCAAAATGTTTATATTGGTCAAAACCATTGTACAATTCCAATTTATTTCCATTTTTACATTTTTTTGCACTTTTTGGAAATAAAAACTAATAAAAACGCCAAAAACGACGCTATCTCTCCCCCGCCCCTCCCCCCGATAATAGCCCAAGTCCATCAACCTGTCGCACTGTTAATTGACTGTTACAGGTCGACAACGATATCGCCTACAATTTCGTCGTTGACAAAGCCCGTATTGAGTCTATCCTGTTGCTGGAAACTGATGACGAAGCCCGGAGACTGATGGATGGAAATGTATTAAAAATTTTTAATTTTTAATTAGACAATTATAGTGCCCTGAGGGTATTTCCCGTGCTCAAACGATCAGTGGAGCTCAAGCCAAGGGCCGATCCGGAAACCGCGGCTTCTATCGGTTCGTTGCCTTTCTTGATTTTTATTTTCACACTAAGATTAACATTTCGATGCACACTAATAGGCCCGAGATAAAAAAACACAGGTGAAGGAGAGTTAATTTCAGAGGAAATGAAGATACTTACTGTAAGGTATAAATTTGCGGAGTATAATTGGATACGATAAATTATTTTACTAGGCATTTTTCTAAAAAAAAAGGAAAATGAAACGCTGTGATAAAACTGGACCGAACAGAACGAATTGGCGTAGATAATCATCTTCAGATTCTTCCCCGACCTGAATGACCGGAAGCTCGTGCGGTTTCTGAAGGCCTCCACACAGCAAGACGTCAACGCGTAAGTCCAGTGGTATCATTAACATTTTTTCTAGTATTCGTGAGGAGATTGCTGATCTGGAAAACAAGCGCGCAAGTCACCAAAAGAAGGTCGGAAGCCTCTTCTCAAAGGCTAATCCGCTTTAGATCGCCGACTTGTCGTATCAGCAGAAGCTTGCCGAAAAAGAAGTAACAGAGTTGTCGCACAAAAGACAGACGTTGCTCCGTGCTATTCAAGCGGTACGAATTATGGTTCTGGACTGTTAGAAGGGGGGAGGCAAATTTTTCACAATAATTCCGTACGGCCCTGAAGCGAAATTATAGTTGTTTATACATTTTTATAGTTGTTTTAAGTTTTTGATATAAAAAGTTTATAAAAATAACATTTTTCGAACATTTTTGACTTTTTTGGTCGATAATTTACGGAAAATGGCGAAAGGCAAAATTTTTAATGACTTTTAGCAATTAAAAACTACTAAAAACATACAAAATTACATTACATTTTTTCAAAAGGTATACGTAGAAAAACAAAAAGTGATTTTCCCCTGCTAACCCCCCCGAATTTTTACGATAATAAAAATGGCCGTTTAGAGGCAAAACGATTTCGACAGGGCCGACACGGAACTCGGCCGGCTTGAATCCGAGCCGCCTGTCATCGATGAAACGGCTTCACTGGTTTGTGGCACTTTTGTCCACTCCAAAATCAAATTTTAGAAAGAAAGCCTGCAGGAGAATCAAGAAATGAAAGAGGGGCTCGAAGCTCAAATCGAAGAGCTCGACGCGGCCATCGAGAGTCTTGAGATCGAGGTCGAGGAAATGGAGGGCCAGCTGAAAGACATTGATCTGCGTTGCGAAGAGTTGAAGGGCAGGCTCGAACCCCATCTGGTAAAAACGGAGCTTGGCTTTCAACAAGAATTTTGAACTTAGGAGGCACAATCGAAACAAGAAGAAAAGAACCAGAAATATATGAACGAAATTCAGCGGCTCGAGAAGAACAAGGAAGCCGTCCAGGTTTGTTGTCGCTTTTTTTCTCGTCATAATTTTTGTTTTCAGAAAATTATTGAGGAGTACGAGCGAAAGCGAATTGACGAAGCCCGAAAACACGACAAGACCGTAGAAGAAGGTTTTTTGAGCGTATCTATATAAAATTTTGGATTTAGCCATGGAGCGAACGAAGGATATACCAGTACCAGATGGCCAATCTCTTCCGCCTGTATACAGCAACCTACCCTCCGAAGGTCGTGTCAGCAAACTGTATAAAAAACTGAAGAGCGAAATTGATCTAGAGGAGGCAAGGTCGGGTGTTTTTTGAGGATCCTGTAACCCGCATTCAGTCTGCCGTCGGTCGATGATATTGTGAGGAAGCTGGACGAAAAAGACACCGAGGTCGAAACCATCAACAAGGAGCAGAACACGCTTTTCATACAGTGTGATGTAAGCATTCAGATATCATAATTTAATTTAATTGAATTAAAAATCCTACTATATATAAAAAATAGTGTCTGTGTGTGTATGTGTGTGTCACTTTGCATCCACTTCCGTATGTCTGTCCGGAGGATATCTTGATAGAGGATGGATTTTAAAGTACGTATGATACGTCATCAGGTGCGCAATGGTCTTGGAATGACTGCACACCTAACAGATTTTACAAATTTATCGATTTTCGACATTAAATTTAAGTTTTTGTGAAAGCTTCTTTGTTAAAAACAATTAGCATAGACCGGAAGTGGGGACGCGACTATATAAAGCGGCAGAAGAAGTGGTTTTTCATTTTTTGCCATCTCAATTCAGGACAAGTATGCAAAGTGAAGCATAAAATGGGGTCAGACGGGGCCAGGGTTGAAAAGTCTCAAAATCCATATAGGAAAAATTCGAGGCACCCCTGCCCCGGGAATGCTAAACTAACTCTAAAACTTAATCTAGAAACTGAAAGAATCGCTGGAGCTGCGCGAGACCTACTACCCGATCAAGCGCCATCTGATCACCGTGAACCTTCGGGTGCGTCCTCAATTTAATGAATATTTTTCGATATTTAGGACAAATTCAGGCGCTACATGCTGTACAGGCAAATGGATGCCGATGTTCGAGTGGATTTTGAGAGTATGTTCACTTTCTTGACGATATTTTTTGCAGAGGGTACTATCGATCTCCTGGTGCGTCCGCGGGGCGACAATCAACGCATCAAGGATCCAAAGTGTTGGTTTAGAAATTAAAAAAAAATCAATTTTTTGTAGCTCTCTCCGGCGGCGAACGCTCCTATCTAACGGCGGCGTTTATCATGAGCCTGTGGCGCATCGTCGACTCGCCATTCCGGTGCATGGACGAATTCGACGTGTTCATGGATTCGGCGAATCGAAAGGTATCAATCTATCGAAGTATTGTTTCGGTTCTTTCGCACTATCGCTGAGGAAAACCTACTTTTTCTAAGTTCTAAATAGTTTTTAGTTTATTTATAAATTCTTTCTAAACCTAGAAAATTTACAAAATTTTTAAACAATACAAAAAATTTCAACTAAAATGTCTAGGCTTTTTGATGCTTTACCTCTTCAACATAAATGAATTTCGGGTTGAAATGGAAAAAAACGCTTACTATTACTTTAGTGGATGTTTCTGGTATCATATAAAAAAAAGTTGGTCCCTTCCCGATATTGTGAAAGAACAGTTCCTTTAAATGTCCGGGCACAATTTCTCCCGGGGATAGATTTCATTATATCTGAAACCTGTAAAACTAAATCACCTCTTTTTAGCTGATTATGGACCTGGTGATCCTCTTCGCCACCGAGGAATGCCGACACTCGCAATTCATCCTTTTCACCCCGCAAGGCATCACGGAGCTGAAGAAAAATTCTCGTCTTAAGGTATATTCATTGCCAAAGATATCTTACCCCTATTTAGATTATCACCATGCCCAAGCTCAACTCGTTGCAAGCCAAAACTGCCGATGATGATGATGCCGATGTGTCCGTCGTGAAAGATGTCTGATTTCCTAGATGACAACTATATGTATAGCTTCAAAACGGGTACAAATCCGGGTCCCCCCACGGCTAGCACTTACCTATTTGTTCTCGTTGGTGTTACAGTTTAGTTTTGCTTTTTTCACCGTTGATTGATAAAGTTTTCCTGTTTTTTTGTGGGAATGTAGACATCGCTTATAAGCGTCACCAATTTTAAGATTTTTATAAATTTTGTGTTTTTTATATATTTATCGCATTATCAGCGTCACCGATTCTAATATTAGCTGATCGATTTTTTTTTCTGGTAGTATTTCTAATAGCGAATTATCAGCGTTATAGATGCTCAGAAAGTTTTCTGGGCGTCTACCTTTCCGAAGTTGGCACGACCGCCAGACGGTCAGAACATTCTCTTGGGCTGCCCCTCGGCGTACAACTCCAGGTTTTAAAGACTAAAACCCTGCTGAACTGCTCCGATTTGAGGTCTTTTCGGCAATCCCCTGCTGGCGACACCACAAAATTTCGTTGAATTGAATGAGCGAACACGAGCCGCTGCATTTTCTCTGATCGACAGAATTGAAAAGGGTACCGTTTTCTGAAAGTTTTCAATTTTTGATGATTAGGTGACGAAAGTAGAACTACCGTCCAGTTATTTGACGATTTGAGCAATGAGGTGAGTTTGAGAATTATAAGACTAAAATAAACTTCGTCAGATTTGCTGTGCCGCAGATGTGGTGGAATGTATTCGTCAAATGCATACGGATCCCACTTTCAACCAAGCTGCTGAGGTGTTTTTAAACTAAAACAAAAACTTAAAATTTAGGCAAGTGCTCACGATTTTTGCGATCTAGTCGAAACGATAAATACAAGGAGATCTCTTTATGAAAAACTGCTTTCCGCCAAGAAAACCGAGGTTTGCCCACCTATGCCTCTATATGAAATTTGATAAAGGCCGATCGAATGGACGCGATGGACGCTAGAACGTTAGAGCTGTTCCTTGACGATTTTCATCAGAGCGGTGTCCAATTACCAGACGATCAGGTTGGATTTTAGTTTTGAGTAACAAGCCAATAATAGAGGAAACGTTTTGTCGACCTCAGCACCGAAATTTTCATGGCCGGATCAAGGTATCAGCAAATGTGCGATACGCCTGCCAAGATTTCGTAAGAAAAATGTGTAATCAGAAAATACGTTTTTAGAAAAGAGGATCAAGCCAGATTTCGATTTCCGCAGGATTTGATCGCCGGCCCGTGGAGCACTTATCCGGATTACCGGATTCGGAGGTGTCTTTGGCTGACCTCTGAAAAATTTCCTCAGTTTTACGTCGCAGGCCTTCTACAAGCACAACGACGCGCAAGAGGCGAATTTGAAGCTGCTGGTGGGGAAGCGGCACGAATTGGCACGTCTTACTGGGTATTTTTTATGCTTTTTAAGGATTTATCTTTTTTTAGTTTCGAGAGCTATGCCCATCGCGCGCAATACAACTCAATTCTTGGCGAATATTCGGTGTGCAAAGATTTCCTCGAGGGGCTGATTGATGTGAGGCTCATTTTGGGAATCGGGGTTAGCGGGCGGAGTCCGCTAATCCAAATTTGGTTCTTTCGCATTATCGGGGGGGGAGGAATTTACTTCGAGAAATGCCTATTTAAGTTAGTGTTCTAGGCTGTTTTATTAGTGTTCTAGGCAAACTTTAACGAAATTTGAAGTGGAAAACGATAAAACCTTAGAAAAGTTTTTTGTTGAAATACGTCGGGATTCGGCCATTTTTGGTGGAAAAATCTATATTTCTTGAATTTTTAATAAACGTTTGTAAAGTTTCTACATAAGGAATAGTAAAGAGACCATTGAGAAACACTCCTACTCATACTGAAAAATTGCATCCTTAGAAAAAGGTGGTCACCCCCCCCCCCCGATAATTCTAAAGACTTCAAACATTTCGAAATTTAGAAATTGCGACCGGCCGTCGATGAGGAATTGCGAGTTTTGGTGGATATGCGGGAGCGCCTGGGGTATTCACATGAAGATGTACGAAAAATAATAACTTCATGGAAAAAAATTTAGGAAGGCAAGCTGGCAGAGTCAGACATACAATATCTGGCTTCTCGATGTCGCGATCCTGGCACCACCCCAAGGTCATAAAATCTGAAGTTAGAGATCCATACTTTAGCGTCGAACCAAATCAATTCACCGTTGGATGCATGATGGATTGTTTTGAGAAAATCTGCAATTCTTTATACGGAGTTTCGTTTGAATACGAGCCTTTGAGCGCCGGGGAAGTCTGGCCAGGCATGGTATTCAAGGTGAGCGTATATATAAGTTTTCTATTCGTGATTTTGTTCAGATTGGCGTCAGGGATTCGAACGCTAATTTGCTGGGGACGATCTATTTGGACATTGAGAATCGGGAGTCAAAAGCCACAGGCGATTGTCATTATACGTTGCGCTGTTCGAAACAGGTACTGTGTATAAAATGGCGGGTTCTTTCGTTCTCGGGGGGAGGGAACAGGTTTTTTACGTCTAGAAATGCCTAGTAACTAATAGGAATATAATTATATTTAAATTCGAACAATATCTAATAACGGTTCTTTAGGATTCCCGGGGGGGGAAAGTATTCCCGGGGGGGGAAACCAAATTTTTTTCCGCGAAAGCCTAGATTTTTGTATAAATTGCGGATGCGTTTCTAAATTGTTTTTAACTATTCCTGTGCATAAAAACTAATACACATTTTAACCAAAAAAATGTAAAAAATTAAAAATTAGGTCGAAAAATAGACCCAAAATGACCAAATTTTCGACTTTTTCAAACATTTTTCTAAATTTTTCTGAAAGTTATTCTGCTTTAAATATAGTTAAAACTTACTAAAAACAATTCGAAAACACTTTATATTTGATTACTAGGTCAACCGGGACCACCAGGAAAAAATTTCGTTTCCCCCCCCGGGAATACTTTCCCCCCCCGGGAATCCTAAAGAACCCTAATAACGGTTTGAAAAGTCGAAATTTTCGTCAAAAATGTAGATTTTTTGTCATAAAAGTTTGTAATGCTTTTTGCATTTGAGAATAGTGAAAAGCAGTTTAAACACACTTTCGCTACTTAGATTGGAAAAATTGGATACGTAAAAAAAACGTTGCCCCCCCCGATATTGCGAAAGAACCGATTTTTAAATGAATTTATTTTAAGAAGTTTGTTCCGGGCCGCACGGCGCAAAATCTTTAGATTTAATAACTTAAATTAAATTACAGTTATCCGACGGTGATTGGCAAACCCCGATCGTACTCCTATCACTCTCCATTTCACGACAATCCTCCGGAGACTGGCGATCGTTTCAACTCCGCACTCATCAGGCCGAAAATCTTTTCCACGAAATGGGTTCGTAATTTTTTTTTTTCTCTAAAAACAAATCGTCCCTAGGCCATGCGATGCACTCAATGCTGGGTCGGACACGCTATCAACATGTGGCTGGCACGCGCTGCCCACAGGTCGATTCAGACGCTTTAAAATCTAAACCGTAAATATTTTTAGGATATGGCAGAAATACCATCGAATCTGATGGAGAACTTCTTCAACGACCCGACTGCAATGTCAAAGTCCCTTGAACTAGCGGTAAATTATTTCGAAAATTTTATTATGCTTTTTAGGATCACAATTCGACGCAACTGCTCAGCTTATTCAACAGCATCGCAAAATCCCGGGCCTCATTTCTATCGCTTGAACTGACCCAACAGGTTCGTTAGTCTCCCAAGTTAGGCCGAGGTTCTACCCTTTTTTGCCATTTCGAAACGTAAAAATTTTCAAGAAAACGGGGTACCTACCTAAATCTGAACTTTCAGACATTTTTTTAAATAGTCTCCTGTTTTAAATAAGCTAAATTCTACTAAAAATATTTTTTTTTGTGTAAGGAGGAAAGAATATTTAAAAATTTATTTTATTAGGTTGTTAAAAATAGTGGAAATTTTTTAGCGTCGATGTATAATAAGAAATTTTTTAAAGCGTCTTTCCAATCAGAGGATCATATCCATTTTAGGCCACAACTGCTCTGTTCGATCTGGAAGTGCACAGCGCGTTGGCGAAGAACGTGGCGGAGGGCAGACTCTCATCTACAGCCCTGATGAGCCGGATAACTGAATGGGCAACGCCGACGATATCCCGGACTGAGGGCTACGCGTGGCAGGTATATATTTTGCAAATATTTTTCCTGTTTTGTAGTGTATTTTGATAGTATTTTAACCGTTTTTGTTTGCTAAAAAGTAAAAAAAAATGTTTTTCGAAAAATTTGATACTTGGCCGATTTTTTGCAGCATCGCTTCCACCATCTCGTTCAATATGGGGCCCGATACTATTCGTACTTGGTCGCCCGCTCGTCTGCATCGCTGATCTACAACGAGCTTTTTGCCAAAGATCCCTTAAACCGGAAGAGCGGCGATCGCTGGGCGTTGGCACAAAGTCACGGTCCGTTGAAGCCACGATCCTTCTTGATCTTCAAAATTTTAGGTGGTGGCATCCACCCGCAAGAGCTACTCAAGGGTCTACTCAACTACACCCCCAGCAGCACCACATTGACGAATGCTGTCTTGGAAGAAGTGAAAAAGGCGAAAAGTTGTCGCATTTAGAAGCTAGTTTCGTTTGTAGAATTAGTAATTACATCAACCTTGTTATTGTTTTTATCTAGGATGTTTTTGTTTTTGAATTTTTACGGGTACTGTTTTTCGATAAATTGTTGCGCTTTGATTGATTAATTGTTACTGGTTCTATATGGTGTTTTGTCACCTCTAAAATTATCTATTATGAATTTCAAACTATTTGGTTTTATAAAGCTAATTTTTAGGGTTAGATCTGAAGATCAAGCATGGTGACCGCAACCGGCACCGGAAAGGCCGAAGGGGCGCTCGCTCATTTCTTAAAAGGTATGTCACGGTTTTCGGCTCTTGTTTGTTAGCAGGTGTGCGCTTACTTTATTTATTCAACTTCATGCCATAATAACCACTAACCTTTTGTATAGTAGTTTTGGAGCCTCCGATTGTGAAAAAGTCGTAAAAAACTTTGTATTGTGAAAATTTAAACCTTTTTTAGGAACTTTAGCTTTCAAAAGATTGTAAGCTGCTATTGTAAAGGATTGGCAAGAGAGGGGAAAAGCCCCGGAAACGGCTGAGTGCCATGGCGTGAATCAGCCCATCCTTTCCCTCATCCTCGGCCTCGAGCGATGGTGATTCGGGACGCGTGTAGCTCAGCGGAAGAGCACCTGTACGGAAAACAGGAGGTCGCGGGTTCGACTCCCGCCGTGCGCAACCCCGTTTTACCATTGCTCGAAAGTTTATTCTATTGAAATAGTTTATATTGATTTACTGGAAAAGGGCAGCTGCCCCGCTAACACACCAGAACCGCGATTTCTACGCCAAATTCGCCTAGGTCTCGATTCACCCATCATCAGCGATCGAGTGGCGATTGTCTCCTCGACAGCCTATCTTTTGCGCCAGCATGCAAGCCCGTTCCTGGTCAACAACATTGTCGTACATCTGACGGCACTTTTTAAGGAAGATGTCCAAAAGTGGGAAACCATCATCTAACGTCATCTCTGTGGTTTAGTGCCAACACCATTCGTTTCGCCATCGTGAATGCGCTCGAGGCTTGCAAGCCGCACCTCTCGCACACGTTCTCCACTGATGTAAGAAGGGGTTGTAGTTTTTGAATTATAAACATGTTTTCCAATTTATATTCACAAAAAGATTCTGTTTAGAAAATCGTCGCCAACATTCTGGTCGTCTCCCATAGCACGGATATTACGGCTCGTTCGCTGACGCTTCAGATGCTGGCCAGCTTGGCCCCTTGTGCCAAAGATCATAAGCAGGTAATTACGATTTCATTGCCCAAAAAACTACTCTTAGGTGCACCATCTAATCGTGGAGTCTCTTCTATCGCTCCATGACGAAGAATTTGCCTCGGCCGCCGCTGCGTTGAGGGAATACGTTCCATTGAGCACGTGGGTTTCGGACGATCCTCATAGAATGATTCTCGGGGTTTTCGCATTATCGAACTTTTGGGGAGAGCACGAACTTTTTTTATAAGTACAGAAATGCCTACTAGGTGTTTTAAATATCTTTTTAACAAAATATAAATATATTCTGAGTGGGATAATACAAAAAAAACTTTGTAATTTTGTAAAACGACATTTTGATCGAAAATCGGCCATTTTCGTTCCAAAAATCAAATTTTGTTTGTATTTTTGTTCATTAGTTATAAAGTTTTGCCTTAGAAATAGTAAAAAAAACATTTAAACACTTCATCGATTTATGATAGAAAAATTGAATCCATAGAAAAATCCCCCCGATAGTGGGAAAGAACCTAATTATTCTTGTACCAGCCGATTACAGTCGCTTCGCGACTGTAATCGGCTGGACTTCGGGCTACCCTCCATATTCTACACCACCACATTTCATCCCTACCTTACGCTGATGCCTTCATGGCAATACCTACACGGATGGCTTCGGATACCCCCCATAGCCGAATCCCCCTTAAAAAACTACCAAAATACCTTCCTGATGGCTTCAGATACCCCCCATAGCCGAAACGCCCTTAAAAAACTACTTAGATTCCATCCCGATACTTTAAATGATTTAAATAATAAATTTACATAATTAAAAGGTATTAAAAGTATTAAAGTAACTTAACAAGCTATTTGGGCGCGGGAAGGGGCCTGGGGAAGAGGGGCGGATGGAAAAGGGGCGTGGCCTCCCGGGAGAGGGTCCCCCACCCCTTTTACTAAGGAAAAAACTTTCAAAGTTAATTTTAATAATTTAAACTAAAACTTTTTCGTAATTTTTTTATGAGTTTGGGGGTTTCTGACCACGCTCTATCCGAATCCGAAGAGACCTAAGCTCTAGCTCCTTTCCCCTTCGAGTTGAATCTGGGACATGACAGACAGACAGACAGACAGACGGACACCACTACTTTTTTATTATAGTTGATTCAGTGAGCTATGCGATGCAGCGATCGATCGGTTAAGCACAATGCTATTAAATGAACGGACGCCAAGTGAAAGGAAGAACAAGCTTATCCCAATTATCGGCGCGATGAGATCTTCGCTTCACACCACCCAGACAGCTTTTGCGATCGGGGTTCGCCTGATTCGGACCGGGACGCTCCTTCCAGAGGTTCAGTCATAAAACGACCTCTAACGCCGAGTTTAGAATGCTGTCAAAATGGTTGAAGCGATGACAAGCCTGTCTATTGCGACGCGCTTCACCATTTCCGATCATGTAGGAGGCGCTTGAAATTATGATTACAGATTTCTTTAGCTCAACTTCCTGCTGGACGATCTGGAGCAGGCCAGCTCTTGGCACTATCAGCTCAGCGCGCTTCGCTCGGTGAAACGATTGGCCAAATACGGGCATATGTGGAATGAGGATGCTATTCAGGTACGGATTTGTTCTATTCAGACTTTCGTGGTACTGGACTGTTAGCGAGGGGGGGGGTTATATAGTGGAAACAAATTTTCCGCCTATACTATTGCAAAAATAGTGTAGTTTAATACTTTTTTAGTAGTTTTTGGCTGCTAGAAAGCTATAAAAAATATTTTTATTAGTTGTGAAAATTCCAAAATTTCCTGTTTGGTCACTTTTCATAAATTTTTGACCAAATAATAAACATTCGAAAACTAATATTTTTAAACTTTATCTCTAAAATCTGTGTAAAATACTTTAAAATCGGTGCTATTTGGAGATTGCTCGTACAGGATTACTGGGAAAACTTGGTTCCCCTATTAAATCCCCCCGCTAACAGTCCAGTATTACAGTCCAGTAACGGTTCGTATTGCCAGGAAATCAAGGCCCGAACTGATGGCTATATTTTAGAAACTCTGCAAACTACAAGGAATGCTTGGCACAAAAGAGCCACTCCTTTTCACATATCTCGAAATTCTCGAGGTGATCGCTGAGCGAGCGCTTCCGGCGCATATAAAACGGCTGAATGGTGAGAAATCATTTCATTGGTCTAGCTGAGCTTTTTCGACTTCAATCAACTTTAACATCTTTTTAGAGCTGCTAGAACAAGGGCTATCCACCTATGTAACGTCCGAACATCTGAAGGTCCGCGTAGCATACCTGAATCTGGTGTCTCTACTCCTCGGCCGAGCGCCCGCCCTCGCCGCCCGTCAACACGGACTGGGGAAAGCGTTTGCCACCGCGTTTGCGCAACGTATGGATGAAAAGACCGGGAAGAAGGCAAGTAATTACTACTGAAATGGATACATTTTTTTATTGCGTGGTAATTTTTTTTGCGGGACCGGATAGTTGCCGGGTCCGGGCCAGGATCATTCATTTGATAGTGTTATTAGCAGTTTTCTTTTCCAAACTAGACTTTTTAGAGTTTTTTTTCCAAAAGAACTAAAAAGAAAAGTTTGTTTTGAGGAAATTTAAATATTTTGTAATTTTGACCGTTGTAATTTTGCAAATTTTCAAAATTTATAATAATTATATCAACTTTATCACGATTCACTAGTGTGATGGGACAAAGTTGCCCCCCCCCCACTAATAATTCAGTACCATTATTTTCGATAATTGCATTTTTTGTTAGGCTATTATACAATTTTTTTATTCAGCTTTGCCGAGCCTTCATCCGCTACACACGGGAAGCCGGCGACCCCGGAACCCAAGCGAATGATGCCCTGAGGCTGGTAGAATCGCTTGGCCCGTCGCACTCGTCAGCGCCTCTATTTGTCGAGATGTTTGCCCAGATGGCCGATTCGATCCCAGATACCGTCGTCCATTTGGCCCCGTGGGCGCGGAATAGCTTTGGGCGGGCTGAGGTCAATATTTATTTTTAAAAATGTGATTTTTTTAGTTTTTAAAATTGGCAACTCGACAGCTGGCATTTATCGCAATGTCGCACACCGATATCGTTAGGAGTTTGCCAGCCGAATGGGCTACGGATGATCTGCAGCGCTACAAGGTCGCCTTGTTGGCATTTCGGTGAGTTTTGAATACAATTTTTATAGCCTTTTTCAGAACTGGCCACTGGAGCGATGTGGCACGACCTCTGCTGGCGGGGATCGAACAACAGGTGCAAAGATTTGCACTAAATTCACGGTTCTTGTGAATTAGCGGGGGGTGGCACAAATTGTCATTTACTAAAAAGGCCTCAGAAGGGTTTAATACGCATTTTTAACAAAAAAAAACCATGTTTTCAAAAAATTAGAAATGTTTATGAGTCATTTTAGGTGTATAAAAAAGGCGTAAAATGCTATAAAAAGTCATTTATTTCAGTAAGAGGCCGCTACGGGAATTTAGTAGCAACCTCGCCCCCGCTAACGAATCAGAACCGAATTTACAACAATATTTTTCAGAGACTGAGCTTCATCTCCGGCGGCTGGATTACCGTATTGCGGCTGCTCAGCGCGTCTCAGCCCCTCGAGTTTGCGATTGACGACCTGGAGGCGGCCGTGGACTCGCTTCGTCAAGCCGAGCTGCTGTTGAAGGTTAAATTTTCAAATCTGGATCACTTTCACTTTCATTTTAGAGACTCCAACATGGCTCGTATTCCGCGGATTTCCTCTTTACGTCCCGTTTCTTGACGTGCCTCCTCAGCACACAAATGGTCTACGCTGCCATCTATAGGTTCGTGAATTCCTTGGATTTGTTTGCTTAATTTTTAATTCGACGATTTATCAAGTTTTTTTTTATTTACTGATTTAATTGTTTTAAGCTATTTTTTTAGAAGCCTAGCCCATTTCCTGCACGGTATCGAGTCGTTGGCGAATCCCACTGTTTGCGATCGAGCTGCCAGGGCCGTAGGGTCATCCTGATTTTTCTATTTACTGTTACAGCTCGAAAATTCCGTGCTCGTTGCCAAGGAGGCGCACGAAAATTGGTCGGCGTTGTCACGGTCTTGTTTTGCGGCTGATAATCGGTATTTCAGAGTTGATTACCGGTATATAGAAAATTTAGGACGCTGGACATCCTCCACCTAATGGCCGCTATGACTGGCCTTTTGCAGTACGGCCTCCAGATGATGACATCATCAATAGACCCGACGTAAATTGCATTCAGATGTATTTTTTTTATGAATAAATCAATTTCAGGCCGATCGTCATCCCAACGCTGGACGCCCCCACGACGATGAGCGTCCGCCAGCGACAGTTGCTCGAATGGGCCAAGAACAATATTGAACAGATCACGAGATTGGGCGTGACAGAAGAGCACCGTGTCAGCGAGCAGGTCAGCTAGCTTCAAATTCGTGAAAATTCTGTGTTTAGACGGTCAACCACTTTGTCGTCGTGCTGAAGGCGTTGTGTATGCACCGCCTCGGCCTGCCACGATACCTCTTCCACCAGCCCTGTCAATTCGGAATTACGGTAAGGATTTTTTATATATATGACGGTATTTTTAGCTGTCCGTAACACCGAATACTCCGGAATATCACGCACTGCCAAATCAGCCGGTCCCGATGAAGGTTCGAGTTTTTTAGCCATATTTAGGAGCTTGTCTGGATTTGGTGATACTGTACTGTTCGCAGGGGGAACATGTTTTCTATTCTTGATGCCTGTTGATACTCTATAGTGTTATTTATAGAGTTTTTAGTAGTTTTCGATAGCTAAAAGGTTGTAAAAAATATTTTGAAAATTGTCAAGAACCGCAAATAATGGCCGTTCTGGCCATTGTCATAAACCGATTTGGGCAGGTCCGCGACAAGCACCGCGCACGTCCCGCGTTTCCTTTGCATAATAAAACTTCGCGGTTCACGGCAGTGGCCAAATCCACCTAAAAGAGCCATAGCTTTTTTACCCTTCAAAACGCCTCTTTTTTAGGTGACTGGCGCAGTGACTTCACGTGGCTTATTGGCCCCAATCGAGCAAATCGTCGTCACGGCCATTGTTCGATTCCCGACAAATGCGGCCAAAGTAATTCATCTTTTTTAGCCCAAGACCTCTGATTTAGTGCGACTTCGAGCAGTCACAAGTGGTCAGCTTCAAGGACGACAAATTCTTCCACGCAAATTTTCTGCTGCACTTTATTTCGGTGGGTTTCTTTTTTTTCGGTGATACCAAAATTCTATTTCATAGTAATGTAATTTTTTTAATTAGACACGATACGTAAAAGGATTGTTTGTACGGATTTTCTAAAAAAGAATTTTCGGTATACGTCAAAAAAATTAGCGTTTTAGCTCTTTTACCTTTTGTGTCTATAATCCAAGTTGCACCCCAAAAAACCTCATTCCAGAATTGCACGGTCGACTTCTTCGTGGAATTCGTCGATGCGGAGCGACGGCAAAATTGGAGAAGCGAGGCGACGACCTCGGTCAGCATCCGGGTCACCGAATAGTCCACAATTTACACTTTTGTTCAAAACTTTACAAGTTGATCTCAAGAATTCGGATAAATCGATTACTGATTTTCGAGTTTTTTTTGTAAAATACGTCAAGCAATGGCTACAATCTCATTGATTCGTTACACAAGTTGGAGAGGGTCAAGCGGAAAGAGGCAGTTTCCGTGTGATCAGCTTCTCGGAGATGTGGCAGCACAACAAGACCAAGAAGGACAACCAAAAGTGTTGAAAAAAAATGGAAATAAGTTCGGGGCAGTAAAAAAGGTAATAGTTATACTTTTGAAATGTGGTCAGATACTTTCAGACGACGAATCCAAATTCGACGCCTGGAGGCTGCAGAATGCGTGAAATCGGCTGGGCATGAGAAGTTAAAAAGGTGCTAGGCGCCGCTTATCGCCCAGGCGGGCAAGACTTTCTAGATGACCTAGCGATTCTTCTCACCCGCCCGCCGCCTTTATCTCTATACTTTATGCAATATAAATAACACGCATTGTTTCGTTTTAGACCCAAAATTTGTTATGATTTGTCAATTTAAGGTTTTTATTAAATCGTATATCGATTCAAATCGGTAGCGGGATATTGATTAGCGCTTCGAGGGCTTCTTCTGGAAGCCGAGCCGGTGACGTAACCATATTTTTAGGGTTTTTAATTTTTGCTCGTCTTTTTTTTGTGTAGAAAGATATAGGATTTTTCAGGAAATTCAAGCTTGAAACCGCCTGATCCGCCCCTACACCGGGAAAAATTGATCCCATCAAACTCCACGCGCATGTCGGCGCCGCGATGCGGATTTTTATTTCTGTATTGATTATTATGAATTTCTTTATGCCGATAAATGACGCGGTGAGTTTTTAACAATTAAAATGGGGTATTTGGAATAGTTAAATCTTCCAAAAATGGAAGTATTCTTCATCCGGGGGAAAATCATTTTGGTGGTATCAATCAATAAGAATCCAAAGTAAAGCCACGGTTTTCCGGTACTGGACTGTTAGCGGGCGAGGAAACCGAATCAATTTTTCCCAGTAAGTAATTTGGTACGGCTTATAACGAAATATAAACAATTTTTATAAGTATTTTACATAGTTTTTAGATGGGAAAAGCTTATAAAAATTATAACAGTTTCCGAAAACTTTGACGTTTTGGTCAAAATTGTGGGAAAAATCGCCAAAACTGGTCAAATTTTAACTTTTTAGATAATCAACGGCCGAATCGCGAAACCGGGCGAGTATCCATTTATGGGCGTTTTGGAATCGGATGAGTGGATGTGCTCCGGATTTCTCGTCAGCCCTGAGTATTTTTTGACGGCGATCCATTGCGTTGAGGATCGAGTGATTCGGTAAGTTCGACTATAAAAAAGAGAGCTATTAACGAGAAATATACATATTTTAAAACTACTCATTCTAGGAAACTTTCCGTCCGTTTTGGTCACGATCGTTCGGCGCCGATTTCTGACTCCGGGGTGCAGGGTATCGAGCGGAAGTTCAGTGATGGAAAAGATGGGATAGCATTGCTGACGGTTTGTCGGTTCTTTGGCATTATCGGGGGGATAAGCTGTTTTTGTAGGAACCTCATGGTTCTAATAAAATTTTGCAAAAAAAATCGAAAAATCATTTTTGGCCAAAATTCGAAATTTTTTACGATTTTTCAAGTTTCTTCAAAATATTTTTCAACTGGAAATCTAGCTATTTAAAAAAAATAATATATAATATATAATTATTATTTATAGTTAATTCACTTTAAAAAATCATTAGTTTATTTCAGCTTACCGTCCCTCAATTGTCGACAATAAAGCCGATGGGAGTTGCATCGACGGCTTCATCATTACCCCACGAAGCCTTCGCGTTGGGTTATGGCAGATTTTTGGGTGCATTTTTATATATTTTTAGTGATACAGCTACATTTTTTAGGTAATTTAATTAGTTTTCAGAAGACGGCGAGTTCAAGGCAAGTACTGCTTTGCGTGTGGTCAAGGTGCCAATTCGGAACCCGACCGATTGCAGGTTAATTTTAATTAGCGACTTCTTTCATTCATTTTTAGGAAGTACTACCGCGAATTGGCGGACGAACAGCACCTCTGCGCGGGCGGATTTTTTTGGGGCCAGACGCGAGGTGATTCCGGTGGGCCGCTGATAATTGAGGTGGATGGCGGATGGAAGGCGGTAAGTTTTTAATTTAATTCGAAGTGAAATTAAATTCATTAAAAAATTAAAACATTTTGTACGTTGTAAGATCCGTATTCTATATCCTAGATCGGGCTGTTAAACTACGCGGCGATGGACCCGCCACTTCACACCAGTTTGCAGCCGGGTAAGCTTTTCTACGGGAAAAGACCCAACTTTTTTGGAAAGGATCTAATTTTTCTAATATAAATAGAGGAAGCGGTTCTCTGCTATTTTCCCTATTCATAAACCTAAAACTTTACAAATTTTCCGTAAAAATATAAAATTATCTGTTTTTTTGATAAAAAATTATTGATTTTGGACCAAAAATTTTCTTTCTTTCAAAATTTTTTTGATAGTTTTCCAACGAAATATCGTTAAATTTTACTAAAAATCTCATCGAACTACTACTATTATGTTACTAGGTTGATCTGGACTTATACAAAAAAAAATTAGTGCCCCAAGGCCGCCCGATAATGCAAAAGAACCTGAAAATGAATTATTTCAGGCCTCTACACGCTGCTATCCCCGTATTACGACTGGATTCAGGAGCAGATCAAAAAGAACGGTGCGTTAAAATTAATTGAAATCAGAATTTCTACTAGAAACCCGGGCTAGGGCAATCTGGCAGAGATTTTTGAGGAATTGGGCAAAAATACCGTGTTTTTTTTTCAGAGACTTCCAAAGTGCAACAGCATTTTCATCAATCGGAAGCCTTGAGCACGCTTAATCAAACTTTGTTGCCGTTTGGGTATTTGTTGCAAACTTTTGATCCCTTTACACTTATTTTCTTGGTTTTCATTTTGTACCTGCTTCTTTTCGTTGTTCTTCGTCTCCGCCGCTACCGTCGCCATCAAAATGTGGCTAATTTTGAAGAGTAGGGACGCTTATTTACCGGTTTTTCTTTGCTTTATATGCATTTAACGTATTTTTCGGTGCTTTCGCATTATCAGGGGGTCCTTGGCAACTCAAATTTTCTAGCATAAAAAGACATATTTCTAAACTGTTTTTTATTATTTTTAACGGAACCGTTCCAAATTCATTAAAAAAATACAGACTTCGACCAAATTTCAAAATTTGCTAGATTTTTAGATATTTTTCACTTGAACATAGCTAAATATTACTAAAACTGGATTAAAACAATTACTAATGACATTACAAGGCAATTTCCCCCCGATAATGCAAAAGAACCGACCCCGATTCTCCAAAACCAGCCGGGTCTCGCGTGTGATTCCTTAAAAAATAATAAAAATTAATTTATCAGTTAATACAAAAAAATATAAAACGTGTTGAATACATTAAAGCGATGGGAGTGAGAGAAATGAGAGATATAAGATAGGGCGACTAGCATCTGAATGAGGTACGACAACATGGTACAATATTTACAGCGAACAAAACAGGGTGTAATTTGGAGCTATGCGTAGCTGGTTTTGAGCTTTGAGCACACGCATGTTGGCCGGCAGGAGGTGGCGCGACGTCGGCGAGGGGTTACCTTGATCTGAAACATGGGTGGCTTCGGTTGTCCAGTGGTTAGTGAGTTTGTCTCCTAGGCAAATGACCAGGGTTCGATTCCTGACCGCGGTAAGGTTTTTGTTTGTTGAAAATAAACGCTTTTAAAGGGGATCTCGAGGATAAAATGAAAAAATGTAATGTTTACTGTGCGGTGTAGCACGCGGCGCTACTTCGTACACTGTTTTCCTCTGCACTCAGCGTGCTTTCTTGGATTTTTTTTGCGTTTCGACGCCGTTTATACATCTTTAATCTGCCCATTTGAGTTTCCAACCTTTGTATAGAATTTTTTTTTAATGTTTTTCGACATTTATGGGAGAATTTTAAGGTTTTAAAGCCTAAGAAATACTAGCAAAGGTTCTTTCGGATCTGTTCTGAAAAACCGCAGCATTTTCTCACCTTATCGGTCGGCGAGCTTTCGCTAGTCGAAAAGTGAACGGTGATGAGGTTTTCCAACGTCTCCAACATGCTCTCCATCGCCTCCACCTGCGTCTTCGTCACGCACGGCTCGATCGGCGCGGAAAAGGTCTAAATTTGAATCTAAATTCTGAGTCTAAATTCGGCGCTTTGAACTTTGAAAACTGAATTTCACCATTCAAAATTTTTTAGAAAGTTTTTAAGCCAGAAAACCGCTACCGTTTCCAGCGCCATGCACCGCTTCATCTCGACGACAAACGCCGCGACGCAGCCGATGAATTGCGAGGCATGTCGGGTGAATTCGACGCCTAAACGGGGATTTTTCGAGGGTTTTCTCGTCGGTTTAATCGCGAAAAAAGGCGTCTTTCTACGATGGCGCATACCTTCATGTCTCAGCTGCGGGAGGACGCAGTTTTTCGCGGCTTCGCAAGCTCGATAGCAAGCCCGGCCAGCGGTTTCCACCTGAAATTCCGCAAATTGTCTTTGCTAGCTAGCCAATAAAGGGTGGCAATTTTAACTATGGATTTATCACAGTTTTTAACGCGCCGCGACACGCAACGCGGTTTTACATTGCGTAATGCGTTACTATTCCTTTACGACGCGAAATTGAGGTGCGCATTGCGTGTCGCGACGTGAAAAAATCCATGGCCCTGCCTGGCCGGTCCCTTTAAATTCAGCAATGATCCCTGCTAGCTAGCCTCTTGCAAAATACCGTACCTCTCGCCTCAAGCTGGCCCCATCCTGTGCCGTGCCGATACCCTGGACGGCGTGCCGGAAGGCGGCCAACTGCACGTTGCACTCGTGAACCAGCTAAAGCGCAAATTTCCTGGGTGTAAATTGTAGTAGTTCGTATTATTCCGTTACATTCCACTTCACTACACTAGAAAAACCATGCAATCTCGTCTACGGTGACCACCGAAAAACGCGTGCCGTTTAAAGGGACAGAAAACTTAGAAGGGAAGTGAAAGTGCTATTTTTAAAATCTTTCTTTAAAATCCCTTTAAAAACTTGTCTATCCCTTTAACCATTCAAATTCCATGCCATTACTAACGACAAAAATCGGGAACACTTCGCGTCAACTGGAAAGTCGTGGAAAATCGGGGCGTACCGAGTCGCGGACGACCTTGCTGCGCATGAGCAACGGTCGACCCGTCTGAAGGGGAGCCATCACGGACAGCCGAGTGTTGATTGGAGCGTCGTGTAGTCGTTCGTGCGGTTGGTGATTACGGCAACTGGGTTGTCCTTTAGAGTTCGGCTTGATGAAATGCGAGGAAGTTGAGAAGGTCAAAACCTGATTTTTATAATTTTTTATTTCGATCACCCTACGAGCTACAGGTGCGTAAAGGGTATCAAAATGTAAGGTAATCAAATATAATCTGGAAAATGCGAAAATTTACAAAAAGTGAAAATTTAATTTTTAGCTCGTTTTCCTTTGAGCCACAGAGACGTAAAGTGTAACAAAATGTAGCTCTCGGCCTAGTGAATGCGATAACAACGAAGTCAAATCGAAATAAATCACGGAAGATAGTTAAGCCCAATTTTTTCAATTCGAAAATTCGCGTGGCGTTTAGTCTCTGAAAAAGGGCTAATTTAATTTTTATCTAGGCGCTCCATTGAGCTAAATAAACGTAAATGGTATAAAAATGTAGCTCTTAAACTTGCGAATAAAAAACATCCAAATAAGTGAAAATAATTAGCGGAAGATAATCAAAATTAACTTTTAAAATTCCATGCCTCGTCTGGAGAATATAAATCTTTACTTTAATCAAAATTATTGTAAAACCGAATATTTCCATCGATATTCGGGGTGTTATTGCTACTCAAAACCCCAGCGGGTTCCAGCACGCCCCAAAAAATTCCCAGGCAAATAGATGGAGGGGGAAGAGCCGGTGTGGCCAGATGAGGTGCCCGGGACTGACAGCTCGCAAATTGTGAGCAATATGGGAGCCAATAGTTCTCTAGGAAAATCAAAATCGAAAGGTTACGGTGAAAATAGCTGCAGAACAACTTTCCTCAATGTTTGACCAGAAAACAAAAAAATTTAACCCCGGGCGGGGGTCGAACCCGGGCCTTGCGCCTAGCCGAGTTTTTCTTATTAGTCAAGAAAAACCTGGTAACTTATTATATAAAGCGTTTGAATAGGGTATTGTTTAGTCTAACTATTTTAAAGTAGAAAAACCAGTTAGAAAACTTCGAAAAACTATTAATTTTCAAAATTTGAGCAAAATAGGTCATTTTAGTCGAAAAATCTATATCTTCCGTAATTTTTACTAAAATTTCCGAGGTTTTACGTTTAAGGATAGTAAAAAAAACAGTCTAAATTTTGACATTATTTATATTAGACAAATTGGGTTGTGAAAACAAGATTTTGGGGTCCGAGTTTCCAAAAAAAACTTGCAAAAGTTCAACATTTTGAGAGAACTACTCAAAAATGACAAGAGGAGGTGAAGCCTTAGCGGACAACTTGAATGTGGATTTGTGTGGGTGTGGTGTTGAAGGGTCCTCTACATACTGGGCCCTAAGGGACCGGACGGCCAATTTGAGGAAGGGCCCCTTCAATCTGACACAAACACACAACGGCCGCTCTCCTTCTCCCAAACTCGTCGCCAGCTTCTACCTAGCTTATTAGGAAGCTTTTCGATTTTCCTGGCTTTATTTACTCTAAAAAACGCTAATTCTGGTTCTATTTTCTTTAAATGGGAAGTAAAAGTCCAAATATGGATAAACTCGCGAAAAAGCGACCAGCGGATAGTTAAAAGCGTACAAAGTAGCCCTCTGTAGCCGAGTTTTCGAAAACGCGGCGCTTCAATGTACGCCGTCATCAGCGGTTTATAACGCTGTAGCTCATAGCAGTAAATTTTAGTAAAACGCTGCTGTAAAGTAAAAGCAGTAAAAAAACGTGGGCCGTTACGCTAGAGGCCTTTTCAATTTTCTATCGTTTTCAAAAGCTCCGTAACCTTATAAGCTCGAAAAATGGAAAACCCAATCAAAACCAGGTCCATTTTGTAGGCCCGAACCAAATCCCTGCCGGCTACGTGCTGGGAATAACGGATGGCTGGACCACGGGGGCTTAAGCCTGTGATTTTCTCGCAGCCGGGCTTGGGAGTAATTTATGCCGGGCTAGAAAAAGAAGAAGAAGACAGGCAGTCTGTCCATACACATTGCTAGAGAGGGAGAGAGAGAGAGAGAGAGAGAGAGCGAGAGAGAGAGAGCTAGAGAGAGACCCATTCACACCCCATTTTATAGCTGCATTCAACGGGTGTTCGACCAATCGGCCCCCGGCTTTCTGCTTGTTTATTTTTTTGGCGTTTTAGGCCTTTAGCGTAGGAAAAATTGAAAATGCAGGACTTTCGGTACTTTCGCATTATCGAGGGGGTTAGGCGAACCAACTATTTCTAAACTGTGTTTAACATTCTTAAAGCTAAAAACTTTACAATTCCGAATCAAAGAACACAAAAAAAATATTTCTTTTCGACCAAATTGGCCGATTTTCGACCAAATAATCTCTACTAAAAATTAGCTAACTCTATAAAAAAATAGTTTTTCCACTTGAAATAAGTTAAATTTTACCAAAAACACAAATAAAATACTCGCTATTACGTTACGAGTCATTTCTGGATATATAGGAGAAAATTAGCCCCCCCCCCCGATAATGCCAAAGAACCTTAACATCAAAAGTACGCTTGAATCCACTTATGCAAGCCTAGAACCCAGAAAAGAATCTGAAGGGGGACGGGTGCTGCCACCCCGATTAGCGTCAAGATCCCAGGCCGACAATGGTAACGTAGCGCGGCTCCCTCCAAAAGAAATGTTCGATTTTCGATTTGAAAAGACGGAGAGGCCACGCGGATAGTGAGAAAATGTAAAGCTTAGCATTTCCCCCCTTTGGCTGCTATATTCTTGACACGAGATGTGTGTGGGGAGATGGCTGTTTTTCCGGGTCTTTCCCTTGGCCGTTCCTTGCACGGCGGAGCGGGGTCCCAAGTGGATTAATTAGACCGGGGGAATATCCCCCCGTGGAGCGCGAGAATTCAGATTCTATCCCGCCTCGCAATCCGCCAGTTTTGGTGCAAAAATGTTGAGTTTGGGGCTTAAAATTAGGCGTTTATCGTCGAGGTATAGTAAGTGAGCGACGGAATTAAAAGTATTTTGGCCGTCAAAATGCTAATTTTAACGTAAAAGCGCGTTTTGTTACTTTAGATCTCGCGGGTTTTACCCCGAAACCTAGTAATACCTATAATTAAAAGCAATTAGACCCCAAATCGTTCTTTCCTAACTATAAAGTACGTCTTGGTACAATAAATATCACAGTTATAGCAGGTAATCATAGAACTATCGGTATTTAGCTAAGAGGGTCATTTTTAATAAATTTTAAAGGGTTTTAATAAATTAAAACGCTGATAACCTTTGAAAAAAAAGTTCAAAAAGTCGAAATTTTGCTCAAAAATGCGGTTTTTGGTAGAAAATCTATATTTTTGTTTGAATCGAAATTTGTAAGTTGCCAAGGTACGTTTGGGGCTAGTAAAATAAAGGTTAGAAACACTTCCGCTAGCTATATTTGAAAAGGTAGGTCTTAAGAAAATACCTTTTGATCTGCCCGATAATGTGAATGAACCAAATGACCCGAAAAAGTGGCTGCCAGTCATTACTTCGAAAATCATTACTTCGAAAATCATTACTTCGAAATTCATTACTTCAAAAAAGTCATTTCTTCGAAAGTCATTACTTCGAAAAGTCATTACTTCGAAAAGTCATTACTTCGAAAACTCATTTCTTCGAAAAGTCATTACTTCGAAACGTCATTACTTCGAAAAACATGCATAGCACGTAGGCTAATTGACACCATTCTGCCTCTACCGGTCCGTTTATTCCATCGAGTTTTTTATACGTCGCATGAAAAAAAATCGGCAAATTTTTACTTTACCCCCAGATTTTTCGATGTTTTAGTTGGTTAGTACGAACATTTTCTGATGTCACTTCAGAGAGCATCAAAACATACACGGACATTTTTAGATAAATATCGTGATGCTTCAGTGCTTGAATGCAAGGATCATTATAACAAAATAATAATTCGTAGAGATGGGGTAACTAACAATCCCAATACAGACCGAAACTCTACACAGTAATAACCTTAATAGAATAGGCATATGGTACCTACGCAATGGTTTTATCGTCAGTGTCCTGAATTTCGTGATATGAACATTCCAAATTAGCATATTTTTCGAAGTAATGACGTTTCGAAGTAATGACTTTTCGAAGTAATGGCTTTCGAAGAAATGACTTTTCGAAGTAATGCCTTTTCGAAGTAATGACTTTCGAAGTAATGACGTTCACCCCGAAAAAGTGACAGATACACCTAGGACAAGTAGAGCCCAGCCGGAGCGCTCCAGCTGATTGAGGCTGTAAACGCATTTCCTGTGGCATAACCGGAGAAACGGAAAAACGGGCGGGGCAGCAACCTAGAAGACCCACGAAAGAGGCCCCCCGGGTGACCCTCGGCTTCTTTTTGGGCAGATGGGGGGAGGGAGACCAAATCCGGGCCGCCTCGGGGGGATTCCGGTGTGTCTCTGAGCACGAGATGGAGTTTCACATTCCATTAGCAAAGGGTGGACCCCCGGCTAGTCAACGCTGGCACTCCCACCGGGCTTAACCCACCGCTACGGGCCGAATCTGCAACATTCGCTTTGCGAAGGGTTGGGCGCCTAGCCTGGTAAATATTGCAAATATTGTTATTTATAGTACTAGATTTCTAGTTTCCTTATTTCTACCTATTTATAATCTATTTATCGATTAGATTTTTATATATATTTACGCAGTTTTTGGTCAATTTAAAATTGAATTAATATTTTTTGGCCTATTTCTAGAAGATAGGAGTAGATTCGGGATAAATAGATAGTTCTTATTTGACGGTTTTAGAACTTAAGTTTTCTCGCCATTAAAAAATTACTTTGGGCAATTCTACTTAATTAATCAGTTTTCGATAACTTTACAAATTAAAAACCATTTCTAGCACTAACTTCTTTAAGACAGGTGTTGATTCATCTATCGCCTTCTTCGTCTGCAGTGTCGATACTTTCACACAAACGCCAAACCATTACGAAATGCAATCGACAACCACCGCACTCCGTTCATTTTCTCTAACTACAAAAAATATAGTCCAAATAGGCAAATACTTTGTAATTATTGCGCTGCAATTTCGGGCTAATTTTTGCTTATTTTATTGCATATCAAACTCGATAATCAGCTAAGCGAAATGGAATGAGTTCTGACATTCTGACAATCACCACTTGAAATACGCCAGGCATTCCATCGGTCATGCAATGGGCTTTGAGGGGCGAAAGAAAGAGGGGGATAGAGATAGATTTAGTGTGTTCAACGAAAAGTGGCAGTGAAAAGAGGGGTTTCTATTTAATACAAGAGACCAGGGTGGTAATAATTGGTGTGAGATACAATTAAATGAAAAGAGAAAAAAACGGGCAAGAGGCCAGCCAAAAACAGCACAACCCACCCACCTCGTTCAATTTGCGCACACTCGATAGCGAGTGCTGGCGCATATCGGGCCTGTTTTTACGGAATATGTAGCAGGATCACAATGTAATTAGCGGGGTGCCGTACGGCTAGAAGATGACGGCCATAAGGGCCTCACAGCGTTCGGGGGGCTTGTTGTAGGTGGGGCCGATGATAGTCGGGTTAAGCACTTGTTTCTTCCGGCGCACACCCTGCTCCCATTCTCGAGCACGCGCCGCCAACCGCGCCGCTCGCACATCTTGGCCCTCTCCGATGGCCCCGCACGCTTCGTCCTCACTCTCGCCCTCGCCATCGGATAGATAGCGCGGCTCGACGAAGAAGCTGAAAGGAAGATGTTGACGATAGAGCATTAGAGCCACAAAAAAAAATTTTAGTGATGTAAAACCAAGTTTAAAATTTTAATCATGTAATTTTGAACGTAAACTTAAAAAAATACAAGTAAATAGAAATGTTTGAAAAAGAATGAAAAATTCAGGATTTAAAATACAGTACGTGGAAAAGAAAGTAGCATTTTGTGCAAGCGAAAAACAGTAGTCCTTTTAAAATATAGAAAGAGTAAGGTTTTGAACGTGTAAGTTTTCGCACTATCTTTAACTAGAATTCAGAAAATAGCTACAAAACAAAATTGTATTTTTATTAATAGTTTTTTTTAAATAGCAGTTAAAATAAAGTTTTTAGCATTCGTTTAAAGGTGAAAATTCGATTATTTAGTTTAAAATTGCTAGGTTGAATTCACTAGAGTAGTTACCCTTCATCGTCATCGTCTTCCTCATCTTCCCCTTCCTCCTCTTCGTCCGACCGGCATTCCTCGGCGTCTTCCGGCTCTTCCTCCCATTCCAAATCCGAATCCACCTAAATTTAAATTTTATAAAAATAAAAAACCCTAACCTCATAGTCCAATACTTCTCCCTTCGAAAGTGGTCGCCGGCCATTGAGCCCTTTTGGTATCGACTGGTCCCATGTCCCGTAGTAAGGAGGGCGATAATTTGTGTGGAAATGGAACAACTTCGACTTCAGCAGCCTAAAAAAGATTTTTACCACAAATCGAAAACGTACCGCGTGCTCGTGGCTGGGACAAGCCTGAAGGACTTCAGCTTTTCGATCTTCGCTCCATTTTTCTGAGGAAAATCAGGAGCTGCGGCAGCGGTTGACGGGGTTCTTGAAGAGTATTTCTTCTTGATGTCTTGCAAGTAGGAGCTTGGCTCGGATGTCTGGAAGCGTATGATTGAAAAAAATCTGTTCTATTCAGTTAGCCGGGGGCCAGCCCTTTTATTCAGTAGCATAGTAATAAAAAGAAGCAAATTGTGATTTTGTCGTGTCCGAACACTAAAACCCAATTTTTTAAAGATCAAAAATTACTTGTAATTTTTTCAAAACACGCCTCAGGATTTTCGAAAATCTAAATAATGTTCATAAACGTTTCAGATCCAGGGATTTGCGGGTAAAAGGAAAAAGTAATATCCCCCATCACTTATGAAACCGCACCAAAATTTCCATGAAAATACCTCATGTTCAGATAGTTGCCAAGCTTCCGGCAAACACTCCCGCCGTAAAAGCGGGGCGAGAACAGCGCCCTTCCGGACTGCATACGGCACAAACCAGAGCGTCTGAGGCTCTTTTTCCGCAGGCGATTCCACTCGTTTTTCCACCGGCTTGAAGAAGGACAGAAATTTGGCGCTTGCGCGGCGCTTCTTCTCCTCTTCCAAAAGTTGGGCGACCTAAAATCACAAATCAAAAAATATTAATGACAATACCTCTTCTTCCCGCCGTTTAGCTTCTTTGCGCTCCTCTTCCTGACGTTTCTTGAGTTGCTTCTCTTCGTCTTCCTAAAATAAAATCAATGTTGCGAACGGGGAAAGCAAAAGGAACGATCTGATTAGAAACGAGTCTACCTTTCTCTTCCGCTCGCGCTCCTCCTCCTTCTTCTTTTTGAGTTCCTCCTCCTCCCGGCGTTTGGCCTCCCTCTCCTCTTCCTTCTTGCGCTTCCGCTCCTCCTCCTCTTTTTTCTTTTCCTCCTTCTCCTTCTCTTTCTCGCGTCTCCTTTCTTCTTTCTTCATCTCTTCCTCACGCTTCTTTTCCTCTCGTTCTTTCTCCTTTCGCTCCTTCTCTTGCCGTTTCTCTTCAGCGATACGCTAAAAAGCATTTTATAAATTTTTTGAAGCGATGTTACCTCTTTTTCCTCGAGCTTCTTGCGCTTGCTCTCTTGATCTAAGCTTGCACGCCGCGCTGAGCTGACGCGCTTCCTCGTTGCACTGGTATCCAGACGGGACATCGGAGGTTTCCCAGCAGGTGTCCGTTTGATCTCGCTTCCTCCCTTCACTCCATCACAGATTACATCCTCATCTTCATCGTTAGCGGAGGAGGCTTTTTCCCTAGATTGGCTGCGGGGTTCAGAGCCAGTCTGAGCATCTGCTTCCGCCTCCGAATCGACCCCTTTTTCGGATTCCTAAAGAATTGCGTATTTACTTATTTCATAAAATCGATACCACCACCGAAGTATTCGCCGCGTCACCATCAGCTAGCTCTTCTTTTTGTGGGCTGCTCATATGAACATCGACCGCAATCTAGGGAAAAGTATGATAGTTTATTTATCAAAAACTCACCTGCGCTTTCGGCCCTTCTCCTTCTTTTGCATCACCCTTGGAATCTCCCACGGGTGTTGAGCCGGGTTGCTAAAAACATCATTTTTTTTGATTTCCGGGCGAGGAGAGGGGGATAGTCTATTTTCTCCTGTATGATCCAATTTTTCAGTTGAAAAACCGACGTTTCTAAACGTTTTTTGCTACTCTCAAAGGTCACAACTACTATTAAACTATAACAATGCAAAAAGCTCGATTTTCTACCAATATTTAAAACTGTGACAGTTTTGAACAGTTCCCCAATACTTTCTGCCCTACAAATGTAACTAAATTTGACTAAAACCTATAAAAAGCTTTTATGTTGTTTAGAGAAACACCCGATTCAGAAGATTCCGATTCCCGGGATGTCAACAATTACACCAAGTCGAGGATAACACTCACATCCACGATATCTTTACCCAGTTGAGGCTGACGATTCTCGATCTCTTCGTCTTGGCTCGGTGGACAAACGGAAGTATCTTGATGCTCCGTCATCTGAATTGAGTTAGTGACTGGGCTCTCAAGATCCAGGCTGTATAGGTAATTTCGGCAACCAAAGCCCTCAGAATTCAATAGACATTTCCTTAAAAGACAGACCCGATTTATTTGTGTGTACATGAATGAAGGCAAATTTGGGGGACCAGTATGCAATGAAAAGTCACAAGAATGCATCACAAAAAAACGCGAGAAAGCGACTAGATGGAGATATCAACAAGGAAAACGGTCATAAAAAGCGAAAAAAACGTGAATTCTTCTAAGGGCTTCCCGGGATGGTGTTGTAGCCGGCGAGATGGCTGTAGCCCGATTTGGCGGCGGATGCAGCAGTGTTGAGGGCCGATCCGACGGACGTTTCCATTGCCTTGAACGCTGCGGTGCCCTTCAGATCAAGCCAATGGCTGCGCACCGTCTCGGCACCCGCACTTGCAGCGGCTGTCGTTTTCTGAAAAAGGCAATTAGATCAGATCAGCTAGGTTTAAAAATCGAGAAACTGTCCAATATACGCAACCTAGAGCCAATGTCCTTTATTCTAACTACTACTTCTATTTACCAAATGAAGTAGGACTTATTTTCATAATCTTCTTTCCTACTGTAATTTTGGATCACCAAAAACTTCTACGACTTTTAAATTTTGGTTCTCTCGCATCGGGGGTAGTAGAAGAGTATCGTAACTTAATAGGAATTGTTTTAATAGTGATCTTAGTAAATAAAATTATTTTTCAACTAGAAAAGCTATCCAAAAACTGTTTGAAAGTTTTGAAAACGCGAAAATTTTGGCCAAATTAATTTAAAATGCTTTTAAAACGTACGTTAAAACCCTCACCTGAACCACGGGGGTCTCCAAAACGGCCTGCAATTTTCTGTTGGCTTCGTGCGAGATGACCTCGATGGGACCAGCAATGCCGAGTTTCCTCCTCAGCTCGGTGGCCTGATCGCGGCGTGTTGTGAGGGCCTGTTTGAGGGCGGCAATCTCCTCCTCCAGCTTCGCCAGCTCGACCATCATCACCTCCCGCTGGGCCATCGTCAGCTCGGCGTCCATCTCGTCGTCGGGGCCGAACACGTTCATGTCCTCTTGCTCGTCAAAGTGGGCGGCTCGACTCATCTGAAAAAAGAATGTTAAATTAATGCATAGGAGTTGGAATTTGAAAATCTAAATGAAAATGAAAAATGAAGTTGTTGGCGTAATATTAATAAAGGTTGGATCTTTCGAAATAGGAATAAAATGAAATAAAAATGATTTTGCGAAGCTGACGGCCACTTCTATCAAAGTTAACATGTTAAATACTAAGACGAAAAGGTTACTGGCTACTCCAATGGCGTCGCGGTTCGAAACAAAACATTTCCGATGAGGCCTAAAAACCTAGAAAAAAAAATTAGAGCGTTGGCTACTGCCCAATCCGTAACAATAGAATATGACGAAGATAGAGCGTTCTAGAAGCTTTAGTTATGAAAAATGCTATGAAAAAAAATGGCCGGCCATTCCAAAAACCGTTTGGCGTCCCGATTAGACACAAACTATTGACCACGAGGCCTAAAAGGTCATTAGGATGCGAGACAAACAAATCGATACTTTTCCAACCCATCGAATCAGGTCCAAACACTACGAAAAAGTAAAATTTTGCTGATAAAGCCCTCAAGAGCGGCTGTTGAAGCCTGCGGCATAAAACTCGACGGGATTTCAAGAAGTTCAGGGATTTCGGAAGGCAATGAAGTTTCTGGTCGCGGTTCTATTGAGGGTGTCACATCTCACTTGAATGGACCGAATGCGCGCCAAAAACCCGTGGTTGCTCGCGGGCTGTTAGTGTCCTTCGCTCTTTCCCGCAGCAACGGCGCCACACAGGAGGCACTGTTTGTGTCCGGTGAATCGGATGGGTCGAGGGCGACTGTACGGAATCGAGAATCAACGCTTTCCGGTCGCTTTCAAGGGCTAAGAAGGCGTCATTTTCCAGATAACTTGTGAGGCCATAAAGCTGTTTTCATAGAGTTTGGGATTCTGAATTTGAGGCTTCAAAAAGCACTTCATAACAATGAACTAGGGTAAAAAGAGCCTCAACGTATACTTTTTCTTAAAAAGGCGTTAAAATGAACAAAATTGGCCTTCAGAGCAATTTTTATTGGAAGACCGCGATCGGTCTGCTGCTTTTGAACGATTGCCGTTTCAATTTTCGTTTCAGGATTTCAATTCCTAGCGAATATGCGACAACATGTCGAAGACAACCGCTTATAGGACCCGATGTGGACGTGGAAAATCTCAGATTAAATGCATTGTGTCGCGACGAAAAATGTCCACAAAATCGAAATTGCGGCCGTTGAAGTACGTCCGATCCCGCAATGCGTCAATTGTAGCATTGCGTAGGTTTTCAATTTCGTTAATTTAGAGTTTGCGAAAATTCGGTAAACTGAAAATGGGAATAATTCTCTGGAATCAACAAAAACCTAAAACAATTAGCATGCATTAATGCGATGCAACATTTTTGGACGTTGAGAGGCTCGAACCGCGCGTCGCCAAAGCCGATTTGTCGGTGACGTGCCGAAAATGACGATGGTTTCCAGGTTTTCGAAATCGGTTTCCGGGTTTTTGATAGCTTTTCTATGATTGGCGGCCAAGTTTCTAGTTTTAGTTTTTAATTTTTATGGTTTTTTTCTATCAAGGGAAATGCCTGTGTCTATTTGACGCATTAGTAGGGCTCTAGGAGCTCTCTCTCTCAGCGCTAGTAGGGATCTCAACTTTCGGGCTCCATATCCCGTGAACACCCACCGTACCCCACGCGGGAGGTTGTCCTTTTCTGCCCTTGCCAACCCCCCTTATAACGGGGGGGTTCAGTTGCCCGGAGAGGGCCCAGCAGCGAGGGCCCAGCCTTTTTTTGGGCCCCTGGCTGGACCCTCTAGGGGATATCACCCCGTCCGTGAAAAGGTCTTTCTCTCGCTCTCTCTCGCTCTCTCTCTCTCGCTCTCTCTCGCTCTCTCGTCGCGCGTGCGTGTGTCCATTGATTGCGTAGCGGACGCGCAGAAGAGAAGCGAAGAGAAGTGCGCGGCCCGCCCCTTCTTTTTTTCTATGGCCGGAGGGGGGCGGGGGGGGGGGGCAAAAGCTTCGGCTCGTCCGCCCGACCTTCTTCTTCTCCTTCTTCTTCAGCTAGACGACAGACAACACAACACACCAAGCACGCACGCGCAAATACCGTAGCGCTAGGGGGGCCAGCCAGCCGGATCCGCACCCTCCTTCTGCACGAAGCGCCCATTTTCGCGCCCGGCTCGTGCTTTTTGCTCAGTTGGTTCTATTCGTTTTTTTTTCTTACTGTAGAAGTTTGGTTGACGTCTAATTAGCTTGATTCGATTTTTAGAATTGTTAACTGCTGAGAGTTTAAAATAAATAAAAATTGGCTGCAATAAGCAAACGAATCGTTATACATATATTTAAAAACATTAAAAACTATATATTTTTAACATTTTTTAACGATTTACAGCCTATAAAAACTTTCAATTCAGACATTTTATTCAGCTTTTAGCCACGCCCCTTTCTCAATTTTCGTGCTGGCATTATCCCTTTAAAAATTTGATCTTGTTGATATGTTTTCTCTCTTCCTAATAAGGTGTGGCGATCCAGAGTCGGTGGAAACCCGTTTTGTGTCTGTATATTGAAGAGTCACGGGGTCGAGGAGAGAGATTCCAGTCACAAGTCTCTCTCTCTGTCTCTCTCTCTGTCTCTCTCTCTCTCTCTCTCTCTCTCTCTCTCGATCTCTGTCAGTCTGTCTCTCGCTTTCTCTCTCGCTCGGGGCTTATCTTTTCCAATATGAATGTCCCCTCGTGGGCCTTCATTCTTATCTTTTGCTCCTCCTATAATTCTTCTGATTGGTAAATTCTTTTAATCGATGGGTCACGGAGAGTAGCCCACAGTTGAATTCGATTATTGCAATTTTTTGAATTTTTAAAGGAGGTGGGACAGCTAGGTTTTAGATAGTTCTCTCCCTCTCTCTCGCTCTCGCTCACTATTTAATCTCGGAGCCTCTGACCCCTTCTCTAATCAACGCTGTCTCTCTGTCTCTGTCTCTCTCTCTCTCTCTCTCTCTCTCTCTCTCTCTCTCGATCTCCCCATTATTTCCCTATTTTCATACAGTAAATCCCCAATATTCTCTCGATCCCTCGGTCCACTGCGTACTGTAATCCAAATCCAAATTGTACATAAAACCCCGCGATTCCGTACCAATACGCTGGAAATTTGCACGCGGGCCTCTTGGATTAAAGGATTGCGAAAGTGAGGCGATTCCGCCGCGATCCTCTGGCGGAATCTTGGCGTGTCTCGGATAATCCGTGCCCCGTACCTTATGACCAACTTTTTCTCTCGTCGCGGTCTCCCTCTTCTCTCTCTCTCTCTCTCTCTCTCTCTCTCTCTCCCTGCGGCGACAATTCGCCTAATTGGGCCGCCGGACTCTGGATTTGTTGGAGGATACCTTACCGTATCTGGGCGTTTTTAAAGGAACTGGCAAGGCAGGGATAAGCTTTGGGGTTATGATTTCAAAACTTTTAAAGGGCATGAAAAGCTGTAGCCTATAGATTTTACCGTGATTCACTACGCGGCAATGCGTGTTGACGTGGGTGCAGCGGGTCTAATCAATTACGCAATGTAAAGGCAGGCCGGCGCGTTGCGTGTCGCGAAAAAATCCATAGGAAATCCATACCCATGCCTTTAGCGTTCCTTTAAAAGCCAAGAGCTTGGGGCCGATATTTTTCGTAAAGCCTCATCAAATAAACAGCGAAAGTTGACGGGGGGAAGACCCTAGGAGGGGACAATGCTCTATTTATACTAGGGTGGAAGGGGGCGAATAGGTGTTTTGGCTTGAATGTTTGTATATCTTGCTCTCTCTCGCTCTCTCTCTCGCTCTCTCTCTCTATTTCTCTCTCCGTCTCTCTCTCTCTCGCCCTCTCTCTCTCTCACTCACTCACTCACTCTCTGGATCTCTCTCGCTCTTTCTATCTCTCTCTCTCTCTCTCTCTCTCTCTCTCTCTCTCTCTCTCTCTCTCTCTCTCGCTCTCACTCCCTCTCTCTCTCTGTCGCTCTCTCACCAACCCTCTGTATCTCTCTATCTCTATCTCTGGCTCTCTGTCTATTTATCCTTAATGCGTCATCCATCCGGTTCGTCGCGTGCCCTCCAGCTACGCGTGGCTCCGATTTCCATTCCCACGCCATCCCCCTCCTTTTTCCATTCCCCCCCCCATTTCCGAATCTTTTGTTATGACGCCAAAAAGAGAGAAGAATTAGAATGGCCACCCAAATCTGAGCAACAATTACCGGAAATTAGGCGTGGCGTCGGGTTATCCGACCTATTTTTGGGGATTTCTGGAGCCTCTGTAGGGATACGGTAAGGGGGTTGTAGTTTGTAGTCGAACGCTCGAGCCGGAAAGCCTAAAAAACAGATTGAAAACCGTGTGCCACTCGCTCCGGATTCCCCAAAATCAAAGCAATTACGTCAAGAAATTATCGGTGGATTTCAAGGGGTTTTCCTACGCTGCGCTCCAAAACACGTTCGATAACCGTGCGTCTCTCCCCGTTTCTCTTATTTAATTTTTTTCCGATTTTTTATGCTAGAAATATCTAGTTTTTCGAGCTTACAATTAGTGTAGTTAACGTTGACAAACAGAAGAAGCCAACAAAAATGCTAGAAACACACGGTATTTGGATGGTAGCGTAGTCAGTGAAACGAAGTTGTGGACGCACAGCTTCCAGAGTCATTTGGCGCGTAGCGTCGTTGAGGTGGAGAAACATAAGAAGCTAAATAATGCTAAAAACTCACAGTTTATAGGCGTATTTTGTAGCGTAGCGTAGGTTTCGAAAAGGTAACTGCTGGAAGCGCACAGTTTTCAGGCGTATTTTGGAGTTTTGCGTAGTGAGTGGCGTATTTTGGAGCGTAGCGTAATATATTTATCGTGTACGATTTTCTATAGAATTTTTGAACATTAAAATTATACTTTTTAAGACTGAAAATGACTCCTTTCTACCTTCCTTGCACCCTGCTATACAATTTTCACCTGTCCATCCCGATCCTATTTTTATCATTCGCTCTCATATACCCAATATACCGTATAATGTGCTCTCTATCATCCTCT